GTAACAGCTGCATGTGTGCGTGCGGGTTATCGAACGCAATGACGCCTTCACTTTACAAACCTTGTGCCTACTTGTTTGGACCATCTCAAGCACCTTACCAATGATGCAATACTTAGTGAGACCAAACTAAATAATCAAACTTGGTCAACACCATGAGACAGTGAGACGGTATTTCAGGCAACCCTGATGGGGGGAGTAACAGTCCCATTCATTAATCCACAGACAAAGTCAGTTGTATCACATCTGTCTTAGACCGGTATGGAATTCTGCTGGTTGAATCCTCTGTACTACGCTCAACCCTAAAGCCAAGTCTTTACCCTTAAACTGTGAGGTTAGAAACACAGGAAGATGTTCAAGTGGTTCTCAGTTGGATCCTCAAAAGGATAGATGTTCAAATCAAACACAGCTGTAGACATGCGTGCAAACATACACACACACACACACACACCTGATCTGGGGAAAATGTGTGAGCAGTTCCCACAAACTCTGTCCACACGAGAAGGAGCCCTGGAGTCGAGAGCCGTCCTGCATCTGTAGTGCAATCCGCACCTGAGGGACACAAAACCAGTCACACTCAACTTCAGTTTAAACACCATGAACACAATTTACATAAAAATCTCATCTAGGAATCAGAAAAGGGTCAAAATCATCAACAATTCTACCCCATCTCCAACAGTAGTTCTTACTATAAACAGGTGGTACAGGCAGTTGTGAAATAACCCTAAAGGGCCAGTAAGTAACTGACGTTGTTGTTTAAATTATTTAATAATTTTACTTAACTTTTAAAAAGTGCCGCATAACTATTCACGTTAATTGAACGCGTTACAAAGAGAAAACTCATTAGGCACCCGTACGCTCTTAGCTCTGCAGTCTTGAGACATTATGCAGGAAAGAGAAGCAAGAAAATTCTTTGCTGATCAAATCAGATTAAGCTGCACAGTCTGGCAGTGAGTCACACCAGGCATCAGCGTGTATCTCTGTTGTTCTTTTCCTCTCAGAGCTGTTTGTGTTTCCTCAACAACCATGTTGTCAGGCATAGAAAGCCTGCTGCACATCGGTGCACCCGCAGAGATGAAAAGAGCACAGAGGTGAACGTCGGGAGGTAAACGAGTCAGTGTGTCTGAGTACATGAAATCTGGGAGGTATCAACAGCCAACCGTCTATCAAATGAACTAGAACAACAGATTAAACCCAGCCGGGATCGTACTCGTGATGTCATAGGAAACTACAGCTCAGCTACAACAAAGGGTTTGTGTGAATACAAGTCAGGTCAGACTTCTGAATATCTAGGTGCCGTCTATAAAAGCCCACACAAACGTCTGACAGAAGTACCCAAATATTACTGAGATTATAACCATCACTTCTCCCCAAACATGATTTTGGGGGGGAACTAATAATCAATACCTTGATATGGTTATGTGACCAAATCAAGATATTTTTACCCGACTATCACATTTGATTTTGTTAACTTTTTTATTTAAAATTGACAGCTCTGAAGTTTCACCGCACAGAATCACACAAAAGCACCAATTTAAATCTTGTGTTTATCAAATATGCACCCATTAGTTTCTTGGAAATTAGTCATTAAAAAAACATTAAAAACTGCCTTTTAAAGAAGGGAAGGTTCCTAAGCTTCCCAAAAACATTCAGTGTGTATCGCCAAAAATTATTGCATTGGTATTATTCTTTTCCCAAGTGACATTTTGGATGTGTACCCAGTATCAAATTCTCAGCCAATTATTTCCTTTAATTAATAATAACAGTAAGTCAATTCAAAATACAAAATATTATCGATGTTTCATATATAAAACATGATAAACAGAACTTTTGTTCATAATTGAAATAGGAAAAACTATATGTATGTGTGTTCAGTATTTTACATAATAGATTACTACTGTAACAACTGCGGTACAAAGAGGACGATCCTGTACTGACTCACGCGCATACCCCCATGACTGCCATTGTGTGTCTTCACTATGTAACTGTGGTCGGACACCATCGTCTCGCTCACAGACTTGACATTTTTGTATAAACTAACCTGGCTTTCAGCTACAGCCTGTTTCCTTGGTCTTGTCACCATTTCCAGTTTTGCATTGTTGGGCAGGTTGGCGAACCTCCAAGGCAGCGTGAGGTCAACGGCAGTCCTCTGAAACCTGTCAAATGGACAGATTTGATGAAATAGCAATCCTCTTGGCTTCTCCTATTATTTCAAATCGAGTAAGTATTTCTAATCCCATTGTAAATAACATAAAAGTAACGATTCTAATCTCTTTGTATTTGATACAAGTTGTGCAAATGAGATATGATTGTAATAATCAAAATCAATGTTAAACAGTCTCACTGATAAGTACAATCCAGTGCTTGATTTCACCTCTTCTCACCCGAGTAAGTTGGGACAGACCACTGCTGCTCATAATAACAATCAACTCGTCCAATATGAGCAGCCATGTAAATGCACACAGAATTCGTCCCTACTCTCTGACCTCACGTACTAAACTCAATGCAGTGCACACATACGGCTTAGTACAGACACGCAGTCTGGGCTCAGGGCTTCAGTAATTTAGGGTAAATATCAGAACTGTGACAGCTAGCATCCCCGACTGATACTCACTTTAAACCGTGTTCGTCAGGGTTAAATCCATGTTTTTTGCAGACATCCTCCAGCACCTGAAACCGGAAAATACAGAGTCATTTAGAGCGTTGAAGAACTAATAGGGGAATACTTTTCTTTCATCCGTGGGGGAAAAAAAGAAACTGATCCGTCACTGGCTAACGAGTTTTAGCCAAGTACTGTTAGCCAAACAAGCTAACGACACCAGAAATAGTTGCTCTGGATTGAAGACAACAGGAGCGAATAAAACTAAACCACCCACGTCATAAAACATGTCCTTTGAACACAAGCTACCTGTAATAACGGGGTGTTTGAGGACACTTTGACTGCTTGTCTTCTCCCATTAGGAGTGAGAACCGTCACCGCTGTACCGCTGGCCGCCATTGTGTGTCGTGACGACGCGGTGTTTGTTTGAATAAACTTTATTGACACAATACCAGTTTACATTTCAATGGGAATTACATGAATTGATGTTTGGCAGCAATATATCATTAAAAAAACAACACAATGTAGATTATGCTCACTTCCAAACCATGCAATGATACAAAAATAGATGCATCGTTAATCAATAAACCGTTTAATGTATCACCCACACGAATGCATGCGAACGATTGACAAACTAAAAAGAGAACTTGAATAAATTAGAAGAGAAACAAAATGATGCTTTCATACAGTACGGGTACCATATACTGTGGAATACAATATGATTTTATTCTCATAGAAGCATGTTGATGTAGGCATAATTGATTTGAATTACACCTGCCTTTACCTTATTATTATATAAAATGTTGATGCCTTCATGTACAGGGCACAAAGAAAGATGACATTGATCTGAGTCCAACGCTATCTGGATTTTTACAACACACCTAGATGGGAGATTTTCAACAAGTTGTCAGCCAGCGTCCTCACATGTCTGACATACAGAGAACATACAGACAAAACAGAGCAAGCCGCCTTTGACTTACGCATAAATCTACAATATTAAAGTTTTTCATTTAAAACTTTAGAGAATGTCAAAAATGCTCACAATGTATCTTTTTGTAATTCACTCTACAGTAAAATCTTAGTTTGTTTCATAAATCTTACCATTCTCATTTAAATATATCTGTATTTATATTTCAACAATATTAATCATCACACCTTAAATTTGACAGCAAAGTGTGGATGCTAAGGTTTATTTAAGACAAATGAAATAACTGCCATATAAAGCTCACAATTTGTTTGCAAAACAACCAAAAGATGATTTATTGTTGTGCTAACTAAAAGAACATATTACACAACACAAGGGCACTTGAAGTGCACCAACACTCATAAGAGAAGAAGATTTGGTGTACATCCAATCTGTTCTAACATGGCCAACCTTCATTTCTAGTTTGACAGACAACCTGCACCGACGTAACATTGAGGCCTTTTTTCTTTAACGTAACTCGTGTTGGATCACAGCATGAATCACACTGCAACAGGCAACAGGACAGGTGTTGCCAACAGATGAAGAGGTGTGAAGACAGAGCTTCAGAGGACAACTGAGACCGAGTTACCACAACATTCAGAGTCCAGCTGAAAGAGGGAGAGGTGAAAACAGTTAACTGTGTTCCAGGGGGAAATGGCCAGCTTTGAATAAACATACAAATAATGAGTTTCCTTCCTCACTCTGCAACTTCTAAATTTAAAAAATGTCATCCACAGCATGTTCAACAAAAAGGCTTTAATCATTGATTAATGAATAGCAACACTTATTGAAAACAGGATTTCCTCCCTTGCAAAACCTTTCAACATCAGAAAACTCAAATTTAATGGCAGTGTGGCTGAACATCAGACATCAAGACGGGTGGTCTGGTTTAAATCACACTGATTTCAAACAGTCTATCTTGGAGTGAATAAAATAGAGCTTATATTATTTGGATCATGACAGGTTGACGACGGATTTCAAAGCAACATGTGTTTTTTTAATGCGCTTAGACGAGGATGGGGAAAAGAAAGAAAGAAAGAAAGAAATAAACTCAAAACCTTTACCTGAGAAATGCACTCACATACATATGCACTCTTCTCTAGAGGATTAAACACATGCGTCACAGGAAACTTGTTTGCGTTGGACAACCGGGGGATGGTGTGACCATCCGCAGCATGTCCAACTGCGGTCCTCCCCTCGCACCACATTCAACCAGAGACACTTCAAAGGCAGCGAGCCCATACGATGACACTACATCAAAGAGCCCATCCACTGAACCGACTGGGGGGGGGCGTGCCAGGCATAAGCACACTCTTGGTGTGAAACCGACGCCCCGCAAGGAGCATCCGCCAACGATAATAACTATTGGCCCGCGGGAGTGACAAGCACGGGGCAGGGAGCATTAAGGGAGGGGGTGGGGGGGCTTGACATAAATGTCCACCTCGTCTACAGCTCTTGAGGACCTGGACCAAGACTTAGGAGGGACACTGAGCTGACTGATTGAGCACCGGGGACTTCCACGCCGCGCGTAATGACGCTTTACATCGCTTCCTCGGGGTTTTTAGAGGATGATGCGCGCAAGCATTCGAAGTGAATTCTGAACCAGCTCTCCATCCCTCGAGGCACCATGGCGAACCAGAACCTGACTTCATCCTGCTCACCTTTCACAAGCGACCACTGCAAAAAAGTTTTCGTGCGTTTTCAAAGAACTCTTTAGTTTTCTAACGACTCTCTCTTAACATATCCCGTGTTTTTTATTGACGTCCCCTGCGCACATTTGAGATCGGCTTTTTCCGCTATCCGCTCCCAGACATGCAGAGCCGTAGTGCGCCGGGGAGCTGGGCCGGTCGGTCCGCGGCGCGCTCCTGCTTGCTGCTGCTCTTGATCCACACGAGCGCACAAGTGGGGGAGAGGAGCCCAAACGGCGGTCGGGCGCAAAGTCGGCGAGCGCAGCACCAGCAGCAGCTGCTGGCGCACAGGGAGCGGGTGGATGGAGCAGAGAGCTTCCCGTTGGACTTCACGGCCGTGGAGGGCAACATGGACAACTTCATGGTACAGATAAAGAACTTGGCGCAGTCGCTGTACCCGTGCTCTGCGCAGAAGCTGGATCAAGACATGAAGTTGCACTTTTTGAAGAACGCAACCGTGACTTGCAACGACGGGTCATCAGCGGGGTAAGTGAGCGGGACGGGCTGCACGTCCACAACTTAGAACATGGCACACGTGGTACGTTGTTTAGGGTTTAACATGTGCACTTTGGATGTGACTTAAAAACGGATCAAAAGGATCGGATCAGTGTGAATGCACGTGTGCTGCTGCTGAGCGCTGTGGTGTTTGCACGCGTGCGCGCACCCAATAGAGTGGCACACGCTTCATAGACCCTCAAGGGCCAATTAGATTTTAGACTGAAGTTGTTGAGTGTGACGTTAGATTTGCACCAGCCAGGTGAAGATCTGTTATAATGAAAGCTTTCACTGAAGTGGAACAAAAAGAATCACCACAGCTTGCATATTAATCCATCAGTTACGTTTATGGACTAAAGCACAACGAGCAGCAAGGTGTTTCACGTCAGCAGTTTTGACACAACATAACTGTCAGTCTCAGCCGAGATGTAACTCTCAAATAATGATAAAAGTGGATCTTCAGAAGGCCCACGTGACTCCACTGCTGTGCTGCAGATCTGTGCAAGATCCCACTTTTAGTCAAATTTTAACACGCAAAAAAGAAGTGAAAGGATGGATAGAGGGCACGTTCTGGTGCCCCAAGGGTTGTGCCAAATCAATTCAATATACATCCACAGAAACAATACATCACATGTCACATGCGCATGATTACAATCTCATGATCGTTATTGTTTACGGATGAGGTGCAGCTAATTGACAGTCTGTGACGCTTTAAATTTACTACACAGCTTTGATTCTACATTAAGCTGTAGTGAGTCTGCAATGGCTCTGTGATTGTGTGCGCTGCCAGCAGCTTGATGAGTTTCCTCATATTCTTTTTTCAGTTTGAGAAATACCATATTTAGCTGTGAAAGCCACGCAGCAGACTCCTGCTGTGATGCATTTTAATGGTGCGATCAAAGCCAAAATCTTTCAGGTTAGGTTAGATCAAAAGAAGCATCCCTACTGTGTAGCTTGTGCTGTGTGTGTGTGTGTGTGTGTGTTTGTGCGTGTATGCAATGATCTGTGTGTGCATACTCACACATTAACAGGGATGTGTTTGGGCGCTCCCACGCAGGTACTACATCAAGGAGTCTAAAGGCAGCAAGAGGTGGCTGCTGTTCTTAGAAGGTGAGAATAAACCCACCACAGATGTAGAGCTCATTACAGGAAAACACAAGCGTATGTAACGAGTGTGTGTGTGTGTGTGTGTGTGTTGTTCAGGTGGATGGTACTGTTTTAACAGGCAGTCCTGTGACAGCAGGTATGAGACAGTGAGAAGACTGATGAGCTCCACCAAGTGGCCGCAAACCAGAACGGGTAACAAAAACACGCGTGTGCTGCATAATCTATGCACACATTTTATGCACAAAGATGTACACACACGGCGGCGTCGGTTCCTGCAGCTTTTGAAAACTCTGCTCGGCCTCACTCCCATTTTTCAGTTTCCCCAGAAATCGCCTGAATGAAGAAGATTCATAGACATGTTTGCGTTTCCTCTGTAGCTGAGTTTGCGCTCATCTTTAAAAGTCAAGTTCATGGCCATCGGGGGACCACTTGTTTGTTTATGACTCCGCCTCTCTCTCTGTACAACGTACGCTGGGGGCCGAGCAGCAGCACAGAGCTCTTCAATGCCTGCATGTAAATGCTGAGCAAAGCAGGAAAAGTGAATAACAAAACATGCAACAATACAATACAAGATTAAAACATGCATCTTACAATGTTAGCCTTTCTTACGATGAGGACATCGGTCGAGGGAGTGTATCAGACGTTTGATCTCCCCTTCTGTCTCTCACAGGAACAGGAATCCTGTCTCCTCAGCCGGAGGAAAACCCTCACTGGTGGAACGCCAACGTGGTGTAAGACCTCTATTTCCATCATGTTATGGTCTTTACTGCGTCACATGACTGTGTGTGCTACTTGGAGTATAATGTACTTGTTAAGTATACTTAATAAGTACATTAAAGATGTAACTGGACACTTTGGTTTCTCCTCGCGGTCAGTCTGATCCGGTTCTCTATCAGCAGCTTCTTGTCATTAATGAAAGATACGCGCTCATCCCACCGCACAACGTCTCTCTGTCTTTGAACACACGCTTTGTTTGCCAGGTGGGAGGTTATAGGAATAGGAATATTGTATCAGCCAAATGGTGCAAGTAAAAGTGTTGCTCTCCCTCTGCTGTAGCTTCATCCCGTACTGCTCCAGTGACGTGTGGAGCGGAAACACACCGAAGACCAATCACAGTAAGACAGAATGAATCGTCTGCGAGCTTTTAGATCTGCTGGACTGGCTTTTTCAAAAAAGGCGGAGAAAAGGAGCGAGTGAGCCGTGTTCAGCAGCTGTATGCCACAGATGTTGAGTTTGAGCAGCAGTGTGTCACGAGGGTCCGTGTCAGTAAATAAAACAACTCATATTCGTTCTCAGGTGACTATGCGTTCATGGGGTCTCTGATCATTCAGGAGGTGGTGAATGAGCTGCTGACAAAAGGTCTGGACAACGCTAAGGTCCTGCTTCTGACAGGAAGCAGGTAAGTTCGGCCCACAAATGTGTGTGTGTGTGTGTGTGTGTTTGACCAAAGACACCAGCTCACTTGCACCCTCCGATCCGACTCTCCTTGCCCCCCAGTGCGGGCGGTACAGGTGTCCTGCTGAACGTGGACCGCGTTGCGGAGCAGCTGGAGTCGCACCGCGGGCTGCAGGTCAGGGGCCTGGTTGACTCCGGGTGGTTCCTAGACAACAAACAGTACAAGTTCACGGACTGCATGGACACCATCAGCTGTGACCCCACTGAGGCCATCAAGAGAGGCATCAGGTAGGGCAGGGTGTTAGCACGTGGGAGACGGGTGGATAGACCGATGCAGGATAAGGAGTTGAGGTTCATAAGCACTACAGGTTGTGTAAAGCGGTGACACTTTGCAGGTACTGGGGCGGTTTGGTGCCAGAGAGCTGCAGACAGGTCCACGTGGGAGAAGAGTGGAACTGTTTCTTTGGATATAAAGTCTTCCCCACGTTAAAAAGTGAGCGCTCTTGCACATGGCTGACGATAGAGGCAGTCGCGTCAAGTGGAAGTCCGACCTGATGTGCGTCGTCTCTCCCGTCCAGGCCCGGTGTTTGTGGTGCAGTGGCTGTTTGACGAGGCCCAGCTGACGGCTGACAACGTCCACCTGACCGGGCAGCCGGTCAACGAGGGCCAGTGGAGATACATACAGAACCTGGGACAGGAGCTGAGGAGCACGCTGCGCCAAGTGCCGTAAGGCTTACGCACACAAACACACACACACAATGCAGCAGAAGAGACCGTTGTGTTGACTGTGTGATTCCGTGTTTTTGAATGGCAGGGCGGTGTTTTCTCCGGCCTGTCTGTCGCATGAACTCATTACTAGAACGTAAGTAAATAAGACTTTCCCATATGTCTTAAAAGGCTTAAAACACTCTGCTGCTAATGTAACGCTGCAACTAAAGCAGTAGCATCGACTTTGACGGATAAATGATTAGATATCGTCAAAGAAATATCTTGAGACGCCTTAGAAACATTGTCGCTGTTGCATAGTTTGACTGACAGGCACATTGGTAACAATTCCGAGAAGTGAATTTAAGGGATGCAGCTCGATCAAGCTTGTATGTTATGTTTGTGTAAACAAAGTCATGCTCGTGGTACACATCCTCATGTCGCACAATCCTATCACTGTGTTAAATCACACTGCAGGACACAAAGATTGCATGCGAGCATGTAGATTTCACATGTCAATAACCTCTATGTATTGTTACCGTCCCTGCAGCTACTGGACGGACATTCAGGTTAAAGGCACCTCTCTGCCCAGAGCCCTCCACTGCTGGGACCGAAGCCTCCAAGGCAACAACCACGTCAACGGCAGCAAACGAGCCCACGGGACGCCCCCGGCCAGAGGTTGCCCACTGCATTTGATGGACAGCTGCCCGTGGCCTCACTGCAATCCCTCCTGCCCGACCATTCGTGACCAGCTGACGGGACAGGAGATGAGCGTCATCCAGTTCCTGAAGCACATGGGCTTCGACGTGCAGAAGATGGCCCAGCAGCAGGGGATGGACCCCAGGGAGCTGCTGGGCATGCTCAGTAACGGGAGCTGAGGGGCTTTTTTTCGTCGGTGCAGAAAGGTGAGGGCTTCTTGCTGGCGTGAGATGCTGAACGTAGATGGAGGACAGCAGGAGCATGAACGTTGTACTCTAGAGAGAAAACTGCCAATACTTCCAATCTTGTCTTCTATCAACAGCAAACAAGACTCAAAACAGCACAAGTGCCCGATGAGTTCGGTGTTGTTAAGCTGTTGAAACTCAACATATGGGCTCACTTGTTTTAACACACAGATATGTTCTGAAGACATGCAATTAATGTGAGATGTACACAAAGACAAAGGGGGTTACGATGTTTGTAGTACACCCACTTTGTTGATAAGAGTTGATAAATCCCCACCAGAGAGATACACCTGCTGCTGTTACCACCAGCATTCAAATATGCTGCTTTTCTCATTTTGAAAAAATATTATTTAACGGGGTAATATTAAGCTGTTGTAATACTAATAAAAGGTATAAATATTAAGATTATTACATTGATCTTCAGGGTACTTGAAAGTGAAGAAATATATATTTTTCTACTGAGAATATCTAGTCTACTGTATCTTCCGATCGGATCCATTTATCTACTGTAACAGTATCGCCATACATTTTACTTTTGTATTTGCATGTTTACTTGATATATTGTAAGTAACCATATGTACTATTAATGCCAATAGTATAAATTATATCCATATCATTTTGACTGTTTTTGTTCTTGTGCTGTAGTGGTGCTCACACTTAACATAAGTAATACAAATACACACTGAGATGATAAAACATTATTTAATCACTACAGTATGACAATACAGTTGCCTCTAAACAGAAAAACTCATTTTCAGTTTTATTCTACTCTGATCCACAACATTCAAACTTAACCTCATATAAAACATGCATACTAATAAAAGAATTTAGAAAATGTAAAGCATTTAGAAACCTTGCAGACAGAAAGGTTTATACACAAGAAATGATAAAAATGTTTTGTTCACAGTTGATACGAAAGTGCTTTTACGAGAGACGACTGAAATCTATGTGAACTGATTGACATCAGTAATTCTGTAACAGGCATTTCATCTATAAACAGCACCGTATAAAGCACACAGCTTTGTTCCACCTGATGTTTTCACTTGATTGCTTTTGCCTCACTACAAACAATCCAGCCAGTAAAATCCAACCACATTTAAAAAGAATACATTTGCATTTGAACCGTGCTCCTTTCCTGTTATTATTCCAGTTACAGTCATGCAGGTCAATGATCTCCCCAGCACTCAGTGCTCATACGTTGAGCAGGTTTTAGCTACTCGAGGTTGAGATCTCATCACCGGGACTCCTGAAGGAAATTGAAAACACACACACACACACACACACACACACACACACACACACACGTTAGAGGAGGTGAGGGTATAAAGATAGTTTTAGTAAAGCACTCGAGCAGCAAACACTGACCTGACTGGTGAGTCTTTGAGCAGGAGTTTTTCTCCTTTCGTGGATGGACTGGAGGCGAGTGATTAGAAACTTCTTATCCTCTCCCTCCTGAGCAGAGACGTGACAAAGCAGACGGGGAACCGGATCAAAGAGAAAAAAACACATCAGACAAGAATTACTTTCACATCCAAATATTTTTTATTCAACTGTATATTGAGAGATAAAAAAGACGGAGCGCTTTATGTGAAGTTGATGTCTTACGTTTTCTATCTGTTCCTGTAGCAATGCGATAATCTTCCTTTGACCGTCCACCACCTGACTGTGGAAGTAGATGACAACCCTGATGGGAGGAAACGACAAAATATAAGAGCGATACAACCACATAATAAACGTGCTTCATGACAGATACAGGAAGTTACACCAGATCAGAGTCCGTCTGCGTTGTATCTCTTTGTACTCACAGGAAGATGCCTGCTCCCACAAACAGGAAGAAAGGGTTTTCCACCAGGTACGAGTGAGCCCTGGCCAGCACGGAGAGGTTGGGATTGTCTTTTTCTAGTGCTTCCACCCACCGCTTCCCCGCCTGGAACATCGTTTTGAGCTTGCGGAACGGACCGCACGATGAGGAGGGCGTGAGGCTGAGGGCAGACGTCAAGACTGTCACACAGGGCTCTTCATTTATTGCACCTTTCTCTGAGGTGTCCATTAAGACAGAATATCAGGACCAAGCGCGCGTACACTGGTCTGTTAATAATCGGTGCGCAAAGAATATTTGACTACAGGTATCCATAGCAACGGTATTACCAGTTAACTCTCACTTGTCAAACCAATATGACCATTGATCAAAATTATTACAACCAGTCTTTAAAAATGAGTGATGATTAAAGTTATTGGTACCTTATTAGTGGGATATCTATGGAAGCCCTCAGAGTTTAGTGGGAAAAGTAACTGCGGCTTTCCATTTTCTAAGTATGATCCAATTTTTGGGACATGAGAACGGGGTGAAAGAAAAGGTTTAAACAGGATAATTTGAGTTTTGTAATAAGCATTTATCAAAAAGCCAGTTTTAGCAGGTGAATGGAGGAGGAGCTTCAGCGAGACGGATGTGAGCATGCTATTCGCAGAGGGCCTTAAACGGCTGCAGTTTGATGCTGGATGAACCAACATTATATCCAAACTCTTCATCACCTCCATGGGGTCAGAAAGCAAAGAGCGGTTGTTAACCACAGCGAACAGGCACAGGCGGCTAATGGCCACATTCCAAACAACACCGGCCTCAACGGGCCGGCAACACGTCTCAAAACAATGAAAAGCAGCCGTGTTTTCTTCCATGTGAATTTTCACACTCCAGTAAATAAAAGAGAGCAGATGTAATGTGTAACAAGCGCTGTAAATCAAAGTGTTGTTGCCAAAACTTTTCCTGTTTGACGGTTTGACCTGTTCCCATGTCATAAACACAGGGGAGGATTCTTTTTTGAAAACACCTACGAACGTTTTACATCCTCACCTGACTGTGTGTGTGTTTATTTAAAGAAGGTGTCATGTCGAGGAAAATACCATGACAGCAGAAAGGTGTGTGTGTGTGTACCTCCACATGGTGTATGTGACACACACAGAGGCCCCGAGGAAGGAGGGGAAGCAGAGGAGAGTGATGAAGACGGTTGTCATCTGGCTGACCCTGTAGGGCTTCCTGGGGGCCTGACAGTTCATCATCACGCTGCTCTGTGGGGACAGAAAACAGAGGGTCACCGCCTCCATCAGCCAACAACTACGGCTCCACCAAGAAATCTCGTTGTCCCACTAATGTTGTCGAAGTCACGAATGAACTTTCGTGTTAATACAAGTTGCTGTTCAGTAGACATCAATTGAAAGCGTTACTTTTAGACAGTGATGCATGTATTACATCCAGGGAAATAGAAGGAGTTATTATTGTAAAGATGACTGTTAAAACGTTTTTTCTTCCCTTGTATTTTTATTAAAGCTTACATTTTGAGCATTTTGATTGTAATGTATTAGTTTATCTACCATTTTAATGTAGAATAGTAGCAGGAGTTTGCAAATCTGCACTGCAGGAAGGAGAGGAGTGAAGAGAACGCCCAACCTGAAAAACACATCGACAATCTCATTACACAAGAACTATTTGACTGTACGGAACGAGACTGTGTACATCGCAACAGCGAGTCGGCTACCAGGCCAATGTCTGTCCATAGATGAGCTCAAGGACGTTCCTGGCGATATCAAACACGGGCTTCCTCCTCCTCTTCAGCACCTTCTCAGAAAACAACCTGAAGACAAAAAAACCTGAAGTGAGTTCATAAGTTCTCATGTTTTCAGCAAGAGTGAATATAAAAACTTAATGCGAGCTTTGCTCTAAAAAAATAAATAAAAATACAACCTCCAAAGAAACTCCCCAAACAAGGTGTCCAGTAGAGTGAAGATGAACTCCACGAGAAGGAAACGATAAAGCTCCTGGCCCACAAAACTCTCCCAACACTGAGGACAATATTATCAAACCAGAACAGAGTCATCTAATAAAGAAATGCCACACTGAGCCACTGCTCCGCTAGCATAAAAGTGAGTCACCTCTTACCTCCTGCCCAATAATCTTAGGGTCCGCAGCCACACGACCCAGCCAGTGGTAGCACAGGACTCCCAGCACGCTTACTTTTAACATCAAATTTCTAAAAAAAAATTAAAAAGCAGACAACCCCCAACATGTTACCATGCGTACGGCCCTTTCATAAACTCCTTACATCTGCACGCGCCCCAAAGCCACGTTCCTCCGCCCGTACCTGCCGATGGCGACATATGTGCGTACTGACGGCGAGTCGTAGTCCTCCATCCAGGCTGCCAGGTTGAACAGGCCGGGCAGCAGCAGGTTGATGAGGGAGACGACCACAGGGAGAGCCAGCAGGCTGGCCTCGTCCAACAAGGGCTGCTGGGGGGCACTACGAGAACTTCGCTGGAGGTTCTGGTGGGGAGAGAGACTTCAGGAGTCACTTCTTGAATACCATCTATTTCTTACCCTTCTATTACCAGCAGGAGTCACCAGAAACTCTATTGGGGCAAAAAAGTCAATATTGTTAGAGCTGCTATTGTTTTATATGAAGCAACCACGTAGCAGCTATTCCCAACTAGCTGATATTTTGGAGTAATTTATAAAGTTTGTTTTGATAACCTAATCCAAATTGGCTCAATAATGCACATGAATGTGAAATTCAAATGCATGATTTCAACGACCGTGGCAACTATCCTTCCCCTAACAAAAGGGTTTGGTTTTTGCAAAACAAGGAAGTGATGTGAGAGACAAGCTTCCAGTAAACGCTCTGAAGCGTGCCAATGTGTTGGCCTTGAGTTTCATTGACAAGTTGACAAGCCCAGGTGTAAAGAAGTCTTAAACATTTGATTGGAAGTCTGACAGCAAAGATGTACAAAGTTTAACTAAATACAGCCTGAAGTCTCAGTATTCATTCATGGAAATGTTGACTTTGGACCCTGATTCAAACGCGCCTCACCCGATGCATGTGATCAGAGAAGTAGTAAATAGCGAGCACACAGGCGGTGGTGCTCGCTATGCAGATAGCCCAGGCCAGGCCATGAACCATCATTCTCCACAGCTTCTGGCACCCAGTGTTCTTGACATGCTTATGATTCACCTCCGCTAGCAGCTCCTGCAGACGGAAGAAGGGCGATAGAAGAATTACTGACGGGGGAAGGAAAAGATCCTCATGTTCCTACCTGCCAATTACGTGACAAAGAAAGAGACCAGGAGAGTGATAAAGTGTGTGTGTGTGTGTGTGTGTGTGTGTGTGTGTCAGCCGTCACGTACCTTGACCTGGGTGCAGATGTTCTCAGACATGAGTTTGACAGAGGATTTCTTAATGACCTTGAAGTCCCAGGAGCAGAGGACCTTCATGGCCAAAATACTGTGAGAGTTGTCGATTCTGAAGCTCCGACCAAACGACTTGGACATGCTGTTGGGACATTGCATGTTGGCGCGCTTCATGAGATATCATTACAGTAAAAACTAAAAAGGACATTTAATGTTAGTAGAGTTTGTGCTACAGCATGCCTTTGAGCTAGCAGCAACAACGCTGTACCTGTACACAAGGATGATACACGTGATGAAGAAAGAGACTCCGATGGTGGAGAAGTACGCGAGCGGCATGTTGTACGAGAGGCGCTTGGACGTGCAGTCCGGCCTGGTCCCATTGGACAAGGAGACGTTCTGGCCTCCATCTTCATCCCTGCAGCTGCTACTCAGTGTGTAGTTACAGTAGTACCCATAGTACATCACTGTGTCCGAGAAGTAGCCCTAAGACAAAGAAATAGAAAAACCACTGAAAATTGTATGAAGTGTGTACTTGTGTACAGCTACAGCACTTGGACACATGAAGAATGCAGTGGGTGTTTTTTGTCAAACAGGAGCCTCATTGCGCATTGGTGTTGGAGGTTGTTGCAATAACATGTCACAACGGCACACGGCTCACCGCTCCGGTGAGGAGCTCCAGTCCGACGAAGGAGCGTCTCCCCGCGGGCAGCACGGGAGGGTGTATCGCCTGGGGCAGCACCAAGAAGGCCCCCGTCACCAGGAAGAGGAAGAAGTTGAAGAAGAGCAGGGTCTTAAGGAACAGGAAGTACGAGAGGACGCCGGTGCCAAAACGCCCGCTCACTCTCTTCAGCGGCACTTGCCACAGCTGGAGGGAGTGCAGGAAGGACAGCCAGCTGTACCAGCTCTGTCTGGCACCCTGGGGAGAGGGGGAGGGGGGGGAAACTTATCCATGTTCTACACAACGTGACTCACAAGGCAGCAGTACAATCCGGGCAGAGTGTAAACACATGTTTGTTGAGTCTGACATCTGTAACATGCTCAGGCAGTGATTACACAGAGCACTCTTGTGTCAAGAGTGGTGAAACAGGAACAGTCACAACTTTATTATGTCCAGTTGTGAGGACTAAACATAACAAATGGAACACAAACAGAAACTGTGGCAATGTTCCCACAGATTACAGAGAGCGACTCCCAGGTCCTCAGTGAACTACCTGTCAATCACAAGTAGCTCACATCACAGGCAGCAGGATGACTCCGGCTACTGGACCGTGTGCTCTTTGTTGTAAACGACACTGACTGAGATATTAAATGATCCTGTTAAAGTAGTGGTAGTGTCATAATACATAATCGTTCAGTTTCCACCCTTGAAATGGAAACGTGAAGATCTGCAAACGTCATTTTCTGATGAAGATCGTATGACACAATGAAATCATTAAAATACAGTAAATGTACTGAATGGACTTATAAAGGAGCAATAACAAATACAAGCTGGTACAGTATTTAGAGTCAGAGGAAGAAGGACTCAGCGTTGTACACGTGGGAAAGTAAGCAGAGCACAGAAAGATGTTTCAGATGAAGTGCGTGACTTACAATGATGATGTAATATTTGAGTTGACTGCAACAGGGGATGTGACTGGCAGAGATTGGGTTTTTCCCCTGATGTAAAGTTGACTGGCTGGAGACAAAGAGAGAAAGAGAGAAAGAGTCACGCTGAAGCACAAAAGACACAGTGAATCGACAGGAATACTGAGAACAGGGATCACATCTACCGGAGATTCCTCTTCTCAGTTAAATTGAGAGGCATCGCTCTGAGCATCCGGATTCTGTCGCCCACCGACAGGTTCTGAAGGTTGTTCACCAAACGATCCCGCTTACTCACTGTAGCGCACACACACACACACACACACACACACACACACACAGAGCGGCAGCATTGATCACACAGTAAACTTCTGGGTGGAGCTCTTGTTCCAGGTGTGTCATCGCATCATTCCCCTCACCCTCTGCGTCCGTAGTGTCGACCTCGATGCCGTAGCCTCGTATGCTGGGCCGGGCGGAGTGGGGGAAGTCCCGGATGGCGGGTCTGCTCTGCCTGCGTCTCCGGAGCTGCATGGTCCTGTTGTAGTACTGAGAGATGATGGCTCCCCTGCTGCGACCTGACGGAGGAAGAGGATGGACAGCATTTACTGCTTCTGCGGAAAAAGACGCGTCCGTCTGTGTCTGCAGGCTTCCCGTAGTTTGCAATGAAATAGCAACGCTTACGAAGGTTGGACTGAAACCCGGGACGCAGCGTTTAATGGGACAGCACCGTAAGAGTCTTAAAAAACCCCACCGGTAACCAAATCTACAGTTTAACCAAACCAAGGAACTGATTTTAAAAGAGTTTATAACATTGAATGCAAGAGACCTCATGTTGCTGTCTGCAGTTTGATCTCCAGCAGCATGAGGCACCTGACAGGAAGACAAACAAACAGCTTCCCCATGAAACTGCTCAACTAAAACTGTAATACGTGTTTTGACTGATCTGCAGCTCAACATGGGCAGCAGCAGGTTCCACTGAACGCACCAGCATAGCTTCGTGCGTTACATGTGGTAGTGCACATACTTTCAACATGCCATCTATGAGTGTGCTGACAGGGTTTCCTGTATGGAAACTTATGACCCACAAAGGTACATTTTTCAGGAACTAAAATAGAGGTTTTGTCTCTGCAACCAGTCCTGCGCTGGGCTTTGAATGTTTTTTAACAATTGCAGTAGGTTTCTCTACCCTCAAAGCAGCTTTTGGCATTTGAATACTACAACAACCTGCTCAGTCCTGCTGCAGCTGATAACAGCGGCCGTGTCCCAGAGTGATTTTACCCCTAATTATTGTTCCAACGTGGCCGTCCACAGGACTCACCGATGGTGCGACTGGGCATGGAGGACAGGACCCTCATGGTTGCTGAGGACCAACGTTCGCCTAGGAGGGGGTCTCCCAGGTTTACATCCTCCTCCCTTCCCACGTTCCTCTGTCCCTGCCTCCTGTCCCTGAACACGTGCCCAGGGCTGGACAAGGAGGCCACATCGTCTGAGGAATTAGAAGAGGGAGAAAAAGAAAACGCATGAAGAAAATAGGTCTACTGCTGGGAATGAAAGTCAGATGTGTCATTTCGATCCTCCGTGTCTATGATGTCAGGATGCCGATTAGGGACGTCAGTTCTATAGACATGATGACAAAAAGGTGTAGCTTTCCTGTTTTTGTAGCGTTTAAGCACAAAACATTACATTTAAGCCTCAGCAACAAATGACTTTCTAACAAAAAGGCTGTGGATACAATTTTTCCAAGAAGGTGCGATTCAACTGTTAAATATTAATTAATTAATCTAACTGTATAATAAAGTCACTTAAATACGTCTCCCTTTGCCTGGTGTGTGTACGCGCGGCTCTTCTTTGTGCGTTCACGTCTGGCCCGGGACTCACATGGATCCTCCTCGTGCAGTTGTCTCTGCAGCTGCTGCAGCTCCACGGCGTCAGAGGCTCCTCTATGGTCCCTCTGCTCCGCGATCAGCCGACTGAACGAGTCGTGGACGCCTTCCTCGTCCACGGGGCTCCTGACAAGAGGGACACGGGGACAGATATCTCAAAGCTCAGAGATACAGGTTGGGATCGAGGAGCCTGGGAACCGCAACCAAACGGCCCATGTCATTTCATTCAGCGGTGGGAAGCGCAGCCCAGTTTGCCTGCTGCGTGACCCCCTTCCTGCGCTATCTAGACGTGCTGACATGGCAAACGGGACGCATTGTTTTCGTCTCAGAAAGTCCAGTTCCCGTTGAGTCAGATAGCACGAGAAGAGGGCCACGCACGAGACAATCAGGACCGCGATGTCTTCTAAACAGAGCGTATGCAAACACGGTGCAGCCAAACAAATAGGAGTCTCTTAAAGTTAAAGTAGGTCTCACGGTTTACGAGAGGCGACGAGGCGCATTGCGATCGGCCCGCCCGCCCAGTGCCTAAAGGGACTTCAAAGAGCACAGCTGATCCCGTCACCTCGACTACTTATTTTCGTCCCGCCAAACAGTGAACCGAACAGCGAAACAAAAAAGAAAAGAGGAGGAGCTCGACGGCATAGAGGACCGATTGAACACTTACTCCAGTTCAGATTCAATGAGCAGGTGGTCCAGGTCAAAGTTGACACGCTGAGCCATTCTCCTTCTCCCGGGAAGGACCCGATCTGCGCCGCACAGCGATCACGCCCTCTCCCGCTCAGATCCGCACGCCACTCCCACCATGGTGTCTATTCGTCTACCTGAGAGGGGAAAGGGAGGGCGAGGCGGGACAAAGGTGAGACGAAAAATACCGTCAGACTTCTCAGGAATTTGAAGGATCTGGTCTCTGCTTGTCCTGAGCACATTTTTAACTGCATGCTGAGGAAACAAACCGGGAGTGTAACCATGATCATTTACGCTTCAGTGTGTGACCTGTGTCTGGATAAGACACAGATTACGTACCAGAGGACACATGAAAGAACTCCAGATGCGCCATGATGGGTCAAGCAGTTCAGGGATTGGGTCATTTTGTCCAGACTGTGAGCTGCATTGTGACGCTGCTTATGATGGAGGCTGGTGGAGGGTCAGACAGCACGGTGTCACCAGCTAAATGAATATTCATGGCTGGAGACAGAGCGACGCATTGTCAGCATTGTGAGCTTGTTGTGCGAGGGCTCTGGAGGAAGTACGCTGGTTCCTCTGACTTTGTGGACATTTAAAGGGCCACTCTTCTATCCAAAATCTGTCATGTCATGACATCAGATCATGTTCTGGTCTTTTAAAACATGATCGCAGAAGTTTTCAAAGCCTTTGAAAGTCTTCAAATAAATTGGAGCTGGATATCTACTGGAGACTAGATTTATTTTCCAAAACGGCCTTGTTAAAGCAAAGAAAACTTTCAAATAAAAAATAAATAAAAGTCAATCAACAACTAAATTATGCTGTGTGAAGACTTGAGAAATTGTAGCAGAGCACAGAAAGAACCCATCTGATTATATACCCACATACCTTACAGTTCAGTATAATATGATATTTTAATATTATTATTATAATATTGAATTATTACCAAGCGGCCCTGTTTGAATTCCAGAATAGAAACTTAGCCTTGAAGTCTCGGTTAGGGATGTTTATGGGTCGGGTAGCAGCTTTTTTCCAAAGATGAAGATCTAGGTCAAATATAAATGTCAGTTGAAAGTTCACTGTAAAGAACACTTGAGGTCCCATTAACGTCAGATCTACATCCTGTTTACACGCACCGCGTGCAGACAGAAGTTCATAGGGATGTGCTGTGTGATAACATCTAGTGATTGGGGGTCTCCTCTGTGATACAACGTTGTAGTTCCCCTGCATGTACACCTATGTGGGTAAACTAGTCTGAGCTCAACAGCTAAAATCCTCTTAAAGCTGAATGTTACAATATGCACTCACGCTGGGCAAAACCTCAGCATTTAAACATCCATCACACAACAAGTGTTGGTTGTGTTTGTTTAATGGGAGTGCCCTCTGTAATGCGAAATGGATTATAGCAATGTGCAGTGTGTGAATATTTCAAGCATTACACACGCACAAAAGTGTGAGTGCGACACCCAGCCTTCTGCTCGGGTGGAGGTCCCTCAGGTTCTAGTCTGGAGTGAATATGATATCAGCAGCATGAAGAAGGCGGAGCTCTCAACATCAGCCAACAGCGACCCAACGGAAGAAAAATGTCCCTCTGCCAGCACCAGCGGTAATCCTTCTTTTGTGCCCGTTCTTGTTCAGGCCCACGTTGACCCAATCCACTGCACACAGATTGGGTGTTTCCAGCATCCCGTTACACCTTTCATAATGGTCCATTTTCGCTGCAAAATTGTAGTTTTGGACGATCCTTTATCGTGTTACTTCATTTCTGTCTCACACGCACGGAAACTAACACGGATGTATTGAACCTTGTGTTACTATTTGTGCCTTGTTATGATGTTGCATGTTGCAGGATAATAAGAGGGTGGGACGAACGCTTTAATGCGCCCTGACAGGCGGGTCACAGCTGAGCTGCACTATTGCCAAATACAAGATGGGAAAACCAAGTAGAGGAATAACAGAACACAGAGTCTAAGTTGGGTTACAAGTAAAGTTACAGAAGGTCACCGGAGAGCAGTTTAACCTGGAAGGTTTCCCGGTCAATAAAAGAAAACAGAGGGCCGTTATACACAATACAAGTGAAGGGAGGGATGAGAAGGAATCTGCCCAATGAGTCAGATTTCAACAACAGCATGGAAATCAGTTCCCAGAGTGCTGTGGGGAAGAAAAAACAATGGACGGGAGCAATGCAGCCCAAAGCTACAGCAAACATGCCAGCAGATCTACTTGTATTCAGCTACACGCATGTTGTGTGTTGGGCTGCAGCTGGCCTCGAGAAGGAGGGATCGCTGTAAGAATATGGAGACGATTAAATAAGCAGATGTTTTAGTTCAAATCGAGAATACGTCATGTAATGCTGGCGGGGGGGCATTGCCAAGAAAGACAAGTAAAGGGGGGCAGACAATGGTAACAGGGTAGTAACAGCGGAGATGAGGAGGACAAAAGAAAAATGTGCACGCAATTAAGTGGAATTGTGTGTCTAACGCGGTCAGGCATGCGCGTGCGTGTGCATACGCAACTGACAGGTTACGCGCTTAGTGCGTGCGAGGCCCATCGCACTTGCAGGTCCTCGTTCAAAACAAGGACACTAACGTTGCTCAAACACAGGTGTTGCAAAAAAAAAGTGGACGTCACTGTTCAAATTGCCAAAGTGTCCAACGTTAAAGTTTAAATGTGAACTCTGCACCGACGGCGGGCTGCGCAGAGACAACGTGTGTCGTGAGGCTGACAAATGTTTTACCTTCAAGGTGACAGCCAGGCGGTGGTTTAAGGGAATCCAGAGGTAGCGAACAGCTTAAAAAAAACAACTTGTTGTTGTTGTTTTGCAGTTGTTCACTCTTCCGTTTGGTGCCTCGAGAAACCAGTTGAGTGAGTGTTGAAACCACTGTCAGTCAAAGGAGTCTCTCCTCGCGCAGCCGGGACTGCCGGGGAGAAACCACTTCACACGAGGGGTGTTCGGTTTCTGCTGATCTCAGACAAAACGCTACGAGGCGAGATTGGAACATTCACTCAGGTTTACAAATTCCCGTTGCTCGATTACCCGTAGTCTTCAAAACATGCATGACCTTAACTTGTTCACCAGCTGCTGATAAACAGGTGGGTTAAATCTGACCCCCCACATGGAAGACACTTTTGGTTCAGTCGCATTCAGAATTTAAATCGTGGTTTGAATAACCAACAAAACAAGACAAAGGTACTAAAAGGCAGTCCGACAACAACAATACCAGGACCGTGTTAAATCAATTTGAAATGTAAGTGGGTATATAACCTACAAATAGTGCCTTTAACACTAAAATGTAATAAGAGCTTAACTAGAAGTAAAGTCATTACATAACACACCTGATCACTTGAGATAGGGAACAAACATTACTATAAGTCAACTTCCAACTTAAAAAAAGAGTCACAAAGTGACTCACCTGCCTATACCTGACCACACCTAGGCTACGTCAGCAACAGCAACGCTCTGCTGTGTCAAAGTAGGAAAAGTACAAATGTAAATGATACTGAATGAATATGCTTGAATTCCATTGGGCTTATTCAGTTTCAGGATTGTGATATTTTGCAGCTCACTGTCTCTCTGTTGTGGCTTACTGGATCACCGTACAGCCATCTTTAATGTCATTATTAACATTAGTGCTGTTACAGTGAAAAGGCCTATAACCATCCATAAATACATGTGCACCACCGCAGGCGCATTATTCTTACATTTGTAGTAAAACCAGGTGTCCTTATAGGATCTGGGTAATGACAGTGCAACAATAGAAACTATGCATACTGACAAGCTCATAAGAAAGGAAACCAATGCTCGAGTTACTTTGAAAATTTGTCTTACTGGAGGCCTGTAATGCGTTTGTGGTGATAGTGGGTGGAAACAGCCTTTCTGCTACATGAATGAAATCAAAACGTTGGTTTCCAAATGATGGTACTCACCAGTGAGGCTCATGTCAATTCTGTATTGTATGAGAGTGAGTCAGTAAAAAAGCCAGATGACTACTTACTTAATTCTTTGACTTTGTTGGCTTCACACACATTAAAACCATACTTTGGGAGCAAATAACACATAATATTGAGATTCATTTTAAAGTTTGTTCAACATTGTTTCCTAGTGGGTTTACAAACATTTCCACATTTGTTTCAGTCAAATGTGTTTGCTTGGGTATTTCTTGTTATGTTCAGCCACCAATGCAACACCTGCTTTGGCATCCTGTCATGTGACTTCCTGTAAGCTGTCAGACAAAGTCATATTTGGACAGTTTAACAACAGCTCGACACGCCTGAAAGTGAGCCGTATACAAACAGGACTTTGGGAAACAACGGCACATCGGCCGCTCGGGGGTCTTCCTTTCAGGGGGACGTTAATTGGGGGAAAAGCAGGATTTTTAGATTCACTTTGAGTTGCAGCTTTGGTGGCGATGTTTGTCAACTGGTGCTTAATTCACTGCGAGAAGAGGAGTTTTCAAGATTTTTGATCAAAGAGGAAGTGCACGGAGAATAAAATGGGGGAGCACAAGGCTGTCAACTTCATGAGACTCCTGTCAGGTAACAGAAAGATTTAACCAAAATGTGCCTTTTGTGTTTTCTGTGTGTGCGTGACATTAAGGAGTTGCATGAGCTTTGAATTTAAATGCAAAGGCTGAAAAACACCATTCCAATGTTCTATACAGGCTGGAAAAAGAAGAAAAGGTTGAAAATGGATATGGTTCTCTATTATTACAGATATTGTGTAACATAATTAATAATTGAATTATTATTTCAAACCATAATTGTCAAACATCTTCTGGTTCCAACCATGCAAACGTAAATGTTTGTGTCCAAGCCGCTGCTTCATTTAATATATATTTGCCAGAATACAGATGATATAGACATCTTTAATACACATCTCAACAATAGCTACAATTCAAGAAAAAACAAAACCAGGTCTGATTGCAAGTCACAATACAGTAGTCTCTAATAAATTATCATATCAATTTAATGTTGAACCAATTAACATACATAACATATTTGACGATGTGATTTTGGAACTTCTTAACTACTTTCTCATTGCAATAAAGTCAATAATCTGCAGACTCATGATGACAGTGAGCGTGACTGCCACCTGTAACGAAAGAGCTACGTGAAACATCTTGTGTGTGAACATGCACTTTAATCTCATTCCCACGTTCCAAAGAGGAAAGCACAGTTTCCAGCGCGTCGTCGGACTCCTGTGAGTACTACCAGACCGAGATATTTGATCAGCTGCCCAGCATCCAGGCCAGCCGGCCCGAGCAGGACAGGCAGGCTCTCTGGGGAGCCAGCGAGCCCCACCAGGGTGGCCCAGAAGCAGCGGAGAGGATCGGCCATGACCACCTGTCCAGAGGACCCAAAGACAAAGCCTTTACAGAGCCGCTCAGGAACCTGGTCATGTGCATTCAGGGGAAGAGAGGCGCCAGGTGGGGGAGATTATTTTAATATCTCTTTTTAGGCCACAGCAGAGGGCACAGATGACTTTTTGTTATGCTTTTTCCTGGATAGTTGATCTTTGGGAGGGATAATTGCAGACAACATACAATTGTTCCTTTAAATATGTTCAATTACAAGTTAGGAAGAGACTGTTTGCCTTTTTTGCAAAGCGTAACGTTCCATTTTAAAGTGTTTAAAGTATTTTCCTGCACCGTGTTTTACACGTTAAGATAAAATAGAGATTCACGAAATCACTTATGGACTCTGCTCATTAGGGATAGAAGGAAGATGCAAATCAGCAACATTGGTTTCTGGGAGTCCTGGAGGCGGAGCCAAAGCATAAACAGGAAGAGGGTTTGGGGGCAAATGGGAGGAGCTCTATCAGGCCTGTTGCCATGGCAGCACACGCTCCACGCCATCGAAGGTAAGACATGTCTGAGTATGAGAAGGAGTACGATGACTTGTTCTGCCACTGGTTGGTTTCCAGTCTATTGTATTACCATGACCAGACGATTTCACCACAACACAATTTCAAGTTCTAACCCTCGCTGTGCTGTTCCAGGCAGGTTCGGAGTTGGCGTGAAGGCTTACTTTGTGTTCCTCAGATACCTGGTTTACTTAAACCTACTTCACTGTGCTCTTGTCGGGGGTTTCATTCTGGGGCCTACAGCATTTTATGGCAGGAGCAAAAGCAGTGGTGAGTCCCCTGTAATGACGCATGAAATCATCTGCAACTCAGAAAAGCCTCCTGTGTGAACACTGCTGAGCTCTCTGTGCTATCACAGGGCCTTTGAGGTTTGGAGGCAACGACTCGGTTTTGGATTTCTTCCTGGGATCGGTAAGAGTTTGTTTGCTTGTGTGCTGTATGCCTTGTGCGTCTTTCACTTAATGTATCTTCTCCTTTCTACAGGGTTACCTGGATCGTTCTCCGGTCTTCTTCGGTTTTTACACCCGTGGTTCCCTGAATTTGCAGTGCTTGAATACGCCTCTGCTATACCTCGCTGGAATGTTCCTCATCCTCATCCTCAGTCTCATCCTGGTGGTCCGTCGGTCAGTTGGGAAATAACTGCAAAAGGACACTTTAAAATAAGAACCAAACGCTTTAAAATCACTTTTAAACTTTGCATCTTAGAGGAAGCTTATTAAATCTGTAAACTCCTTTGCTAGAACGACGGTTGGCTACAAGCACACCTGGATGCTCGGGAAGCGTTACAGTACTAACGTGAGCTACAAGATCTTCAGCGGTTGGGACTTCACCATCCAGGACCCTTCTGCTGCCATTCTCAAACACAGCTTCATCAGAAACGACCTCAAGGTGAAAGGACGCACATATTTAACAGACATACAGTACGTGATGGTGCTGCTCTGGATTACCACGGTTACACGCTAAATGCTGGTCAAACGGTGAATCCGTTATTTCCCAAACTATAATGATGGGTCTGCCATGATGGTCTATGGTGTTCAATCACCCAGTAGTGCCTCCAGGCTTTCAAAACAGACACACACACACACTTTGAAAATGAAATATAAATGTTATATTTGATTGAGTTAAAACACGGCAGATGCTCACAGTTGAGAGGTTTTCCTCTTTCTGTCCTTCCTCAGCTCTTTCTGGAGGAGGAGAGTTTCTCTCTGCGAGAGGCTCAGAGGACAGTTGGACAGGCGGTGCGTCTCTACCTGCTCCGGTTTGTCCTCAACCTGCTGGTTCTGTCCCTGCTGGCCGGAGCCTTCTATCTCATCTACTATGCCGCCAAAACTTCCCAGAAGAAGGTGAGACCTTCATGCTGGTTTTGTCACAGTGTGTCCTGGTCCTCTCCGGCCTCGTGGACTTATGTCCCCATTTGACTGTCTTTCTCAGAGTGCGGACTACTGGCTGGTCAGCCTGGTCCTGGAGTACCTCCCTCCCATCACCATCACCTTTGTCAACCTGGTCCTGCCTCACATTTTCCGAACGATCTCTTCTTTTGAGGACTATTCTTTTACCATGCAGGTCAATGCCACGCTTGTGAGGTAAAGTGCACACGGAGATAAACACAGTAGGACATAAAGACAACAGACAAACAAACACGCACACATCTGCACGTGTTCACCCCGTCTTTTCTTCAGGAGCGTCTTCTTGAAGCTGGCCTCGCTTGGGATCTACTTATATCTCATCCTCACAACTACAGAGCCTCATCAAGTGAGTCAATAGATTCATGTCTCATGGACACTGACCAGATCCATGATTTTAAATGTGTTCTTAATCCTTTTTTCTGTTACAGAATCCTTCTCGCTGCAGGGAGAACGTGTTTGGTAGAGAGATGTACAAACTGTGCATCTTCAACTTCCTTGCCACTTTCTGCAGCACGTTTCTCTTGAACTACCCCTGGAAGTGGGTTTGTTTGAGATCAACAGCCTGTTTCTCTTTCAGTCATCGTTGTGGTTTCAATGGAAATATCGATCTCTTAACAACAGTTTGTCTAATCCAAGGAAAGAATGTAGCTCACTAAGCCGAGCCATGAAAAGATTCATTCATTTTCCTCTGACTGACAGGCTGCTGCAGGAGACATACCCCTCATGCCTGCTGGTCCGGCTTTTAGGGAAACAACGATTCCTGATCCCTTTCAAAGTGTTGGATCTTGTGCACAGTCAGACAGTGTCCTGGGTGGGAGTCTACTACTGCCCTCTGCTGCCTCTGATCGGAACCGTCACACTGATGGCCACCTTCTACATCCAAAAGGTTGTGTGGGATACGAGAGCTATGGACTGTCTAGACTGACATCACTCTCTCTCGCTCTCTCTCTCCTTGTTGTGTCTCTTGAATCCGGTCTATCATCCTGTCCTAGCACAAATGTCACAAAACATCTAAGAGCAATGATCTAAAATAAACTAGATACTACTTCAATAAATACATTTTAAAAACTTTGAATAAACCATGCGTTCCGTATACAGCCGGGTGATATTGTTTGTTAAGTAACGTAACACTTTTTGTGCCAAATATTCTAAAGAAAGTCCAATTTTGAAAAAAATGACAGAAATACGTATATTTTCTTGAGAAGAGTTAAATTAGAGGATTGTCTGTGTGCTCGCGGCTTGTCTGAACTGCAATGTTTTGATAGTTAACTATCTTTATTATACAGTTTTTTCTATTTCCTATTTTTGTGTCTGGTTTGACCTAGATCATAGTAAATGACTAGATGGAGATGTGACCCAGAAGCACCGGTGACCGTCCAGACTATACACGAACATCTCCCAGCAATGTTCATGTCCTTTTCTCCAATTCTGTCTTCAGTTCACTGTCCTGCGGTGCTGTGTGGCAGAGCAGAGGATGTTTCGAGGTTCCAGCTCCTCTGTGTTATTCCACTTCATGTTGCTGCTCGGCCTCCTAATGGCTGCAACCACGCTGGGCTTTAACATTTACCAACAAGAAGCCACACCCGACAAGTACATGCACTCACATACTGGCCGCCTCAACTTTTTAAAAGTATCCTTTTTTGCACCACATTTGTTTCTTTAGCTGTTACATTTTTTATATTGTCAATTTAAAAATGTTTTTTTCTTTTTATGCCTATAGGTCCTCCTGTGGTCCATTTGGAAATGGAGAAACTGTATTTAATGTGACAGGAGTGTGTATGAACAGCCTCCCAGGCCCGGCACAGAGCGCGCTGCGGTACCTGACCTCTGAGGCCTTCGCCCTGCCGCTCATACTCGCTGAGATGTGAGTATGCAACGAAAAATAAATAGAACGAGAAGAACGAGAAGCTGAGTTTACAGCTGCAAACATGTAATGATGTTCAATGGCTACAAGCTGTTTTAGAGTAGACAAACAGTCCTTTCTTCTGATCTCCTGATCTTGATTCTTCTAGTATAATCCTAACCTCATATGTGTCACGGGGACAAGCCAATCAGAAGGCCATCGAGAGACTGAAAGACATGCTGGTTATGGTAAATGATGTCATCAAACACAAACGTCATACCAGAAGCAGATATTTCAGTTGCTGCATTTGATTTGCCGTACTTGAAATACTTTACATTTCTGTTTGTGTTATGCTTCTCTGGTGTATCTGTGTGCGTGCTGTACTTATACTTTCGTATGCGTTTTGTCTCGCAGAGCAGCTCAGATAAGCGTTTCCTGGTTAAACAGCATGCCACGGGGCTCAAACGTCAGAGAAAACCCCAAAGAGTCGGTCCTACGGCCATCGAAGAGGACTCCGCCCCCTCCTGACAACCCCCCCCAACACACATACTTCAATATAGTATTAAGCTGGGATATAAAGACTTTCCGTCAACCACAGATGGGCTCGGGCCCGGGGGTGGCTGAAACTAAAAAGTCAGAAGGACTGTTCCAGTTACACAATATGCAAAGATAAGAAAAGCACTTTCTGCAAAAGTCTTTTCACAACATTCAGAGGATGTATTCTCACTTCTGCTGTCCGTTTGATAATCAAAGCTTTGATCATTATGTTTAGCCAAACAGTGATATGCAAAAATGCTTTCATTTTTTATATACCTTTAATTAAAAAGTATATAAGGTATACGGTTAAAAGGTATATTACGGTCATAGTGTTTGTATGTTTAAATAAATGTCCCTCTACCTAAATTCAATAAAACTGTGAGTGATTTACAAATGTGTGGCTCATTAAAACTTTGTTTAAAAGTTTTGTTTGTCTTGCTTACATTATAACCAAACATGCAGTCTAATATGTTATCTATTTGCAACACATGTGTAACACCCCTCGTTGTAACACAATCCTTCACACCCCCACACGCAGACACACACACACACACACACACACACACACACACACACAAGATGGGTATATTGAGCCAGGCTTTGGAGAAACCATGTCAAAGATAAATGTGGAGCTCTGTTATGAAGAATCAACAGACTTTAAATTTGCTGCCAGTTTTGGGTGAGTTAATCAAAAAAGTTAAAAATAGCAACATGAATAAATAATTTGATTGGTTTATTTATATTATTTGAACAATGTGTTGTTGTTTTTCAGCTCTAGCAAGTTTCTTCATCAGGATAAGTACGTTGGAAGTGGAGCTTAGTAAGATCTGGTTCCACGCTGACTGACGGATCTTTCGTTGCTTCAGAACCCTCGATATTAATTTCAAAACCTGAAATCCAAAAATAAGTGGCTGCATCTGCTCTTACTCTCTTTAAAACTTTTCCGGTCTCTACCTAAACTCCATGTCTGTCCTCAGGTGGATCAATGTCTCTTCAGCCGGTGCTGAGTGGTCCTGACGCGGCGTTCCTCAGTTCCAGGGTGACCTTCCGCTGTATTCGACCTGACTCCTCTCTGCCAGTCACCTATGAGCTGATTAGGGACGGCAGCGCCCTGATCGCCGTAGTCGCTGACCTTCCTGGGGATCAAAAGGCTTTATTTCACCTGAAGGTCACTGCAACGTCGGAGGGGTCGTACCACTGCAAGGCGACGACACCAGAAAGCACAGGAGTCAGCAACAGCATCAGGCTGAGTGTAGTCAGTGAGTGAACCACAGAGAGAATCTTATTTCCCTGGAGACACTCTCAAACCTGACCTCCGTCTCTCCTGCCCAACCACCCGTCCTTCCCTGCCCTTCAGCTCCAGCCTCGAACACCAGAGTGACCTCTGATCCCTTCCCCCCTGCCGCGTACGAGGGGTCACGCATGGCACTGAGCTGCAGCGTTGCAAAGGGCTCCCATCTTTTCTACACCTGGTTGTTCAACAGGAAGGAGGTGACATCTTTAACCTCTCCTCCAGTTCTCCTCACTGGGAACGAGCTAGTGATGGGGAAGGTGGCTCCAGAGCATGCTGGGTACTATTCTTGCATGGCTTGGTCCGAGGTGCAAGGCGACAGGAGGTTTTCCAGCAGCCAAGAGGTCCAGATGACAGTCAAAGGTGAGGGCTGAAAAAAGACAAAAAAAACGAGACCTACTCAAAACGTTGGTTCAATGTATTTTCACTTCAGCGTAACTTGTGCTGTATCATCCCTGTCCTCGTCTTCTCCCCTCTTTATTCCCCCACCAGCCTACCTCTCAAAGCCAAGAATCTCTTACTCCATCTTCAAACAGGGAGCCAGTCGGTATGGCAACGTGACGTGCTGGTCAACAAGAGGGAGCCCTCCGGTCAACATCTCTCTCTCTGTAAATGACAAAGAGGTGGGATCCGTCACAGGCGCTCAATCCCTCGTTGCCTGGTTCCTCGTCGCCATGGCACCGAGGCAGGACACGGCCGTCGCTCGGTGTCGCGTGAAGACTGAGGTGCAGGAGTTGACGAGTGAGCCTGTGACTCTGGAAATGGGTATGAACTACACCGACATGTGTAGGAAGTGTGTGTGTTTGTGATTGTTGACCCGTCTCTCTCTGCCGTTCGTCCAGTGCCAGTCGGAGGTCACGTGAAAGTGGAAGTTGAATATCTTTACAGTGCTGATTCCAAACTAGTTGCTGCCAAGCTGACCTGCCAGGTCAGCAGAGGAACTTTCCCTCACATCTCTTGGCTCTTGAACAATTCCAGCCTTCCCTCTGAGACACATGAGGACTCCCTCACTCACCCCGTCCCGTATCACGGCGCCCTGGCTGACCGTAGACGAACACTCTTTCTGGCCAAACTTGGCCCAGAGGAGTCTGGGTATTACGTCTGCAGGGCCAGGGACAGCTACAACGACTCCGGCGCCTGGCTGGAGAGTGCAGCCGTGCTGGTGGGAGTCACAGGTGAGATTTCTGTACGGTAAAGAAGCCGCAGTCAAACGGCTGCCTTGGTTCTGTCCAAAGTTCACCAAATCTACCAACCAAACATCTAACGCTCACTAACATACATGTTCGTAAGTTAACTGGTCATGTGTGTGTTGTTTGTGCTCTCAAGTGTTCCACGTCACAATTTTGTGTGTTTAATAAATGCCTCAAGCAACATCCTCCACTGAACCATCCCGCAGAAAGTAGCACATATTGTTTCTCATTCACTTCAACGAAAGAATGACTCATGTATATTTGGATGCGTTACTTGCTGCCTCCACAGTACATAATACTTCACCTCGTGCCTTCTCCTCCACAGAGGTTTTTCTGAACACCATCGAAGTCCTCACCATTGTGTTCTGCTGCTTCCTTTTTCTGATGCTGGCCGTCGGTGCCGGCTGTGTTTACAAGATGTTTGACCACAAGCACGGTGTGTGTGTGTGTGTGTGTGTGTGTGTGTGTGTCTATTTGTATCCAACAGAGAAATGAACCCACTGGAGATGTTTAACTTATAACATTTAATCTATGTTCATTTCTTTCACAGCTCAAGCCCAAGTTGCTACAACAGAGTAAGCTTGGTCTTTGGAGGCCTGGAAGTTAACTGTTCTGTAAGTCAAGTCAACTTCTTTGACCAACTTTTGTGCCTTCCTTTCCCAGTTCTGATGCTTTTCCTCTATCGGCACACACATCCCCGTCAGGAGGCAGACAGGACGATACTTTGTCCAAAGACTTTGATTTTGAGAGTGAGGTACACGGCCGCACTTCATATGTTCAGATGTATGTTCTTCATATAAACACAGTGATTTAGAATTACTGTCATATGACGTACTGTCCGGTGATTTGTCACTTTATAAGTCCCTTAGTTTAGGCATTTACTAGACGGAACCGATATTTCACTGTAATGTTACCGGGAAAAACAATTTTATTAACCTAATCTGTATGCTGGAAAGAAGTGATGGTTTTGTTTTCACTAATATGATAAACAGACTTCTACATGGACTCTTGTATAAACAAGAAGACATGACTGTTGTCTCTGCTCTCTCTGATCTAGATCACTGTATGAAACAGGAGGAACCTGCACCTCTCCTCATTTCCATCACCGCTTCATGAAAATTAATCAAAATCTGCAGCTACATTTTTTTATCTGCAGGCAGGGCAACAATGTCTTTTCCAGAACTGCCGAGTTGCTTATAAAAACTGGTGGAACATTCTAAAGTACAACTAAAAAGAGTGAGATATTATATTCAAAGCAAAACTGTATATCATTATGTGTTTGAAAATAAATACAAGAATACCAACTGATGTTTTATTGCCGGTCTTCTTTTCAAAAGTTAAACCAATAAAATATATTAGTGAATCGATTACACCTTCACGTCCTCACGAACACTCCAACTTTTGTTGTTGCTTTGACACTCACATTTTTCAAAATATGTCACAACACTTCTGCGTACACTCGTGATGTAACTCAGGGGGACGCAGCAGGGAGGGGTTAGTTTATCACTATCAGCCACATGTCTGTCTCTAAGTCAGTGTGTGTGTGTGTGTGTGTGTGTGTGTGTGTGTGTGTGTGTGTGTGTGTGTGTGTGTGTGTGTGTGGGAGGGAGGGTACGTTTTACACCACGATCAAAGCTGTCACGCATAACACGGCGTTAGAAGTGTATAGTCATATTAAACTGACCTTCAAGAATGTTTGCTTGCCTCTTTGTGGTCATGCTGGGTAAGCTACTCATCACAAACCGCCCTGCAGTACACTTATTACACAACATCACGCTGGTGTAAACCTCTTGACTTCGTCTTCCTTTCAACAGGGCTTTGCTTCTGTAGCAAAGGGAACAGTAAGTCATTTTTGAGTGTGCGTCAGTACATTTCAGTCAATTATGAAACTCCTAAGTGTATTTTTGTTTTGTTTGTGATAGGCCAGTCTACTCTGGGGCGTCCAAGCCTTTTTATCCCTTCGGAAGCTCTGGTGGACAGCTTTGTAGATTTTTATTGTGAAATAGAATTCCCTCCAGAGAATGAAACTGTCCTGTTTCAGGTATTCAAGTGAGTATCGGTTAGTACAGTAAATCCATCCTCTAAATTAGAAAGCTTTAAGTAATGACAGAAAACCACTCTAATCATCAACATTTTCTAGCAAGGATAACCATGACAGGTTGCTGGGCGAATACACCTCCTTGAACAGAGAGGTTGCAATAATTCCCCAGATAATCCAACTGCACCATGAGGGCAACCTGGAGTGTGTGGCCAAGGCTCAAAACAACTCTAACGTGGAGCCCACTGTCAGCGACACACAGTACCTGAAGGTCATTGGTGAGTCTCTCTATTTCCAATTATGCATTCTATGTAAAATATACATGGCTTCTTTGTAGCAGTAACAGTTTGTGCAAGTAAAAGCTCAGCAAAATGATTGGAAAGCCTTTCTCAAACTGTATTATTTTGCAATGTGCAGGGCTGTAACTTGCCTCTGTGCCAAATCTCTCTCAAACAAACAGATTTGAATCGCAGGGAGATTTATCTCCAGCAAAATAAATAAATCAACCAAACAAAGAATTCAGAAAATATTACATTTTGTGAATTGAATGCAGGCCCCCCTTCAACAAATGCCATCAAATATGTGACACCCAGCTGTTTGGTCGATACAAGTTGATTGGATTTGGTGTGAAATAAGACCAGGATCTCCGTCTGTTGCAGAGCCAGTGAGGGGTGCAGAGGTTGTCGTTCCACAGAGTCAAGTGGACTTCTTTGAAGGGGAGACACTGCAGCTAAACTGTGAACTCACTGCTGGAAACCATGTCTCCTACAAGTGGCTGTTGAATGGACAGCTTGTCTCACCGTCACCTCTCCACCATGTTGCAGATAAAAATCTCTTGATCGACAGGTTAGTGGAAACCCATTGAGATGTTAGTAGATGGTTGCCATGGTGTTGTCAGCCGCTGAATGTGCGGTTGCTAACATAAGACTGGGGTCCTATACGCCGTTGCTACGTAGTTGACAAGGGTTTCTTAGCATGTTTTCCATTGTGGTTCCAGCTGGCAGGGAGTGATGCGCGAGTGATAAGGTGAAGAATGTGTAAATGACCGTCACAGAGTGGTAGAAGTAGCCGTAATGTTAGTAGTAGCAGAAAAGTAGGAATCATTTTTTTTTCTCCACTTAGCTGAGAGTTGTTACGTTTTAAATGAACTAGGAGCAGCATATGAGCCTATTAGTTAGCGTAGTATTTAAACTGGACACAGTTAGCTACCTTGGCTATAAGTACAAAGTACCGCAAAAGCTCACTAAACAACATGTGAGTTGTTCGTTTTATTTGTTAGACCGAAAGTACTAGAAACCCTGAAGTACTAAGAGAGACATCAAACCCCAAAGAAATGCACTTATTGTAGGTAGCTTTGGATAAAAGCGTCAGCTAAATGAAATGTAAAAGACAAATCTAAATGTGTCGATGAACCAGAGGGACGCTCTAAATATTACACAGACAAAAAAAGGGGGCTAGAATGCTCAACAAACATTCAAGTCTGTCTGTTTTTCATGGAGGCCAAGTGTATAACTAAAGGTGTGATGACGGGTCAATGACGGGATGATCTGTGTGATCTACAGAGCTACTTCGAAAGACACGGGATACTATATGTGCGTCGCCACCAACCACTTCAACAAAACTAACATCTTCACCTCCAATAGCTCTGAAGTTATGATCACATTCAAAGGTCAGCTGCAATGAATTGACTCTCAGGTTCAAAGTCTGCAGATGTGAAATGGTTTCATTGGACAACATTACATTCTCTTACATCTTACTCCCTCAGAGAGGGTGTCAATCCCGGACATCTCCTTCACCGTGTTGAAGGAAGATTCCCACAACATTTCTGCCATGGTCACCTGTCGGGCCACAGAAGGGACTCCGCCGGTCACCTTTTCAGTATACAACACGACAGAATTGGTTGCCAATGTAACAGTTGAGGAGAGAAACGCAACATTTAAGGTTCCGCTGGTTTTGGGCCGGGACTTGGGATGGCTCCACTGCCAGGCGAGCAACGGAGCCCAGATCCAAAACAGTCCACGCATTCTGCTGAAAGTTGGTACGTGAGATGTTTAAAGCTGCTGACACGACGCTGTGGCACACACTGCTTTCCGTAATATTACTCCAGGGTTTCTCTTTCTGGTCCATAACATCTCCAACAGTGCCGGTCGGTGGGCCTGTGAGGATCCGTTACGACTACGACGTAGAAAACTACGCCGTAATCGGCCTGCGGTTCTACTGCCGGGCAGCGAAGGGATCTCTTCCCCAGTACCGGTGGTTCCTCAACAAAACCCTCCTACACGACAGAGGAAGCTTCTACCATGTGGTCAACCAGCCTCCAGAACAATCCATACTCCTGCTGTCGGCAGGCCGGAGCAGCGCTGGAACGTACCACTGCGACGTGTCGGACAGCTTCGACAGCAGCAGCTCCATCAGCAGCAATAAGCTGTATTTGGATAAAGAAGGTATACAGTTTGGCCACTGATAGTCAGGTAAAACATGGGAGAGCTGGCCTCATCTCCTCTTCTTCCTCCGACTCCTCCAGTGCTGAATCGTCTCCCCGTCCTGGTGGTGGCAGTTGTCTTTGGGTGTTTTACCTTCCTGGTTGTCCTGGTCTCCATATGTTGTTTGGCTGGAGTGATATTCAGTGAGTTCTGGTTTTTATTCGGTGTAGCTACTTCCACATTGCTACTGAGAATAAATCTTCTTTTTGTTCCCTCTTGTTGCAGAACAAAGGCAGTATGGAAGGAATTCTCTGTGAGTTAAATGATCCCCACATTGAAAAGTTACTTCCTCTTATGAAGAGAGCTGTGCTAACGAACCCTGGCTCAGTTGACCATCTTTCTTTTACTGAAGGAGAATCTGATTTTGACTGTCTAGACCACTTTAAAATAAGAAAGAAACAACGTCCAACACTGTGTAAGGTGCTGCAAGGGTCCTAAACAGCAACAGATAATTTACTGTACAGTCTGGTTCATCTACATTTTTTGAATGCACTAATATTAAAAATAGATGCACTGCACTTTTAATTAAAGTTCATATGCAACAACTTTCTTTTTGTCCTTTTCAGGTTGAGCTTGGAGATGAAGGGACTGGCAGCTGCATATGAGGACGAGCTGGTTGGTCAATATTTTTTGTGGCTCACCATTTTTCAAAAGCCTCTCACTTCCCCCATTGAGCCACTCAATAAATATTGACACAGATCTCACTCTCTTTCCTTCCAGGATTTATCAGAGTACAATAAAGACGCCGTTTTTGTGGAATTTGATCAGGTTAGAACTAAACTAATTAGAATTAATCACGGAATCAACCAGCAAGAAGTCCAACTCTGTTTTCTTCTTCAGGCATCCGGGGCCTCCTCAGATGAATGGCCCCGAATTGAGGAAGAGAAGGCGTCGCAGGATGAACCAGCTGAGGGGCCCTGAGGGGCCAAACAGTTTAAACACGTCTGTTACGGTTAAACTGTCTGCTCGTGCTGTCACGTCTTTTCAGTGTGATGCATTAGACCGATTAAAGCATTTGTGGTGACAAACAGTAACGATACGACTCGTGGTTTTTTTGTTTCCGGGCCGCTGCGCGCGCTGAGCTCCGCCCCCTCTGACGCGCGCGCAGCGGCTCCTCTGGGTGCCGCTGGTCTTCACGCGGAGAGGAAGCACGACGAGAGCTGACACTGCGGCGCGGCTTAGTTCGGTTCAATTCAGCGGGCTTTACCGTCAGCTTCGTTTGGGGGAAGCGGTGAGCTCCGGACAACCTGCTCCGACGGGAGGGACACATGGAGGAGACGGGCGGTGCGAGTGCGTACGGGGCTTCTCTCGCCGGGGGAGGCTTCGACTTCTACAAGTTCGTCCGACAGCCGCAGACCATCGTGCGGGTCCTGAGCTGGGTGAGTGCGCCGCAGGTGTAGGAGATTTACCAGCGCGTGTGTTCGAAAGGGGGTACAAAGGCGCACGCGTCTTGCCCGACAGGTGCCCGGCAAAGTGGCCCAGTTGGAGCTGTTTCCATCTGGCAGAAACAACTGTGCAGGTCGCTCCGCGGGGCGTCGTGTTGCACGCAGCTGGTGTGAGACAGCAGCTCGGCGACGAGCTCAGGTCGACGATGCGTGTTTTCAGAGGACAGAAGACTAAACTACTGTGCGACAACGAGGGAGAGAAGAAAAACACCAGGTGGTTTGATCGTGTTCATGTGTCTGTGACACCCAGGAAGGTGACCTTTGACTCCTAAAGACAAACCGCAAGACTTTTCTGCCACAGTACTTTTATATATCTGAATAGATACATGGCAGTGATATAAGCGGTTGGTGCTCATCACCTGTTGCTAGGTAGTCTTGTGGCAAAGATTTATTTTTGTGGCTGAGACCGGATCTGGAAATTCCCACATGAGTTGTTGCCGGACAGGTTTTGCAATAGAACGTAATTTGCTTTGTTTTCTGAGCACTTGGATTGGGTTTGAACCGTAAAGTCCATGAACCCCACATGAAAAGTTAAACAAACGATCTGGACCCTCATTCACTCTGTTTTATTATTTATTGTTTTATCGCGTAGGCCTTTGGCTAATAACACATGCAGGGTGATTGTAGGTGTGTGAGAAAACACACAGCTACCCGAGGATACTGTAGAATATTATTCAGCGTGGTAGATGAGGACGCAATGTGCCCTTGGCCTGTTTAGTGTTTATATGTTGGGGGAAATGGATGATGTGCGTGTCACTGGTAAACAGGGGCCGATGGACGGGTAAGGTGATCCCTCCACTCGTGGTGAATGTGTACCACTGATCTCCCCCTTAACACACAAACACACACGTTGATTCAGTTAGGCTCCTCTTAAATTCACACTGACTCTGCAGATTTTAATCTTACTTCCACCTGAACATTTATGACACGAGAGAAGATTACTCAGTCTGCAACACCACCAGCCGGTCCCATAATGCACCACTCTGGCTCCTATATTTAAGATAGATAATGTCACTGCTATTCATCATTTAAACTCATGTCAACAGAAGAAGGCTGTCGGTATTGTTTGTGCTACTTAAGAACATCTGACTGAGCAAAATGAGCCCCCAAAAAACATCATGCGTGAACACGTGGGCCGTTTTTAACATGTTTATAACATCCGTCACTCGGCACCCAAACCATCATTCCTATTACCTCGTTGACACGACGCACAGAAGCATCCGTCTGCTCCGCTAGCGATCACACGCTCTCTCTCACTTATTGTTTTTGAGAACTCCCTAGTTTCACTTCCCTAATGTCTGCTGCTACTTTTTGGTACTTTCCATCTCATCCTATCAGCAGGATTGCGGCCTGTTTCGTCTCTCACCTCGTCTCTTCCTTCCCTCTAATTAAACAGTCCCTCTCTGTCCTCCTGTCAGGCTCATTGCGAGTGTTGTTGGTGGAGTTTGTAGCGTCATTGGAGTCACACGGCAGGCAGCTGCACTGAGAAGGTCACATGGTTTGGGTGGGTAACCAGAGGAGGAACCAACACCAGCTCTACACCAGTGGATTGGCAAATGTTGTCAAGTGATGCATGTATTTTAAATTGTCTGGAGTATTTGCTTGTGTCTATGTTCAAAAAACTCCTCAGGCGTCAGTTTAACAGTAAGCGACATGAAATGAGAAAAAAATGAAATCCTATATTTTTAGCATGAAGGTCACAGTCCAAATCCTGAAAGCGCAAAGTGACCAGCAGGACTGTGAAGTATGCAATTGGAAGTTAATGGATAAACTGGAAAGGCCTTTGCTATTTCTCCTTCAAAATGGCCCTTCCTATTTGTGGCTTTCCGGATCATTGAAGGCCAACCTTCCTTTTTGCTCTTGATTCAATGTAGATATTTGCCCTGGTGGTGTTTGCCACCATCACAACAGAGGGATACGTCAACTCTGTCCACAGTGCCGAGGCACAGTGCATCTTCAACCACAACGACTCGGCGTGTCATTACGCCATTGGAATCGGAGTGATTGCCTTCCTGGCATGTGTGGCCTTCCTGGTGCTGGACGTTTACTTGCCTTTCATGAGCAACGCTCAGGAGAGAAGGTACGCCGTCATGGGCGACCTGGGATTCTCAGGTGAGCGAGAGCGTAATCTTTGTCTGAAAGTGACTTTAAGGCTGCAACTAATTCATATTTTTGTATTCACAGCAGATCACATGTCTTTGTATAGTGTGAAATGTGTCGCCCATAGTGATACATTGTAGAGGTTGCTCATTTAAAAAATGTTTAGGTCCCACTACTTTACTGTTTTGGTTCGCTCTCAATATTCTCATCAACCTCGTTTCCAGCCACAGTCATGTTGTCGGTTCATAGTGAAATAAACTACACTCTAGGGTTGGTGGGGACCAAAACCAGAGCTAAAAGAGAGAAACTGTTTTAGAAGCTAATGTTGCTAACGTGGTCGCCACATATCAACCTTTTTAGGTGGCGTGTATACAAATGTTTGTTTCTCCAAACAGAAAGCCCCTGGAATTGTCGTAATGTGCAACATATCGCTGCCTCTTTTCCAGACATAACATGACCTGTATTATTCTTTGTTTGACTCGGTAGCAACGTCCGCTGTACGCGCCACAGTTCACAGTCGGCCATTCTTCAGGGAAACAAAGAAGTCGTAGTTTGAAAAAACGCTTGTGGCTCATTTGAGCAGACAGGAGCGCCCTTTGTTTCCACTCGACATTGTTTATTTTCACAGGAGTTTTATTTTCCAAACTGTATTTTCACACTTGATGTCTTTTCATCCAGTAAGAGAAACATTTCATATCGGTGTGTGTTTATGCACCTGTGTGTGGTGTGTTTTTATAGGGGCTTGGTGCTTCCTCTGGATGGTTTGTTTCTGCCTGTTGGCCAGTCAGTGGGCTAAAACTCTGGATGTCACCGGCGTGCCGCAGGACGCAGCACGAGCCACTGTGGCCTTTTCATTCTTCTCTATCACCACATGGGTGAGCAGGACTGCTGCTGTCTTCCTTTTCATTAGAAACGGTGCAGGATTTCCATCTCTAATTACCTGCAGGATAAAATGTATAATTATTCCTTTTAAAGCCATCGCTGGCTTGAACCCAAGCTGGTACAACAACTTGCCAATTACTTTAAATCGGCATTAATAGTTATTGAATTGTATTTCCCCTCCGAATTTAGTAAAATAACACATGAAGTAGTTTGAAAGTGTTTTTAAAAGCACTGCAGGATTTTCAAGTTCCTCTCATACAGACGATCCATCTTGGATAATGCTTCTATGAGCCTTAAGTTACAATAAGAACCTGCAATTGTTTGGTTCTTTTATCTTGCTTTCAATTTGTGTTGGAGCTTCACTTCACAAACTCATCAGCACACATAACACATGTTGCAATATGCAATGCATCGGCCGACTAAATGTCAATGTGGAGGAATGTCTCCAATAAGACGCCTCAGGTCTCTGCAAGTTTATGTTGACACTGATACAAAGTAAACCGGGCCAGTTAGAAGATAATAAAAATCCTGTACCCCCCCAAAGGTATACAAAATAGAACAGTTATTTATAGAAACAATGGTGGAAATAATTGTAATAACATGGGAATTTGTTTCTCCTCTTGCAGGGAATCCTGGCGTACTTTGCATTTATCCGTTTCCGCCGCGGTGTGAACGAAGTAACCATCCCGACCTACACAGAGCAGCCACCAGATCAGCACACCCCTTACCCGCCGACCTACGCCCCCACCTCCTACAACCCCACCACCTACACCCCCACCACGTACAACTCCTATCCCAGCAGTGTGCCCGACACGCACAGGCAGCCGCCCTTCACGCCAAACCCGCAGTCGCAGGGAAACGCCGAATACCAGCCGCCCAATTACTGAGACGCAGGGAGGTCACATGGACCGGATCATCTGTTGGCACACTGACTGTAGTTGCACTGCACAGACTCCAAGCTGTATCATATTGATGTGGTTCTTACATTCCACCTGTCGTACAATTGGAGAGCCTGAGCAGTGCAACTGCAAGTTAGAGACGAGGGACAAACGTCTGTGGATGTCAAGACGTTGTGAAGAATGTTTTCCTCTTTACTCTCTGGGGGAACCGGAGAATCCACATTCGGGCGTAGATTTCACCTTACAGAGCCGCCATGTGCCTGACTTTCTTTGCTTATTTGGTTCAGTGGATGTGGGTTTTTGTAAAATGTCGGTTATGTACAAATTGAGCATTCAAGTTTCTCAGCCATAAAATCACCCTTGAGAAAGATTTGCAATCTTTTTGCCACAGTAATGTTGCTCCTTGGTTTGCCGTCTCTTAAGACCGCTTTAATGTCCTGCTTACAATGGTGACATGAGAAAACACAGAACCCCCGTTTCTTCGAGTCTGATCCTTACGATATAACAAACTTATGTGTGCCAACCTGTGGAGGCGTTAATTGGTTAACAGTTCATACTTAGTGTTGCCCTTTTAAACTATTAGCCAACTTTCAGATGAACAGGAGGAAGGACAATGTATAAAACCACTTATTGAACAGGTTTGTCCACCTATCAGAAAGAATCCTCCCCCTTACGGCTGCAAACAGAGCGGTCACACACATCCTGCGAGGTTTAGTTTACAGGGTTCTTAAGATGAGCGGTTTAAAGCGGACAGCGGTGGATGTGTCTTTACCAAATTCAGATTAACATCTCAGCCTGCAGCACCTTTCATCAGAGTACAGGTTTACTTGTTGCCCTTAAATCATGACCCAAGGTCCCAGTGGATTTTTATTAACAGACTTGATCTGCACATGACATACCGGGATTGTGTGTATATGTCATGATGCTATTGTAACAAATCAAATACATTTGTACAACAGGAAATACATGCTTAATGAAAATTACATGCACTTTGGGGAGCCAATCTATGAAAAACACATGATTTGTCATTGGTGCCTTCAGAAGAAATGTAACATTAAAGGGTTTTTGTGAAAGAAAAATAAGTGAGATATTGTAATTGATTTTGAGTAAGATTGCATCAACGATGTAGAAGAAAGGCTGGATGACTTATTGTGCCTGATGAATAGAGAAAGAAAATTGCTGCTCAATTAATCTTTATCAGTTAAGTTTGGCCTAATTTTCACCGTGATGTCAATTATTATTCACATGGTGTCATTGTAGCATCTCTACACTGCAGTAACACAGGTTTTATATTCGAGGGATGACAATATTATTCCACTCCAACTGCAGTGTCAGAGCCTACCAGGATTTAAACAGGTTATTTTGGTCCCCTGTAGTATGTGAGGGCGTTGGGTTACAAATCAGAGTTAAGTGTGCCAGAGTTAAAAACAAATACTGCAAGTTTTAAAATGGGGGAAGGAATAAATTAGTATAAATCCAATTTGACCTAAAACAAATGATAAATATGACAAAACATTAAAAATGTATTTTCTTTATAACTAAGCAGAAAATACAATACGCATACATAGAAATGTTAAAAACCTTTGGATCGATCAGCTTGTTACAGTTAAAGATGTTGAGAAATCCAAACTGCAGTGTAGTGAAACCAAAACCGGTCCATTTAAGGTCCTTATTAAGTGCACGGTCAATAAAAAGAAGAATTCCTAAAAATATTTCACACCACATACAAATACACACTAGAGATTGAGCGAAGAGAAAAGCTTCCTTGGAATCGCAGAGTCCGCCAGTTTTCCCGAGAGGATTTGTTGTGGCGTTTCTTTCCTGAAAGGAGACCTGTTCTCTTTGTCCACCACCAGACCTCCGTAACACGTTCTACACACCGCCTGATACTTGTCCGCTCCACCAATTACTTCCACCTGAAGCACACAGGAAAAACAGTGAGAGGTTTACAAGAATTCGATGAAAGAAAGAGGCAGAAGGCTGACAGACATCAAAAATATTGCACCTAGCAAAACGTTCTGGAGAGGTGGAATAAATACATAAAGTATTCGGTGAAAATATCCTGTTGTAATAGTTACGGCATACAGGGGGATTTATTTATTGAACCCAGAAAAGGGTTCTGAAGCACTTTTCTTTCTCCCTTTTTTAAAGGATCGCCTCCTTACCTCCTTCTCGGCTCCTATCCTCTTAGTGTAGGCGGCTTCTTTGTAACACTGCATGCAGACGGCGTGGAGCTTCACAACGCTCTCCGCCAGAGGGATGAGGTTGAGGATGTTTCCGAATGGCTACGACAATGCACAGGACAGCAGAAAAGCACTAAGTACCACTGAATGGACGACGGTACGATCGCATCACGAGGACAGAATGGACGCACTGTAGTGAAGAATAATGAGCACATTGAACTCAGTTATATTGCTGCTCTTGCAGGTTCCACCGTTAAGGAGTTTCTAGTCTTGTACATTTTGCTGCGTCCACATCTAGAGGTGCTCCGTCTGCCTCCGCAGCATCCAGTGTGCGTTCATTAGGAATGTTTCCCAGTATCACAATTACACGTGGAGACGAAAACACAAATACTCACTTTTCTCTGAAAGGTTCCATCCAAGGCAGCAACAATGACTGTCTTCCCTAAATTTGCCATCTCTTCACAAAACTCCACCGTGTCTGGAAACTACAGCAGCAGCAGCAGTTAGCGGGGAGGTGTTCTCAATTGAAGTGAATAGCAACAGAGGGTAAAGAGGAAAATACACAGTATATGTAGACTTACAAACTGCCCTTCATCAATGCCGATGACACAGGCCGCTAACGCCAAAGGCCGCATTTCTCCCAGACAGCTTGCTGGTACAGCTTCCATTGTGCTTCTAAAAGACAGACAAGAAGGTTGTGTTGGTTCCAGCCTACATCAAGTTGCTGAACTATAATGCAGAGTCCGAACGCAATAGAGGTGTGTGTGCAATAAATAAACAAAAGGCACTCATTTATACAAGCGCTTGCTTTATACGATTTCTTTGATTAAAAAAGGTAAATTGTGATCAATAAAAATAAAAAAGTCCAATAAATATGTCCAGACAAACATTCTTATGAAAGAGTACCTTTGCTGAATAAAAGGGTTAATGAGGACTACCCACTTGTCATGCGTGGCCATGCCCGTGTCCGAGTAGCGCGTGTCTCTGGTGTACTTGATCACCAGGCAGTCGTACTGGGCGATCTGGAACCGGCGCACTCTCCGCATGAGCTCAGTGCTGCAAGAACAAGCGCAAATATTACTATTGAAGTGAGTTGATCTCAGCAAAATGATGCTGAGATCAACTGATGGTCCGCGAACATGACCGGTTTTAGGTGTTTTTTGACAACAATATCCCACAACTTGCAAATGACGACTATGCGGTCAGACTTCGGGCGTGAGGTAATAAGTACTGTGTAATATTGCTTGGTATAATGCGCATTATCAATCAAACACACACGCGGTTCATTCCACAGGAGGGAGCGGAGTAAACAAAGGAGGACATTTGGCGGCACGTTCAAATTTGCGCGGAACATATTGTTCTGATCCGGATAAGATAATGTAAAACATTGGAGCTGAAGAACAACAACAACAACAGCTAAACGCGCCTGTTAGGAGACGTGCTCAGTCGATGTTCGTGGGTGAAGAACTCACCTTTTGCCTGAAAACATCGGTCCAAAGATGACCTGCCGAAGAAGGTGGAGAAGCGGTTAGTCAAGACCAGGAAGTGTTCAACCTTAACGGAGCAGAACGCACATAGCAAGGCACGCATTAAAATGAAGACCACTACAGCGTTTGATGCTGGCTCATTTTAGTTTGTAAGGGGAACGATGTGATATAGAGACAATGTCGTTGTTCGTCTTCAGCTTAAACAAATACGAACCTGGATTTGTCCCCGTGCTTTCCTCGGGGAGTTTGGCAGAACTCTCGGAAAATCCACACAATCCATAATGACTCAAAGACGCGATGAATAAACAGTTCAATAAATAAAGAAATATACTTCAAATGTAATCCGACAGGCGAAGTTGTCCTGAATCACAGCGTTGAAGTAGCGCGCCAGCAGATGGGGGCTGTTTTATGTCCAATTGATCCAATGAACGTAGAGTCACGTGAGTCTTTGAACCAATCAGCGATCTCACATTAGAAAGCGCTGGCGCCACTTCTGACCAATCAGAGCACAGAACGTAATGTCACTAGGACGACACGCACCGGTGTCACAGCTTAACTTCTTTTCCCTTTTTTGGACAGGGATTCACGATGACTTGTTAAAATACAATGTGGGATTATAAAATGATACTTACATAATTTAGAAAGAAAAATAAGATATATAACATAAATTTTAAATACAAATAAAAAAGTATATAGCTCAGTTTGTAAACCTTCCCCGAAGAAGCTAGATACAGTTTAAAGCCTCAGGTGCCATGAAAACAACACCTGCAAGAGCTCTGGTGGAGGCAGAGGAAACCCTCCTCTGTCTAACTTTTACTAAACTCTCAACTACATATTGGATCAGATTACAGGGAAGTACTAACAATCCAGCAATATCTGTACTTAAGGATTGTTGGGAGTGCTACAACAAATCTAGTGGGTTTGTATGGAACATAGATAATACAGCAGATCAGTATGGAATAAAAAATCTAGAATGTAGCCCAGCATTAGCTCTGAGTTCCTCCTCAAAGATGGCAAGAAGATGAATAGGAATCTGACCCTAAAGCTTGACAATACCACAAAGTACAAAGCCAGGTGGGGGGGAAAAGAGTCTCCGCATTGGATATTGACGGAAGAAAGGAAATGGTATATATAGACTTAGATTAGGTCATACACGTCTTAATTCCACACTTGATGATAGGAAAAGGTAATGGTTTGTGTACTGAATGTAATGTTAAGGAAGATGTTGCACATGTTCTTTTCAATTGTAAGAAAAATAATAAGTTCAGAATTAAATGGCAAGAGGTTGAAGCTGAAAACAATAGGCTTATAAATTATATTCTTGAGGAACAAGGGATGCAACAAGAGAGAATAAAGTCTTTTGTTATGTTCCTGAATGATTCAGGTCTAATGAAAACAATCAAAGTTATATATTTAGTTGTATTTTTTATTTATATGATATATTTTTTTAAATGTTTTGACTTTTGAACAATAGCCTTGCCATAAGTCCCTTGACACACTAGGTGGCGGTATACGGTAATATCGCTGTAACTCGCCGAAAAAAGAAGAAGAAAGAAAAAGTAAACACTTGGCAGCTGACACTCGGAAGATAAAACGCACATAGTCCAATATCATTGGCGAGGTGCACCTAAGGTTAGTAGTCCAGAGTCCGGAGGCCTGGTCCCCCACCTGCACGCACGCGGTTCGGATCTTTCTAGCAGGACACTTTCCGCGACTCCCAAGGAGACAAAAAGAAGATGCATTGGACTAAAATGAAGAAAGACGTAAGTTTAACTTTAAGTACTTTACTTGTCTCTCTGTTTGCATTCTGAGCCATTTGGGTTTAACGTTAGCGGGACTACTTTAATTGTGGGTTCAAATTAATTTGAACGTTTTGAAATAAAACATATTGGTCACACGGTGGATCGGCTCCTCCTGGCCGCCCGACTGACCGGCTCTCTCCCCCCTCTCCCCCCTCCCTCTCCCCCGTGTGACAGGAGCTGGAGCGGCAGTATTCACCCAGCAGGTGGTCGCACAGGATGTCGGCCGACGACGTGATCGAGGACCACGTGAAGGCTATGAAGGAAGGTCGGTCTGTTTGGGAGCTAAAATGCTGACATGCGGCTCCATACATACATATATATGTATTTATGTGTATATATATATATATATATATATATATGTATAATTGTGTGTGTGTGCGCATTCCATTATGTAATCCTGTGTAAAAAAAATAACCAGAATACTTGGCACACAAAATGGGAAATTGGGAATAAGGGTTTAAAATGTAATGTAATTCCGATCAGCAGAATTTGAAGTCATTGGCAATTTTCAACCTTTTTAATCGAGGGAGTTGGGCCAGTCAACACAGTGCTGACGATCTGTTCCCTCCCAAGCGGAGCTCCCATGACAAACTGCTAAAGGATAAAACAACTAATGGGAATGTCTACTTTCATCTAAATCGGCAAATTAAGACACGTCAAGAAATTATGGCATCGTTGCCAAAAAAAAAAAAAAGGTTCACAATTCTTGACCACACTGACCTAACACACCCAGAAATATAATGTCCCTCACAGTGTCCTGCGCTGAACTGTGTGTCCAGGTACGGAGCGAGCTCGAGGGCTGGCTCAAACGTTGCTCAACGTGCCGTACGGGGAGGGCGATGGAGAGAAACTAGACGCCTACATACCCAGCACCAACTCCTTGGGTACGGACGTGTGTTACTCCAAGAACACTGCATCGTTGGCATGCCGCAAATAGCACCAGCTTTGATAATGCGTGAGGGTTAAACGGGCCCGATTCCCTCTTGTTTCAGATGTTCCCCTCGTTATTTACATCCATGGGGGATACTGGCAGTTTCTCAGGTCCAGTTTTGTGTTCTCGTCTGCATTGTTGGCGCATTTAAATGTCTTGTTTAGGTTTGTCACATTAATGGTTTGTGCTCCCACAGCAAGGAGCAGTCAGGGTTCATGGCTGTTCCACTCGTTGATAAAGGTGTGGTGGTGGTTGCTGTTGGTTATGACACCGCTCCCAAAGGTAGAGTCTCTTCGTTTCTGAATTTGTTCAATGACGACAAGTTAAGCGTGTCGGCCTGTGCCCCTTTCAGGCAGCATGGATCTGATGGTATCTCAAGTACGCAGAAGTGTCGTGTCCATCGTCCAGCAGTATTCCCACATCAGGTAATCGTGCTGGTTCATCTGACACCTTGTAAATTCATTTCAAGGCATCACATTAAAAAGCATTTTTAAAGGTTCCACCCGACCTCGTTCTGCTCTCACCCAAAAAGAGATCAAATCAACGTCATCATCACCGTCACATCTGTTTGTCTTCCCCGTTTGAATCCCTCAGCGGTCTGTACCTGTGTGGCCACTCCGCTGGGGCTCACCTGGCTGCAATGGTCCTCTCCACCGACTGGTCGCAGTACAGCATCGCTCCTCAGATAAAAGGTGAGGTCCATCACGTCAAGCAGGAGTTAAGTGACGGAGGTGACCTGCCAAACGCAAATATTATATATATTATAATATAGCTGATGTAGTTCTTTCTCTCACTGTCTGACAGGTGCATTCCTTGTTAGTGGCGTATATGACCTCCTGCCCATCCTGTCCACCTACGTCAACGAGCCTTTGAAGATGACAGAGTATGTTCCTCACTGCACCGCTCGTACCTGTGGTGCATTCACGCACTGATTGCTACCCACTTTCTACAGCAGGCTTCCCACGCGTCTTAGGGAAACTGGTAAAAATGTTGAATCATTTTTCCAGTCATTTAAAACAACTGAAAAATAAGTTAGATTATATGAATAAAATATTGTGTTGTCCACTGTGGAAATTGTTCCAACATCCGCCCCAGTAAACAGTACAAGTCTATCAGAACTTCCCACATTGTAATCTGAAGGGGTTTAGTTGCATCCACGTTGATGGATGACCATATTTTTGAACATTTGTGGAAGAGCCGTTAAACAACCCTAAAGTTAAGTAACATGGCGGCGCATGCAGGTTGGTCACGTTACATTTGCTTAAGATGTTAACAATAGTCATTGCAGGCTGGCAGGAGTGGTGGTTTTTATTATATTGTTCTATGATTAATAAGTCATGATTTATAAGCATGTAAGAGATGATTTTATAAATAATCTAGTCACAGACATCTTTTAAATCAGACCTCCACAAACCGGAAAATATTAGTGTAAGAAAAGCCCTGCGAAGACACAGAACCCAAGTGACACAGTCAGCGTGGTTACATGGATTCGAATAACTGGCTTAGTCGGACTGAAATCGAATTATCCGTTTCATGTAAACACCTTTGTCCGACTGTGTGCGGTCCGACTACGATCCGACTAACACCCCCGGATAACTCGAACCGATCCAGTGGATAGTTTGACTATTGCGGCATGTAATGGTGAATCGGATGAGGAACTGGACTTTGCGTCTTTGCGCATGCTTGAGATCCCGACTGCGTCTTCTCTCCGTTATCAAATCAGCCAATAGCGCCATTCGCATTGGCTGTGCTCCTATTAACATCATGCAAAGATAGTAGAGGGATGTAGCTTCACCTTGCTCTCCGCTCGTCATCTTTCTCGTAATGTTGATGTTGTTGTTGTTGGTTGTTGTTGGTAGTGGTGAAGCGGTCAAGCGGAAATGGCTGTATCACAACTAGTTGTAATGAAACCAGCGCCACCTATCGTATCGGATATGACATGCTTTCGGCCAATGATTCGATTTATTCACTGCCATGTATATTGGGATAATAGCACTTGCCCCGAAAGAGAGCATAGTCCGACTAAGCAAAGATTCCAATTATACCATCATGTAAACACACTGAGTGAGTTCATTGATGAATGGGATGGTGAAACCCTGCCAATATTCATTATTAAACACTTTATTAACTGTTACGAACCACGCAGTGAGTAAGGCAGGAAAAACCCCTCTGACCACAGTCCACGGGTTACGTCGTACAGGGAGCATTGGGAGTGAGTGTCTTCGCGGAGGAGAACTGTGCATGTAAAGCTTGGTGTGTGTTTGACTCCTCTCTCCCCCCCCGGGTGTCCCTTGTTTGCAGGGAGGTGGCGTTGAGGAACAGCCCCAGCAAACTGCTCCCTCAGCTCAAACTCTCCTCCTCCAGCTGCCACATCGTCGTGGCCGTTGCGGAGAACGACTCGCCCGAGTTTCGCAAGCAGTCGGGGGAATACTACAAAGTCAGTGCTACTCAGCATGGGCATCGCTTAGAGGATTCAACCATCCATTATCTTTAGCCAATTATCCTGTTGCAGGTCGTGGGGAGAGGGTTACCCCCACAATCTGAATGCTAAAAGATTAACCAACGCTTCAAAAATGGAGGCAGGTGGAGGGAATAAACCCTGCCTACTTCTGTATGACTACATCTACGGCAGCTTTTACAGTTGTGACCATTTCACAAACTGAAAAATGAAATTTCCTTGCAAATAATTTGTATTCATGTTTTACTAAGATGTATGATATTTTTTTTTAAATAACTGTGTGTGCGTGTGTGTGTGTGTGTGTGTGTGTGTGTGTGTGTGTGTGTGTGTGGGTGTGTATAATGTGTACTATTCCTTTTTCTTCTGGCTCTAAAGACTTTGGAGGCATTGGGACTTAATGTGACCATGGAGGATGTGGCCAACACCGACCACTTCAACATCATTGAGCAGCTGGTAGACGAACAGTACCAACTAACAAAGGTACACGCGTTCACAAAAAAGGCAGTAATGAAGGTGGATGTGATTTTTCCAGTCTTATTGATTTTGTCCGACCAATAGCTCTACAGTATGAATGTTAACCCTGTAACTGTGTAGCAGTAGTCTTTAAACAGCCTCATTTTTATCTTCCTCCCCACCTTTCAGTAGCTATTCACAATATTCAGTCGACACTTATTGACTGTCTGTTAGACTTTAAACGTTGTTTTGGGGTTATGTAAGGCACTTAAACCAGTTTTTGAATTCATTTCCTCTATTTTTCCTCTGTAGCTTCTGTTGAAGACAATGGGGAAGAGCTGAGCTAGAGGTCTTTGTTCCATCATCATACATCTGCACCTCCAGATCATACACAGTGATAATACATGCATTATTTAAGCTTTGTACAACGGTGATTGCACCATTTGTCATAGACACTTGTTCAGTGTGTGTGTGTGTGTCAGAAAACCGTTTCATGACAACATCGACCGCATTGAAAAATGAAAGCCGAGTCACTTCAAGGGTGCTGATTCTAGCAAATGACACCGCTGCCAAACCTGCTTGGGTGGAAATAGATTATTTAACGACCATTGGGCCCAAAGTTATCATGGGGAAGTTCTGTTCCTCCACCAGTGGTCAGATAAGTAGATTATTGTTGTACTACAGTGGTTATTTTGATGAAATGTGCTTTGGATTTGTAGTTAATTATTTTATTTTGTCCATGGGATTGTACTTGTTGTACACCTTTTTGTATGAAAATTGCTTTTGAGTCATTTATATGAATATATATGATGTCATTCTTCATGATAAATGTGTTTTGAATAAGTTGAATTTGTTGTTTGAGAGCAGACGAGTCTGTTCCTGTCCACGTTTAATCCGATTCAGCGACTGGGTGGTTTAATAGCAGATTTATGTTGTGTGTCGTGATCTGATGATTGGCGGGTCAGACTATATAGGGTATCCTTTGGGGGCTCGTCCGGTGTTTCCAGTTTTTGACTGCTGTTTAGTATCATGTTACGCTCTGTTTGGATGTATGTGTGAAACGTCTGATTTAAAGCATAAGGTGGCAAATAAATGGACTCATTTGCATCTTAACTGAAAAGCAACTGGACTCCCATTCATCCCTCATGGTAAATTAGCAGCGCGTCAATTAGGTTTCCTGTTAAAATGCCTCAGTGGCTTAAAGCATTGGCTTAGCTTAGCTTCTACAGGTGGTTTAATAGCACATGGTTGTCTTCAAAAGGCCGATGTGTTTGTGGTAGTGGGGATAACTTAAATACCTTGAGCTCATTGCATCAGTGAAGCAGCGGAAAAAAAGAAGCTCGAGCACAGAATAAGACATTTTATTATAAGTTTCAAAACAACATTTGGGCATAAAGATGTTCTATTAGAATAACAATTAATTGGAATCACATTAGCATTAATACTACTACATTTGGTTACATAACATATCAATAACACAACTATAATACATTCTGGTGGGTTGCAGAGGGAATCCTCAGGGAATAGTGGAGGGGACCTGCGTATCCTGCATGTGTTCCTCAGCATTCTCATTCGACGGCTTAATCAGACAAAACACAACCTGTAAAATTCCACACTACCTACAAACGCACTTGGTGAAAATTAAGCTCACCTCTACTCCCAGTTCATTTAGGGACAGCGCTTCGATGAGTGCCACGCCGAAGCAGTCTCCCAGCACATTGACCACAGTGTTGCAGCGGTCTCTGGAAGACGCCGATCGCGGTAAACCATGAAAGCAAATGATACAGCAACAGGACACGATACATTAACTCCATTTCTCGCGAGCATTACAACTTACAGCAGCCATTCCGTTGCCATCAAGATGGCGGCATTCTTTGCAGGTATGCCGACTAGTGACATGACAAAGATGGTGGTTGTGGCTCCCGCCGCTGGAAGCGCTGATGATCCCAGACTGGAGACCGCTGAAGCCACTCTGCAGGGAAAACACACCGAGCAGTGAATCACTAGTGTCTGAAAACTCAGAAATATGAAACAGTACTTTTCAATTGTTAAATACGCCATATTATGTCATCCTAATTGATATCTAGGGTTTCTTTCAATTGAGGAACAGAAAAGAGAAACAATAACTGCGACTAACCCGATGGTGAGTAGCTGGCCCATGTTCAGATTGATATTGTAGAATTGTGCAACAAAAACTGCAGCGGCTGCCTCGTACAGGGCCGTCCCATGCTTGTTCATGGTGGTGGCGATGGGCAGCATGAAGCGGGTGATTCTAGGGTCAATCTTGTTGCGGCTCTCACAGCACCGCAAAGTCACCGGCAGTGTGGCGGTGCTTTGAGACACAATGCAATCATACACATGCATTATCTTACTTAGCTAATCTGCAGCTTTGATGATAAATATGAGAATGGAGCATCTGCTGAACTGTGCTTTCAAATATCCTCTTACCTGGAGGTTACGAACCACGCAGTGAGTAAGGCAGGAAAAACCCCTCTGACCACAGTCCACGGGTTACGTCTTACAATCCAATAGTACAGCGCCGGTAGAATGACCACTGAATGGAGCACGAGTCTGGAACATAATAACGTCAAACATGTCTTGTGGGAAGAACTTGCCAAACCTGCAACCCTCATTCCCTCTCACACACATCAAGGGGCCTTGAGAGACATAATACTTCAAAATCTACAAACATGCTGGTGTTTTAGTGCCAGTGAGGAAACGAGAGCATACCCTAACAGAATCACACCCAGGAACTTTGTCAGTCTGTAGAAAGTTTCCAAGTCGTGAACCTCAAGAATACTGTTGGCAGTCAGGAACAGCATTCCAAACGGGAAGTAACTGGAAAAAAAAGAGTTCTACTCTAGTTCTGCAAATAAGTGTGATATTCCCACATGGTATTGATTAGGCTGTTTCAATTTACCACAGTATCACGCTGACCACAAATCTATTGGCCGCGTTGATGACGGCAACAATGTCAACAAGGATTCTGCTTCTTTCCAGCGTATCCTGCAGAATCCGTCCAGCAACGAAGGAGAAGACGATCAGGCCCAGTGTGCTGGATCCGCCTACGTAGCTTCCCACCATAGAACGTGTCCCGTTTGACGTAAACGGGAGCAGCACAGTCTTGTGCTGAGAAAATAAAAGATAGTAAATCAAGTAACATTGTACTCACGTGAATATTAAATTGTGGGCGTTGAGGAAAGAGGTAATCGGTATCGGTCTGAGAAAACATACATGTTGGAAGCAAGCCTGGATGGGATTCGGTGGAAACATGTTTCTATAAAGAATAAAGGAGACTTGTTGACCAATCACACGTTAAATTGAGCTTAAACTCTGATGTAATGGCACTTTCTTCTTACCTCACTACATCGAGGAACGCATGGAGTGGGGGGAGCACTTTTTCCAGCTCACCTTGTCCAACCGTCTGTCCCGCTCCAGGCTTAATCAGGAGGACCAACGCCAATCCTACAACACGTATTCAAGGTTGGACATGAGCGTCAAATGTGACACGCATGCCATATTTAATATGGATCGCAACTTAATGAAAATGACAGTTTAATATATTTTTATGAAGGTTCTACTGAAAATTAGAAAATTTGAACAGAAAGAGGATACCTATTCTAAAAAAATATAATAAGCCTGTTTTCATTGTCTTCAGGGTTAGAGTTGCTCCATGGTTATTTGTAACTAAGAGTAAATAGACTTACTTTTCATTACAAATTAATTTACATACAATATGAAAATAAAACATTTTGTAAAAATTACATTTAAATACGAAAACAGGAAAGAAAGAAACATTTCTCTTACCTAGACACACACATATGATTGTCAACAACAAAATGTATGCTGCCCCACGCCAAGCTATTTTCTTGGTGGCCTCAGCAGTCAGGGCAGTTACTCCTACATTCAAAAGATAAAAATAAAAGATAAGAAACTAATAATAATATGCATGTATGAAAAAAGCTAGCTGCCACATGTGTAACAGTTGATGGAGGTAGAAGTGCACGGGTTTACCTAATACTATACTCGTAGTAAGCGTAGGAATGGAGACCAACTGAAGCATACGAATCAGGGAATCTCCTGGGATTCTGATGGACATTTTCTCAATAGGGGTGAGATCCATGCAGTTTTTCAGAAATAAGCCCATCGCAAGCCCTAAGAAGAAGTAAATGGTTCAAAATGTGTGTTGGTATAGGAATGGGGAAAGAAAAAGAAAAGCCTAGCTATTGGCAAAGGAGGTAATTACACCGGTGATTGAGCCTACACCCCCCCCCCCCCCAACACACACACACACACACACACACACACACACACACACACACACACACACACACACGACTAGTTAATCAATGTCTAAGTGACATCATCATTGAGTCAATATATTATTGAGTCATTGAGGGATAGAGATCACATCTGACCCCCAAATGCATTACAGCCCGATCAAAACAAACGATGAATCAGCCATAATAAACACATTTTAAAAATGATTTTGAATGTGGATTATAGGAAACTGTTCACCAGATGGACGCGTTTAATAACGGGATCAGACCCCCTCGTCTCACACAGCACTGTATGCAACGCCAGACACGGGGCTACGGTTAAAGCCCACGTGGAAACACTGGCTTTGAGCGGGGAGGCAGAGCCGAGCTAACGTTGCACCAGCTGGCCTTCCGTGACGCGCCCGTTGCCCGGGCAACAACATGCGGCGATATTAGCAGGATTCCCTACGCAACGATAGTTAAGTTAGCTGAGACTAGCATAAACTGCTATAGTAGTAAAACAAAAATAATATCATGTTCAAATAAATAAAACCAAAGGAAGAATCACTGTCACAAGTCAAAGTATCAGTTAACTATGGGGCGCCGTTTGTAAAATGTCGCACGTTCTAAAATCCTGCGCAGTTTTGCCACATTTAGCATTATCATATGAACAAAAAAGCACGACAATATTCACATGTCACTTTTTCAAACATTTAGAGAGCCCCATAGTTAACGTTGTTATTTGGTGAGTAACAAGCGGGACATGTTGGAATACCTTTCAGAGACGCACTAACATATGACGTCACCAACCCAGTGAAATTACGACTCACCTAAAAGAACAGCTACCACGTTTGTAATATGGAAGGCGTTCATGGTGAAGTAATGCCAGCGGTTCCTCCTGCTCCGAGTGTGAAGTCCCGGTGAACCGTAGAGACTAACGGTTCTCTAACCGCTGTTTGATGTGCTTCAAAACGCGATTCGAATCATTAGGAGAAAAACACAGCACTCAAAACTGATTAAAAAAATGCAGTCTTGTTTGACAGTTCGTAAATTCTCATTATGTTATTTGTGTTTGAAATATTTAACCAAACTTTTAGCTGTCAAAAAGACAGACACACTTCCCAACCCAAACAAAAAGAAAATAAGGGAAACAAACCAAAAGAAATACAAACTCAAGGATTAACTACTCAGTTAGTCAGCGAGAATAGCAGTAGACAGTCCAGACACTCCTTCGTCCTTTAGCCGGGGGGACAAACAGAAAAGGCATTACAACACAGAAATAACCTCTTTAATAATATGTAAACATTGGTACTTCAATCTGAAAGTTAGATATAATTTTTGGGGAGATTCTTTGGCTTCTTTTTACATTTTAGTAATTTCAACAAATCTAAATCTCCCGTGTCCCAATAATCCACCATGATTAACAGTTTTCATGGGGTCCTTTTTTAAGTAGACTTTTCCAACCAATGAGAGAAATAAATACGCTTTTATTTATTTTGCCTACATTTAGCATCATCACAAAGCTCTTTCAAGAAGATTTTAAAGAAAATTAAAGCTTTCTTGAGCTCAACATTACCATTACCTTGTTGCTGTCCTCCAAAGCTTGCACAATGACGGCCACAACGAGGTTGGCGAGCACGAACTGTGCGATGACCACAAAGGTGATGAAGTATATCGGAGAGACCCACGTGAGGTAGAGTGAACACTCTCCAGGACGGCACTGCTTCAAGGTGTCCTTCAGAGGAGCAGAGAGAGGTTCAGAGAGGGAAGAAGAACTTTAGACAGACGAGGAAGTTAAAAGAGAGAAACAAGTTTCATCCCTCTCATTTGCTGCAGGGTGTGGATCACCTTACCTTCCATCGGATGTGTGTGTGTGTGTGCATACCATCATGATCATGCTCCAGTTGTCCCCGGTGCACACCAGGAAGAGGGTGAACAGGGCCATGCCGAAGTGCTTGAAATTGACATACTCGTTTAATCCGAGGCACAGTTCGTCCTCGGCGCATTCTGAGAAAAAACAATGCACGCGATTCAGACGCCGACTTTGCACTTTTTGAACATTTTGATGGCGCAGGATGAAAGAGAAGGACCCAAGTATTCTGTGTACTAGTCCACCATCAAGATGAGCTAAGACAACATTGGCCAACGACACTGAACTGTTTCTGATGTAGTTACTACACTAGCCCGCCCTGTTTAGCTAAGAGCTTTCTTGGTTTCCTTAGCAACAATATGTTTTGGGGGGGAGCTCTGGGGCCGCAATCCTTCGCTGTTAGCCTTCGTGCATGCGTTTGTTCTGCTGCCAGTGTGACTGACCTAGATGGCCAAAGAACTCCACTCCTAGCGTTGCGTAGATGGTAAAGAAGAACAGGAAGAGGAGACAAATGTTTCCAACCTGGTATCAAAAATAAGAGTTAGCTCCGCCAGGTGCAACAAAAGCTACAGCATGGAGGACGTCAGGTCTGAACCAACATGATGTGCGTCAGCACACGCCCCTTCCTCAACACAAACACAGATGCAGGAGAAGCAAGCCACAGATAAATGCATTCATTCTCAGTCTACATTGATGAGGAATAAATATATAAAGGTCGCTTTACCTGCGACAGCGTTTTGCCGATTGTTGTCAGCAGGACACGAATCCTTTTGGCCTTCAGGACTAAAGAGAGATGCGGTGGTGGTGATGAATAACGTTTCTTACGTGCATTCAAAACGTGCGCAGCCATCTTTTAAAAATCCCCACAATCCCCTTTTGTCGAGTGTGCGTACCTTGTCCCATCCTCAGCACTCTGAGGACTGTCAGGATGGTGGGATTTACAGGAACTTGCTGTGACACACTCATCATGTTTAAAGCGATGCTCGTGATGGATACCGAGACGATCACGAGGTCCACGAGGTTCCAACTAAACACAAACACGGGAAGACGTGAGTCACTGACTGGAACAAGCAAACACAGACCTTCCCCCGGTTGAAGTGCTTCACCTGTTTCGCAGGAATCTCAGCCCGCCAAACGCCACGAGCTTCAGCAGGACTTCAATCAACAGGATGGAGGTGAACACGTAGTGGGAGTACTCTGTCAACCTCTTGATGTACTGGACACAAGAACACACACAGAAACTCCATGTAACACTCATTCTCGCTGTGGCTGTGGCCAGTGATCGTATCGTGCGTGTGTGTGCGCGCGCATTCACCAGAGGTTCTTGGTAGTGCTCGACGGCCATGATCAAAACACTGATGACAATCAGGACGGCTATGAAGAGGTCCAGCGGCCCGCTGGTGCACAGGGTGTGGATGGACAGACGCATGCGGGAGTAGGACGCTTGGTACGGCGTCTCCTTGGGAACCTCAGCAACATCCTCGCCTTCGCACGCACGAATGCAGATGTTCAGATGGTCACACACGTGTCTGAAATCCCTTTCTGTCCCCACGCTCCTCACCTGCGCCGCGCCGCAAGCTGTTTCTCGCCTCCTCAGACAGTTTATTTTGTTTCTTCTGACAGTCGTGGAAGGTGTGCACCATCACGCCGATGAACATGTCGAGCAAGAAATAGCTCACGATCATGAAGGAGATGAAGAAAGGAAGTATCCATACATTGTAGTTGATCATGGGCTGAGGGGGAGGCGGAGGAGGAAAGACACGTCAGATTGTATTTTCACTTACACCATGTCAGTGTGAGAACATCAATCCGATACCTGTTGGTCCACTCCAACGGCGTCCAGTCCATCATACATGAGGGTCACCCAGCCGTCCTTGGAGTACATCACGAACAGTGAAAGCAGGGCCTGAATGGGAGACACTCTTATATTGAACTTTGATGTTCAGCTAGCTGAATATGGTTCTTTCCGTTTTTTAATCAACTCGAAAAGACATTTAACAAAAACATTTTCAAAGAGAATGCCATTTTTATGTCTAGTGGCCCATTACGTTAAAATAATGTCAAATTTGTGAAAGTAACAGCATTTGAATGCTACTATGTCGACCTCCAAGCGCGATGGTCCGTACCTGCGGCAAGCTGTCAAAATTGAAATCCTTCAGCTCCCAGCGCTGGTTGGCCGACAGACAGTCCGTCTTGTTGGTGACGTCATCAATGAACTCGCCTCTGCAGATGTAGAACTTCCCCTTGAACAACTGCAGTGTGAGAAAAGCACAGAGACAGTGTTTCTGTTCCCCCCACTGTGCTGTCCTCTTCTGAACTGCATCACACTCACACAACCGATCCGCGTGTGATTTCCCGCGTTACCTGCAAGCCGAGGATTGCGTAGAACAAGATGAGGGCGCAGCACAGGAGCAAGATGTTCCCGACGGGTTTGACGGCGATGATCAGAGCCTCCACCGCCAGCTTCAGTTTCGGGGATCGCTTGACCACCCTGGGGACCCACAGGCAGAAGAATGTTTGTTAGATGCTCACATTCACAAACAACCATCATCTACACTGTACACAACCACACCGTGCACAACAACAACAAGAAATGGCGTACCGCAGCGCACGAAGTATGCGCAGCAGGCGCAGCACTTTGAGGATGTCCAACATTTTGCTGTGGCTTGCAAGGGACAGCAAGACGACGATGTCGACCACGGAGGCGACCACCAGCAACCCGTCCACGATATTCCAGGCAGAGCGGCAGTAGCTCTCGCTCCCAATGAACAGGCCGAGGGTCAGGACCTGTTGATACGGACAGTTAAACAGTGATATTACTACTTCATACTGCATTATAAAACATTTATAATGTATTACCATCTTCCTTTACAAAAACACATATAAGAGAGCAGAAAGTATTACAATACTAGACCTTACAAATCATGTGATGCTTATAATAACAATTAGTAAATACTATAAGCAGACAAAGCCTTTTAAGTAGGTTTGTAATGAATCATAGTGTTGGTGAAAGAAGCCACAACTTACTTTTATTGATTAGAACCAAATCAACATTTTATTTCTTGATATGAATTACATTTCCCAGTGACTAAAGATTTTACCTTAAAAAGCATCTCTACCATGAAGACCGCAGAGAAGACGAAACCAGAGATGGTCAAGAACGTTCGCTCCTAAAGGGCAGAGGGAGATTCACTTCAGACCTGCATGTATTTTTATTAGGGCTGTCAATAGAAAAAATGTAACTGATTAATCAAACATTTTGAAAGTCCGGCACACCGGAAGACCGAAATTAAACAAAGTTGGGTTAACTGCTTTAAAATACATTATAGCATTAATCTCTGCCACATTAATTGCATAGATTAATGCATTTATGTTAACAGTCGTAATTTTAATTACATATAATCAGATTCAAGTTAGATATTAATTGAGTCATTAAGTGCATAATGTCCAGCTTGACTGACTGTGTGTGTTTCTCTCTGTTTCTTTGCACACAACGCTCCTCCCCAGGCTGCATTATACATTTTATATACAGGTGTGTGGTGTGTGTGTGTGTGTGTGTGTGTGTGTGTGCCACACTCTGCAGGGCTCTCACCTTGCTTCCAGGCTCAATTCCAGGTCTCTCCATTGCAATGGTGATACAGTTTAGGAGAATAAAGAGGAGAACTGTGTATTCGAACAAATGGTGAGACGTCACACTCTTGCAAAAGAGCCGGAGCCTAAACACACACACAAACACGCACAGGCACACACACACATAGAAAATCATTGGTGCTAGTCTGCCATCCATACAGGACTTGTACATCTGCAGTCAGGAAACATAACTGAAGACGCGTCTCACCCGGACACAACCCGTGCCAAATGAAGAGAATGATGGTTAAGTCCTGCTTTGTGTGTGTTCATGAGTGTGTGCGTGTGAGACTTACCTGTTCTGGGGAGACAACACGTAGAATGACCACTCTTCACGCTTTTTGCACCAGCGCAGCGCCGTCTGGTTTCGGTTCTGAGATCTCTGCGGTGGCAAATTATCACAGATCAGGCGCCTCATAAACTCATGTCAAAATCATGAGCTTGAAAAGACGCTGCTAAGAGTAAAGACAATGAGGCCGAGGCCGCTGTGAGGAACTCACGTTTACCTCATCGCCGTTTACATCTGCAGAACCGTGCTCAACGGTCGGGGTCGGGGTCACGGAGGAAGGGCTCTGGCCAAGTGTTCGCTGGAAAAAAAAAATGAAACAAGCGCTCGGCTTGAGTTTGGATGGAAAGTATGCGAGTTTGCTACACTTTAAAGCTTCATGTCCAAATCACGAGCAGAAAGCTTAAAAAGACGCTGCTTGGAGTAATAATAATGGCAATGAGGTCCAGGCGGCATTATCGCTGTGAGGAACTCACGTTTTCCTCATCGCCGTTTGTATCTGCAGAACCGTCCTCTGAGGTCGGGGAAGAGGTCACGGAGGAAGGGCTCTCGCCAAGTGTTCGCTGGAAAAATGAGGAAACCAGCGCTTTGGCAGGGGTGTGTATGGAAAGTATGCGAGTTTGCTACACTTCACATCGGGTGTGAGCTCTCTGAGAAGCAAGCGGTCCTCACCCTGTCTTGGAAGCCCTGATGGACAATACCCACGAGGATGTTGAGAAGGACGTGCTTTCCCATCACGATGACCGCAACGAAGTAGATGAAGGCCCACGGAGAGGTTTCCGCCATGATGTTGTACAGCACCGTGTTCCAGTTCTCCTCCGTCAGAATCTGGATCAAACAAAGAGATTGAGACTCAAAATTTCACAACGGTGAAACACAAAATCTGGTACTCAGACAACCGACCTGGAACACGGTGACCATGGACCAGAGCAGCGTGTCAAAGTTCTTCCTGTCATTGATTGTGTTCCGTGTGTCTAACCCATGACCGAACAGATGCATGCCCACCAGACTGCAGAGGAAGAGGAAAAAAAGGTGGGAGACAGTCAGTGGAATGTGTGAATCGGGTGGGTGGCGGCCACACGTCTCCAAGCAGACAGGTGGGGCAGAGAGGATCGGTGCGTGCACGTGCCTGAAAACAAAGAGGACAAAAAGGATGAGCATGCAGAGCGAAGCGGCCTCCTGCATGGCCTTCTTCAGCACCAGCAGCTGTGTCCTTAGGTAAGGGAGGTAGTGCAGCAGGCGGAAAGCTCGGAGGACCGACAACCAGTCGTCTTCTTTGGTTCTCATCTCCGAAAGACTGGAAAACACAAGCAAACACGTCTCAATGCGGCGTAACTTGGTAAGACATCAGAGGAGCGCATTGCTTTATGTTACCATTATGAGCTTTGATCGCTTGTTGTACATCACTTTGGTTCCAGGGCTGATGTTTTGTTTTTTTAAAGGGCTATATGAATAAAGTTGGACTGGACTTCTTGGACTTGCTGACACCAGAAAAGCTCAACCCGGTTGGGACATATCAAATATAAACGATGGCACACAAAGGACAAAAAGTGGAGTCCAAAGGCATCATTTTACCTGATGATGACGATGACAAAGTGGAGCAAGTTGTTTCGGTCCTCAAAGTACGCCCACTTGAGAACCATCCACTTTAAGAGCATCTCCACCACGAAGATCACGGTGAAGGTGAGGTCACAGATCTGCAAGATGTTGGTCAACACGTTTGGCTGCAGGAGGAGAAGATGGACAGAAGGTGGAGTGAGGGCTGATGATGCAAAGAGAGGAAGGGAAGTCAAGGAGGGAAAGATACATGAAGCAGTAAATACTCCTTTTGGAGTTTGCTATTTGAGCTTTCTCAGGCTGGGTGTCACCAACAAGGATACATTTTTTAAATCACATAAATAAAAAAAGCGGCCAGAATCCCATCGCCTCTCACCTGGTTATGATGCTGAATGGCCAGGGTGAGAATGCTGAGGAGAACTGCGCACGCGATCAGCCGGTCGAAGACTTTACTGTTGACGACTTTCTCGAGTCTCGTCCTGAGCTGTCCCCAAATGTGACCCTTGACCTAAAAAGATGACACGACGCAGGTGGGTAATCCATTGTTAGCGAGGGACCAACGGCGCTGCTGGTGGTGGCGCAGAACGTTGCTGACAAGTCTTACCGTCAAGTCGTCGGCCCTGCTGTCGTCGTCATGGTGGTGCACCCTTTCGCGTTCAACAAAAGCGAGTAAGAAACACAAAATAACTCAAAGTAATCCCCAATTATCAACTGCGGGTTTGAGCAGAAATCCCACCAACTTGTTTGAAATGACTTGCAGGCTGCGGACAGAGACCGACCTGTTGGATGCACGCCGTCTGATGACTGCCAGGCAGCCGGTCCACTTGGAGCAGAGCCATTCACCTAACACGTCGCTATTCTCCCTCCTGGTTTCCCGTCTTCTCAGGTGCTCCAGGTTGTCTGAGAACTGGGTGGAGATGACGACGCCGCACACGTTCATCATGATGTAGGAGCCCATCTGGTTGGCGAAGTAGGAGGGGTTCGTAAAAAAGCTTCAGGGAAAGTGCACCTCAACTCAACTTCTTAAGCAACCACAACGAGTGTAGGGTGGTTATGAGAGGGTTTATCCTCTGCATATGTATAAATATAAATGTATGTATGACCATGTTTGCTGCTGAACATAAACATAAACAGACAATAAAGCTCAAATCTAAAGTTCACAGAAGGCCTGTTTATTTAAAAAAGTAGCGACCCAGGACAGACAAAACGTACTGTGTGGGATAACACATATATATAAAAGAACAAGGTGAAATGCCACAGTAGTAAAGACGAGGATACTCACAATGACAACAAATATGAAATAGAGGAAACTCCAGAAGGAATACACATTCATGACATAAAACATGATGTTTGACCATCCTTCCAGTGTGACAACCTGCAGGTGGAGACAAAGGAGACAAAAGAATCCGACCATTGAGTCACATAGAGCCTGATGGCGAACGAGTAGCAGTGGAAACGGAACAAGAGCGCCTCATGCCGTCAGCGCAAAGCGAATGGATCTAAAAGAACAACAAGCTTCTCATCCGTGAGAAGGAGGGAACCTTCACAACACTTCCACACATTCTAATGACCACATAAGGTCAGCACCTTACTCCATGACTTTCACTGATGGAGTCAGCCCAGGTTGCTTTTGAATGAAATTAAATGTGTCCATTAGTAAGCAAGCTTTGCTAATTAGCAAAGCAGATGTGATATGACGTGATTTTTTTATCAATGGCAGCTGATCTACTGGTACTGCCTTGGCGATCGACCTATTGGGAACCCCTGTGATAGATGGATGGATGGATGCATTTTGCACAGCCCTTACCTGGAATATGCTTATCCAGGCGTAGCCGATGTTATCGAAGTTGGTGGCCCCGCTGTTGGGGTTCTGGGCCCCGGCCCGACAGACGTTGTAGAGAACGTTCCAGTTGACGCAGGCGTTGGTGCCGGCCCCCGTGAGGCCAAACACACTCGGCGCGGGAGGAGCCAAGGAGCAGATTTGGTGGTTCTCTCTGTTGGGCGGCACCTCGCCACAGTGACGGCCGCTCGTGCCTTCGGGGGAACAGAGGAACGTTTGGAGCTCACCGTACTTGTTGACGTAGTACGGGCTTAAGGACACGTTGTACATCCTGGTGGGAGGAGAGAAATGACGTAGAGTGCAAAGAAGAATAGTTTAGCGACACGTATACAACAGAGGGAATTATTTGGAAATGTGAAGATACCTCAAAACCTAATGTTCCAAAGTCTGGGATTTGTTGGGAAATGGATTGTAGTCTGGGGACAGTTATTTTTATTTGATAAACTTGAGTTAGTGCCTTTATTCAGCATTTTGTACACATTTAAAATATTGCGACATATTTTGGTGTTCAAACAGCAATTATTTAATTAATTATGATAATCAAATCAAAATCAGTAGACCAAACTACCAAAGTCAAGAGGTCAACGGGCAGATCATTTGATAATTGTAAGTGGGGGGCAGAGAGAGAAACCATTGCAACGACTGGAATAACAGAAGCAGCAGCATCCTTACGCAGTGGGGTCCTCTCCCAGGAAGCAGCGGTTGCGCAGACGCCCCGCCCATAGCTGGACCCCTATCACGCCGAAGATGTGCACGACAAACATGTAGAGGCAGAGCACGTTAGCCAGCATGGGGAAGATGAACAGGACCGCTGACACGATGTCACGCATACCTGCAAGGATGAAGACAAAAGTCGCCGTGAGTTGTTATTTTGGACTAAAAATACAATTCTGCACTAGGTAACTGACCTCCTTAATTCTTCCAAATCAACTTTCTTAAAGAACCTTTAGTCGGACGACTGTCAGAAGAGCTACATTGATGAAGTGTGTATTTTCGGTATACGGTTTACATTTTATCATCTATTAATATGAGAGTTGTCGGATCCGTCTCCATGTTTGTCCTCGAGAAATATTCTTGTTGGATAATTGAAACATTTGAATTCACAAGTGCTCTTAAAGTTCCCAAAGTGCAGTTTTTACACAGTTATTTCTTAAATGTAATGGAAATGGACAATTGTATAGAAACAGGTTGCTTTGGGAGGATTATCGAACGCATTAACAACAATAGAAGTCAGGTGAAAAGCTTGAAATGTTAACATGGCTCCATAATACTCTTATTGGGGGCTTGTGTGGAAACACTGAGCAAAAACACCAGGACGTGCACTTACTCGCTACTCTGCTGATCAGTCGCAGCGGCCCGAGCACTTGAGAGACTTGCAGGTGGAGGCCGAGGTGATCCATAAAGAAGTCAAAAAACCTGAGGGAACAGAAACGGGGAGAGAGGAGTGATGTCTTCATATGCACAAAATGTAAACGTACACACATTCTAGTACTTGATATGAAAGCATTCTGATCATGAATAAGCCAAGAGCTGATGGCATAAAAAACCTTTCCAGTGATGCGTTCTTGAAACTACGACTGACATGTTGTTAGCTGCTAGGCTACATCCATCTCAACATGTACCCTGCCTGGCACACAGTCTGCAGAGGACCACCACTCAAAAAGTCAGGTGACTCTGAACAAAGCTGAGCAAACTTGCTGTTTCCTCTGCCACGAGATACGTCTGTGTATGAGAGTCAATGGCGTTTCATTTGACCGCAGAAATGTGCTGTTCTCCTATAGTAACCGGCGTTTTCCATCAGCAGATGGAGGAGAAAACAAAGCGAAAGGCATTGTGGGATACTCACTCTCCTAAGTTGATGAGTAGGTCCAACCTGTTCCAGTAGTTGCTGAGGTAGCTTCCTTTGTAGCCAAACAATCCCATGGCGAACATTTTGCTGAACATCTCACCCACGAAATATGTTACTACAATGGAATCCAAAAGCTGAGGATGCCAAGTAAAAATCTCTGTTACACAAAGTCAAAACAACAGCTAATGCTAACTCAACTGACTAGACTGCTGTTGGAATCACTCATGACTTACAGAGGGACGTATGAAGCGTATTGTATACAAAATAAACATTCTAAGTTGTCATCAGCCCTTTGGGTTAGGATTTTGAGTGTCTTTTCACAAACACAAAAGTTGGGGAGCTTTTAGTTGAATTTTAAACATAAAAGAGCGCAGGTTTCAATCCAACCTTGAGCTTGTAGCTCCTCTGCTGACCGGGGACGTAAATGCCCAGACTCACACAGTCGAGGAGGATCACAAGTATGGACACATACCGCAACCATGTGGAGGAAGAGGTTAAGGTCAAAACTCATACGTATTCATCTATTGGTAAAACGCAGGATCGATGTTTACATACGAGAAAGACCTAATGGGACTAACAAACAATGTTACAATGTATTAATAGAGACAGGTGAGCGTATCCTTTGCTCTAAAACATACGCAACGTATATTCACACAAGCATGTGCTATTTTTTACACATATTTGGTCTTGCTGGGTGTCAGACAAAGGTTGGACTACCAGCAGTAAAAAAGGATATGGGCCACAGGCCCCTTTCAGACACCAATTACGGGGTCTCGATGTCTGTTTGAAGCAGCCCAAGACCACCGGGGCCAGATCCGGGTACGGCAGCTGCTCCTGCTCCTCGAGGCCCGGGTCGGGGTTGGGACCTCCGTGAGGTTGTATGGTGAGTGCCACCTCAGGCATGATTGAGTTGCTACGGAGGGAGGTCGAAAAGAGAGAAGAGATGAGAAGAACGGGCCAAAATTAAGAAAAATACTCAGATATTTTGAGGAATGTTATGTTGTGTAGACGAGCTCATTGTTTGTTTTATAGATTTATTAAAAATTAATTATTTACAGAGAAGCGTTCTAATTAAAGCAAATAGCAACATAGCAATACTTCACAACAAAATAAATCAGGAAACATTTATTATCAATATATGTCAGACATACAAGGAATTTGACTTGGCGATTGGTGCGTAACAGTTAGACAATGGACAACAAGACAGATAAGACGATATAGAGTAGAATAGTACAGGTTGTAAAAACTAGTTTGCTGTTTTTTTTGGACACAAACATTCCAAAAGTGTCCCAGTCGATTTTGTGCATGCAAATTCTTGCAGCTGACCAAACGTAAACAAACACATGCAGCTGCTGAGCAACGCAATTCCGTTGAAATACTGTCTGATACATATATGACACTAAACAACTGTAATATTAATGCACATTATTATGAATGACAACAAGTTTTGCCATGGAGGTAGTTCAGATCATCTATAAATCCCTTTTATATCAATTAAAAACAGCTGACAGGAGGTAAACATACACCCAGCAACGCAAATCTAACAGCGCATTCATACTTTTTCACAATACAGTATCACAATGTTTTGCATGCAGTATTCTTTGATAGCTTTGAATCTCCAAACAACATTTTGTAAGATACAGTTTTTAGAATGACTGATACATATTTGATGGTAAACATGAACAGTGCCTATACAATATTATTACACATAATTATGAATAAAAACTGTTGCTATGGACGTAGTTCATATCATGGACTCCCTAAAAATAGTTTTAAAATTAATTTTAAGATTCATATCTTCTATCAATTTCTTTCTTTATTTAGTGGCACAAGCACACCACTTTTTCATTGTTTTACATACCAGTTAAATGTAAGTAACGACACTCTAAATTACCACAGATGCTCAAATTAATTGGTTCCTTATAACTTTCTATTAAACTAATATCGGAAACGATTTGGCACATTTAACGGTTAAAAGGTAGAAAACCGTCCTGTAGCCGGATGAGTGTTTCTAGCTAACGCCAGTTAGCACTCGGTAGCTAACGTTACATTTGTTGAAACCCGACTAAAATCAGCAGCATGATCCTTGTATAACGTCTGGGTTGTATTAACAAGTAATCGCCAGTTAGTGCTCGGTTTTCTAAAGACAACCAATTATCACAAATTAATGAGCGTGCCCAGTATGTATGGTGCCCGTATAGCATTAATAGTTCTCACCTGAGGGCGAAACGTTCCGGTTTGACGGCTGAAATCACAAATCCGTTGTCGACTGTAAATTGCACTTGTTTCCACTTTGTCCAGTTGAAAACTTGTAAATTCCACGTGTTTCCGCTTTGTCCAGTTGAAGTCCGTTCAGAATAAGCTCAAAAGTTGTCCAAAAGTCCAAAAGAGAGCTAACGTTTTGATATTAAACAACATCAACTTGCTGGTTGTCGGGTTGCCTGGTGACAGCCAATGAAATTGCAGCATTTATGAACGCGGTCTACAGCGCTGCGTGACGGTCTGGACACAGTTTTGGAATCCCAGTTCAAAGATAATTTCGAATAGACTTGAAAAAACGGACACGTGGAATTTACAAGTCTGGTTCTCTCCAACAGAGAGAACCACCAAATCTGCTCCTTGGATACATCCATCCATCTATCACAGGGGTTCCCAATAGGTCGATCGCCAAGGCAGTACCAGTAGATCAGCTGTCATTGATAAAAAAATCACGTCATATCACGTCTGCGCAGCCGGGAAAACTAATGCTAATTAGCAAAGCTTGCTTACTAATGGACACATTTAATTTCATTCAAAAGCAACCTGGGCTGGCTCCAATCAGTGAAAGTCATGGAGTAAGGTGCTGACCTTATGTGGTCATTAGAATGTGTGGAAGTGTTGTGAAGGTTTCCACTGCTACTCGTTCACCATCAGGCTCTATGTGACTCAATGGTCAAATTCTTTTGTCTTCTTTGTATGTGTTATCCCACACGGTACGTTTTGTCTGTCCTGGGTCGCTACTTTTTTAAATAAACAGGCCTTCTGTGAACTTCAGATTTGAGCTTTATTGTCTGTTTATGTTTATGTTCAGCAGCAAACATGGTCATACATACATTTATATTTATACATATGCAGAGGATAAACCCTCTCATAACCACCCTACACTCGTTGTGGTTGCTTAAGAAGTTGAGTTGAGGTGCACTTTCCCTGAAGCTTTTTTACGAACCCCTCCTACTTCGCCAACCAGATGGGCTCCTACATCATGATGAACGTGTGCGGCGTCGTCATCTCCACCCAGTTCTCAGACAACCTGGAGCACCTGAGAAGACGAGAAACCAGGAGGGAGAATAGCGACGTGTTAGGTGAATGGCTCTGCTCCAAGTGGACCGGCTGCCTGGCAGTCATCAGACGGCGTGCATCCAACAGGTCGGTCTCTGTCCGCAGCCTGCAAGTCATTTCAAACAAGTTGGTGGGATATCTGCTCAAACCCGCAGTTGATAATTGGGGATTACTTTGAGTTATTTTGTGTTTCTTACTCGCTTTTGTTGAACGTGAAAGGGTGCACCACCATGACGACGACAGCAGGGCCGACAACTTGACGGTAAGACTTGTCAGCAACGTTCTGCGCCACCACCAGCAGCGCCGTTGGTCCCTCGCTAACAAGGGATTACCCACCGGCGTCGTGTCATCTTTTTAGGTCAAGGGGCACATTTGGGGACAGCTCAGGACGAGACTCGAGAAAGTCGTCAACAGTAAAGTCTTCGACCGGCTGATCGCGTGCGCAGTTCTCCTCAGCATTCTCACCCTGGCCATTGAGCATCATGACCAGGTGAGAGGCGATGGGATTCTGGCCGCTTTTTTTATTTATGTGATTTAAAAAATGTATCCTTGTTGGTGACACCCAGCCTGAGAAAGCTCAAATAGCAAACTCCAAAAGGAGTATTTACTGCTTCATGTATCTTTCCCTCCTTGACTTCCCTTCCTCTCTTTGCATCATCAGCCCTCACTCCACCTTCTGTCCATCTTCTCCTCCTGCAGCCAAACGTGTTGACCAACATCTTGCAGATCTGTGACCTCACCTTCACCGTGATCTTCGTGGTGGAGATGCTCTTAAAGTGGATGGTTCTCAAGTGGGCGTACTTTGAGGCCCGAAACAACTTGCTCCACTTTGTCATTGTCATCATCAGGTAAAATGATGCCTTTGGGCTCCACTTTTTGTCCTTTGTGTGCCATCGTTTATATTTGATATGTCCCAACCGGGTTGAGCTTTTCTGGTGTCAGCAAAAGTCCAGTCCAACTTTATTCATATAGCCCTTTAAAAAAACAAAACAGCAGCCCTGGAACCAAAGTGATGTACAATAAGCGATCAAAGCTCATAATGGTAACATAAAGCAATGCGCTCCTCTGATGTCTTACCAAGTTACGCCGCATTGAAACGTGTTTGCTTGTGTTTTCCAGTCTTTCGGAGATGAGAACCAAAGAAGACGACTGGTTGTCGGTCCTCCGAGCTTTCCGCCTGCTGCACTACCTCCCTTACCTAAGGACACAGCTGCTGGTGCTGAAGAAGGCCATGCAGGAGGCCGCTTCGCTCTGCATGCTCATCCTTTTTGTCCTCTTTGTTTTCAGGCACGCACCGATCCTCTCTGCCCCACCTGTCTGCTTGGAGACGTGTGGCCGCCACCCACCCGATTCACACATTCCACTGACTGTCTCCCACCTTTTTTTCCTCTTCCTCTGCAGTCTGGTGGGCATGCATCTGTTCGGTCATGGGTTAGACACACGGAACACAATCAATGACAGGAAGAACTTTGACACGCTGCTCTGGTCCATGGTCACCGTGTTCCAGGTCGGTTGTCTGAGTACCAGATTTTGTGTTTCACCGTTGTGAAATTTTGAGTCTCAATCTCTTTGTTTGATCCAGATTCTGACGGAGGAGAACTGGAACACGGTGCTGTACAACATCATGGCGGAAACCTCTCCGTGGGCCTTCATCTACTTCGTTGCGGTCATTGTGATGGGAAAGCACGTCCTTCTCAACATCCTCGTGGGTATTGTCCATCAGGGCTTCCAAGACAGGGTGAGGACCGCTTGCTTCTCAGAGAGCTCACACCCGATGTGAAGTGTAGCAAACTCGCATACTTTCCATACACACCCCTGCCAAAGCGCTGGTTTCCTCATTTTTCCAGCGAACACTTGGCGAGAGCCCTTCCTCCGTGACCTCTTCCGCGACCGTTGAGCACGGTTCTGCAGATGTAAACGGCGATGAGGTAAACGTGAGTTCCTCACAGCGACCTCGGCCTCATTGTCTTTACTCTTAGCAGCGTCTTTTCAAGCTCATGATTTTGACATGAGTTTATGAGGCGCCTGATCTGTGATAATTTGCCACCGCAGAGATCTCAGAACCAAAACCAGACGGCGCTGCGCTGGTGCAAAAAGCGTGAAGAGTGGTCATTCTACGTGTTGTCTCCCCAGAACAGGTAAGTCTCACACGCACACACTCATGAACACACACAAAGCAGGACTTAACCATCATTCTCTTCATTTGGCACGGGTTGTGTCCGGGTGAGACGCGTCTTCAGTTATGTTTCCTGACTGCAGATGTACAAGTCCTGTATGGATGGCAGACTAGCACCAATGATTTTCTATGTGTGTGTGCCTGTGCGTGTTTGTGTGTGTGTTTAGGCTCCGGCTCTTTTGCAAGAGTGTGACGTCTCACCATTTGTTCGAGTACACAGTTCTCCTCTTTATTCTCCTAAACTGTATCACCATTGCAATGGAGAGACCTGGAATTGAGCCTGGAAGCAAGGTGAGAGCCCTGCAGAGTGTGGCACACACACACACACACACACACACACACACACACACACACACACACACACACACATCCGATAGAAACTGGCCAGTTATTAAACTGGCCCTCTCAGCAAATGAGAGGGATGAAACTTGTTTCTCTCTTTTAACTTTGTGGTTGGCCCGATTGGTAAAGTCACCATGGCAACCAAACGGTCCAGATTTCCTCGTCTGTGTAAAGTTCTTCTTCCCTCTCTGAACCTCTCTCTGCTCCTCTGAAGGACACCTTGAAGCAGTGCCGTCCTGGAGAGTGTTCACTCTACCTCACGTGGGTCTCTCCGATATACTTCCTCACCTTTGTGGTCATCGCACAGTTCGTGCTCGCCAACCTCGTTGTGGCCGTCATTGTGCAAGCTTTGGAGGACAGCAACAAGGTAATGGTAATGTTGAGCTCAAGAAAGCTTTAATTTTCTTTAAAATGTTCTTGAAAGAGCTTTGCGATGATGCTAAATGTAGGCAAAATAAATAAAAGCGTGTTTATTTCTCTCATTGGTTGTCAAAGTCCACTTAAAAAAGGACCCCATAAAAACTGTTAATCATGGTGGATTATTGGGACACGGGAGATTTAGATTTGTTGAAATTACTAAAATGTAAAAAGCAGCCAAAGAATATCCCCAAAAACTATGTCTAACTTTCAGATTGAAGTACCAATGTTTACATATTATTAAAGAGGTTATTTCTGTGTTGTAATGCATTTTCTGTTTGTCCCCCCGGCTAAAGGACAAAGGAGTGTCTGGACTGTCTGCTATTCTCGTTGTCTCTGGAGCTTCTGACACCTGATCCAGATTGATTGACGATTGATTTTAACCCCTCACAGTCCTTTTGAAAGCTGTTCAATTGTATTGTAAAAGTATAATCTATTGATTCAACTAAAATGTTTCAATATTTTAAGAATTCATATTCATACATTTTTCCATGCATCTGTATTCCCAATGTTCCTTTTGAAAGCAGTTGTTTTATTCTAAAAGAACAATTTACTGATTTAACTGCTATTTGTTTTAAGAATCTGTATATATGTATGCATCCATCTTTATTCCTGTTGTCCTTTTGAAAGCAGATGATTTTTTCTAATAGTACAATTTATTGATTAAACTGCTTGTCACGATTGCGGGGTGGAAGGCAGGACTCAGATGCAGACTTCTCCGAAACAAAAGACTTTAATAGTCACCAGATACAAAATTCAAAAGGCCAAGGGGCAAAAACACACAGGCATGAACCTACGGAGATCCACAACAGGAGACAAGAACATGCGTGGCAAAAGACAATGACGCGACAAGTGACAACAGACACACATGGTTTAAATACACTAGGGAGGTGCAGGTGATTGGACACAGGTGGAAACTATTAAGACGATCACAGGGGATGACGGGACAAGACAGGAAGTGAAGTTACCCAAGGACACGAGTGGCAGAAAACTACAAAATATAACATGAAGTGAACCACACCGTGACACTGCTATTTCTTTGATACGAGAATCTGTATATATTTATGCAGCTTATTTCCTTATGTACATTTTGAAAGCAGTTAGTTTTATTCTAATAGAACAATTTATTGATTTAACTGCTATTTCTCTGTTTTAAGAATCTGTATATATTTCTTCATCCAATTTGTTTTCCTGATGTTCCTTTTGAAAGCAGCTGTTTTGTTCTAATAGAACAATTTATTGATTTAACTGCTATTTCTTTGTTTTAATAATTTGTATATATTCATGCATCCATGTTTATTCCTGATTTCCTTTTGAAAGCAGCTGTTTTGTTCAGGTCAGGGCTCTGGCTGGGCCACTCAAGGACATTCACAGAGTTGTGCCGAAGCCACTCCTTTGTTATCATGGCTGTGTGCTTCGGGTTGTTGTCCTGTTGGAAGATGAAGCGTCGCCCCAGTCTGAGGTCCGGAGCGCTTTGGAGCATGTTTTCATCAAGGATGTCTCTGTACATTGCTGCATTAAGCTTTCCCTCAATCCTGACTAGTCTCCCAGTTCCTCCCGCTGAAAAACATCCCCACAGCACGATGCTGCCACCACCATGCTTCACTGTAGGGATGGTGTTGGCCAGGTGATGAGCTGCGCCTGGTTTCCTCCAGACTGACGCTTGGCATTCAGGCCAAAGAGTTCAATCTTTGTTTCATCAGACCAGAGAATTTTGTTTCTCATGGTCTGAGAGTCCTTCAGGCGGGCCGTCATGTGCTTTTTACTGAGGAGTGGCTTCCGTCTGGCCACTCTACCAAACAGGCCTGATTTGTGGAGCGCTGCAGAGATGGTTGTCCTTCTGGAAGGTTCTCCCCTCTTCATAGAACAACGCTGGAGCTCTGTCAGAGTGACCATCAGGTTCCTGGTCACCTCCCTGACTAAGGCCCTTCTCCCCCGATCGCTCAGTCTGGCTGGGAGGCCAACTCTAGGAAGAATCCTGGTGGTTCCAAATAATACTATGACATCATGTGTCTAGCAGGAGGACGTGTAGAGCTTAATTTTTATTCTAAATAAATGAGTAGACAAACGAGCATTAAGATACATGCTACTGTTCCTCAAGTCTGATTATATGATCACTTCTGATTCGTCACGTGACTCTTTGATTCAAACATATAATTATCGAGATATGACTTGTAACATCTTTGTTTGTATTACTCTACGGTGCCGTGTCCTGTGCTTTACTCACTTTTGCAATAACATGTAGGATTTACTTAAAGTTTGTGTGTGGATATACATGTATGTGTGTGAGGCTCACCTCCCTATTCTATCTGCAGGTCACATGGTCAGGATATTTTCATCTATTTACAAAATAACTCAATGAACAAAATGTCAGCTTTGTTCAAGAACCTTTTATAATTTCAGGAATCTGGGTCATTTATTGCCAAATATGTATATAACATACAAGGAGTTTGACACGGCGTTTTAAATATACACTTCACAGGACTCATTTAAAAACAAAATTGACCTACTTGTGAATAGATACTATGGATATTAATTATAACTCTCTAGTCAAAAACAAATAAATGGAAAAGCAAAAAAGGAGCCAAGTGTTATTAAAAAGGCAAATCGTTTTTCTTCACACTGGAGGTGAGGATAAACATTGCCCATCAGTTCAGACTCTGTTTCAGCACAAAGCACCATAATGTCACGCGGTCACGTGCTCGGGTTTGGAGCGTAAACCTGAGAAACGGACCAACAGTCGCTGACGTCGTCGTCAATAATCACTCCGCTGTTTAACTTCTTTTTGTTTTAGCAAACCATCGGAGCGCGGAAGCGGAGGGATGGAAGGAGACGCGAACCCAAGACGCTGCGCAGCCCGCGTGCAGAAATGCTACAGGAACATCGTGCGGGACAAATATCCGGCATTGAGGCCCGCAGTTTGTGTCCTGGGTAAGAAGTACTGACGGAATTAACGGTTGCAGTTAAGAACCCTGTTTTGTTAACAGTAGTTAACCTAATGTTGCGTCCTATTACATGTATTGTTGAAAACGGTCTATATGGTAAGATATATTAAGAGGCTGATATATTAGCCTCTTGGGAATGATAAAGAGGTTTACGTTTATCAGCTGACGGTTCCAAACACAACCCAGCGAGCTTTTTTTAGTTGAAAAGACGTTGAATAGACGTGGAAAAGTGACGTCACTTATAGACCAATTTTCAACGGTTGCCATAGACATTTTCTCTGGGAACATACAAGTTACATACTTTACAGTTGTCATGTTAACAGCCCTTAACAAGGACAAACACATTATTTTATTAATTTGTATGTATTGATATCAATATAACAACACTATACATGAAACACTTTTCCTGAACAAAAACAGAATACAAAAATAAAATATATTTCAGGGGAAATAAACTATGGAATTAAAAGTGCAGAAACAATATGGACAAATTAGTTTAGGATTCTGTGTTTGTAGGCCATTTTTGTGAATCATTGGAACTTTATGTTCACATTCTGTAACAAGATCTGGCTCTGAGTCCCTTGAATACCTGAAATCAGCTCCGTCTCCCTCCCAGAATGCGCGGTTGCAGATTCCTCTGGTCAATGTGTTTATTCAAACCAAATAACTTTGTTTTGTTAAGCCTGAAATTTGAAAATAAGCCTCCATCAGATAGAACCACCGTCAGATAGAACCATTACATTACATTACATTACATTACATTACATGTCATTTAGCTGACGCTTTTATCCAAAGCGACGTACAATAAGTGCATTCAACCATAGGGTACAAACTCAGGAGAACAAGAAACAAGAAAGTGCAATTTCCTCAAATAAGCCAATTTACAATTTGCTATAGATGAGTGACGTTACAAGTACAATTTAAGTGCTACAATTTGTTAGTCTTTAGTCGAGGTAGAGTGTGAAGAGGTGTGTCTTTAGTTTGCGGCGGAAGATGTGAAGGCTCTCTGCGGTCCTGGTGTCTTCAGAGAGCTCGTTCCACCATTTAGGAGCAAGGACAGCGAAGAGTCGAGACCTAGTCGAGTGTTTTGCTCTCAGTGAGGGAGGGACGAGTAGTTTTGCAGATGCAGAGCGGAGAGTGCGGGTTGGGATGTAGGGTTTGACCATGTCCTGGATGTAAGCTGGACCCGATCCATTCACAGCATGGTACGTGAGCACCAGTGTTTTGAACTGGATGCGGGCGGCCACCGGTAGCCAGTGAAGAGAGCGGAGGAGTGGAGCAGTGTGGGAGAACTTCGGAAGGTTGTAGACCAGTCGAGCTGCTGCATTCTGAATGAGCTGCAGAGGTCGAATGGCGGTGGCAGGGAGACCAGCCAGGAGGGAGTTGCAGTAGTCCAGGCGGGAGATGACAAGAGCCTGAATCAGTACCTGCGCTGCCTTCTGAGTGCTGCTCAGAAGGCAGCCTTCTGCGCTGCCTTCTGAACCACCGTCAGATAGAACCTCCATCAAATAGAACCTCCATCAGATAGAACCTCCGTCAGATAGAACCTCCATCAGTTAGAACCACCGTCAGATAGAACCTCCGTCAGATAGAACCTCCATCAGATAGAACCTTACAATGTTTTGGCTTCTTGTTTACAGACCACAACTTGTTGAATTCAGCCCTTCGCCCATGCAATCTGTATTCAGCCCCTGTTGCTTTAAAAACGTGTATTTTCGGGAAAAGCAATAATGTTATATGGGCACGGCATCAATCTAACGCATTAGCAACACCAAACACACAGAAACTATTCTGGGATGTTCACATTTGGTCCAGGTCATCATGCTACAAGACTGGCCTAAAAAGCTTTGTATTCAGGAAGGTGTTTCTTACTCTGTTTTATCATGTTTTTACTTTGTTTAATGTAGTTTTATGTTTGTGTTACTCTCTCTGTGGTACTTGATCAGATTCGTATAAATGAAAAGTGCGTTACAAATGAAATGTATTATTATTATTATGACGAAAAAAGAACCCCTTTGCTTAGACTCAGAGGGGTCGGGATTCGGCTGGTTATACTGCTTTGTTTAAATCAACACAGGTTTTTTTTTTTTTTTAAAGATGATGCAGGTTCAACAATTTTACTTGATCACAAATTGTTTCTTACTTTTTAATAGACTGGTAAGATTGATTTATTTAAACCAATACAAACAATTTAATGTTCATATTTACTCATTGTTCCACTTTGTTCATGGGTTTCTTAGGTACAAGAAGCGTACAAACATATCACATATCACTTTTGATGTAATTGATTGATTTATCAGATTCATAAACCGATTGCTAAAGAAGGACTTCAGTATTTGCTCAGAATCCATCTGATTCCAATCCACAGTTTATGTTGACAACTGCACTACATTTAGAAACAAGCTTCCCAATTGTTTTACAGGTATTTCCCTGGGCTTGATTCTCAAGTTCAAAGTCCCTGCGGCCGCGCGGGAGGACCTCATCCTCGTCGGCTTTCCAGGAGAGATAGTCCTAAACTTCATTCAGGCGATTAGCATCCCTTTCATCATTTCAACCATAATTACAGGCAAGCTGCAATATTATTTCACACCCTGTTAACATTTACAAAATGCTGCGCACACAACTTTTATAAGGAACATACGGGTAGTTTGGGAAGTTGACACATATTGAACCTAAATAAACCTTCAAGCGAGTCCATATAGTAAGATTTGCTGACAGAACAGAATGTAATTATAATTAATAATATAATTCTATCAGTACATTAACTGATCCTTATTGGTGAAATCTTCCAACACCACAACGGATCTTTCAATTGCTCCTAATACGACACACAGATATGCCTTTCTGTGAGACCTGCTGACCCAGCAAGCCGATAGCTGCTTTTTTAAACAGCATTTTAAACAACATCGTCTTCACCTCAATATTGGAATTCATACCGGTCGGCCTCCCAAACCAAACGAGGTCCAAGGTCCCTTATCTGACAACATGAAGCCGCGCTGCCTGTAAGTACTTATTGAGTCAATCTTGACAACAAATCACAAAACCGGTCCTGCTTTCTTCGACTAAGAACAATATCCAAAATCAAACATATGCTCCCCACGCCTCGACTCAGGAAAAGTAACTATCAAGACCGTTAACTAGTCCTTGTCTCCCCTTCTACCACTTCACGATGCACCAGCTGGTCTTCTCAATGGGTTTATCGGACAACGTCACATCCCCCAAATCTTTTCTCCCCTGGCTCCCAGTTTCTTACGTGTTCTTTTATAGGTTTTTCTGCAGTTGAAACTTCCACAAAAGTAGGACGACGTGCAACAGCCTTCTTTTTGTCGACCAGTCTTCTGTCGGTTACTTCAGGTAAGACACATATGTACATCAGTCTTGTAAACAAAGATACTTTCCATTTAACAAAACACACGACATATGTGGCATTTTAAAATGACTATTTATTTCCTTCTTTGAGCTTGTAAATGTGCGTATTCAATAATCACACATGTCATCATGATAATACAGCACAGCTGTTTCACGCAGGTGACACATTTACTAATATCTTCCGTGATAATCTTCAAGAATGTGTTCCTCCCCATAAGCCTCTCTCACCGCAGACCCGTCACAGGGAAAGGCTCACATATTATTGACCCAGTGACGTGTTGTCTGCAATACTCCTTTTTTTTCTTCTTCTAATTTTTGTGTGAGGCACTGTTGCATTTAGAGTAGTGATTCCTGGTCAGCACATTTGAATCTAGTTGCAGTGTGGTGCTCTCACTGCACATGGAAGATCTACAGCAGACGCTTCTGGTTCTCCGTTGCAGGGTTGATACTGGTTATGTTGATCCAGCCAGGAGTCACTTATGGTGAGACGGGAGAAGATGCAGAGTCTTTCGCCATTGTCGAGGACTTGTTGGATGTATTGTGGTGAGAGGAACGTTTATATTTTGACATCATTTCTAGTTTCTCTGCACATTCCCTCCAGCAGGTTTTTAGTTGCAGTGCCTTCATCTCAGAAAAGCCCGTTGAGTTACAGATTTCACGTCCACTAATGTTTTTTCTTAAGTGTAAATAATTTGGTATTTAAGCGGTTCTCCACACAAACGTTCTACAAATGTCACATCTTGTCGTTGATAAAAAAGCTTGAATAATTTACTAACACTGTCAAGCCAGCTGATAAGTGTGACTTTTGCTTTTTTATTTCTAGGAACATTTTCCCAAGTAGCCTGTTTGTCTCTTGCTTCCAACGGGTATGTTTGTCATTAAGGCGTATTAATGATCCTCTCTTTCCATCTAATGTAATTTAGGATTTTAACACAATTCGTTTCTATTGTAGCACAACAGTGAGAGGAGGGAAGCAGATAGTAATTCTGGTCTGGAGACGGTAAATGTTTTTTTCCACGTCACTAAAAAAGATAACTATTGTTCTATTAATCTAAATGAGTGTCTGGTCTTGTTACAGAATGCGGCGCATTATGTCGAAGGCACCAACACATTGGGCCTGATTTTCTGGTCCTTCGTCTTTGGCCAGATCTTCCACAATGGTGGAAATGAAACAGAAAAAATTAGAGGGACCTTTGCTGCCCTCAGATTTTTCTCAAAATCTTGGCTCCACTATTCTCTGAGGTGAATGCAATTACAGTTTATATTTATGATGAAATATTGAATGCAATACAAATGGTAAGTATTTTCTGCTCAAAGTTTTGCCATTAGAAATAGTAAAATGCTGAAAGGTATTCACTTATATTGAGTTTGAGGTTTGCTTTCTGAAGTGGGAGAAAGATAGCTGCTCTTTGTTATGTACTAATATATTTATTTGATTCAGACAACTGTGTTTGCCAGTCAGTCCGTTTTTCCTCCCTTGATCTTTTCAGTTTCTTGCCATTTGGAGTGCTGTTTTTGGTCTCAAGCCAGGTCATTGAGTTTCAGGACTGGGAAATAATCTCCAAACTCGGAAAGTTGATTGGAGTAGTTCATGCTGGGTATGTTCACTTTTTTGCTGTTTTATCAATGAAATTACATCACTACTAAAACAAACTTGACCCTTAAATTAAATTACACATTATACAATTTGCTATAGCAAAGTCTAGCGAAAGTTTGTTAAAACAAACCCCCCGAAGCTGTGACAAAATCCCAGCGTGTAATAAGGCGTGAGAGGCGTCTCATTTTTCCTTCCAAACATCACAGTGCCGCTTTAAGTCTCGGATGTGATTGCATTTAAATAACAAGTATCGATGGATTACGCATATATTATGTCTTTCAGGCTTCTTTTCCATGGAGCAGTAGTTTTACCGCTGATCTACTTCTCTTTTACGAAATGTAACCCCTGTGCTGTCCTCAGAAAGGTTTATCCTGCCTTATTGTCTGCATTCCTTAACTCATCCAGGTGAGACGATGTGACACATCACCTGTGAGTTTGTGATCCGGGCTTATCAGCGCATTCATCTTCAGAGCTCCATGAGAGATTTACATTTCAAACATTTTCATTTGAGTAGTGCACAAACACAGGATGTCTTGCATTTCTCCCAGCTCTGCCACTTTGCCACTCACTTTACAACGTTGTGAAGAGGAACTGGGGGTCGATAGAAGAATCAGTCGCTATATGCTGCCAATCGGGACCAAAATCAACAAGAATGGAACCGCCCTGTACGAAGTGATCGCTGTGGTTTTCATTGCCCAACTCAGTCACATCCATCCGGACACCAGCCAGTTGATAAGCATTTTGTAAGCTGCTCTTCCTGTTCTTTAGTAAATCTCATCATTATCATTACGGACAAAGTTTATATTGAAGATACTAAACCAATGCATGGTACATCTTTCTGAATATGTCTGTTTGATCTGCAGTGTATTAGCAGCTGTGATAGCAGGAACAGAGGGGATCTCATCTACATGGTTCTTGACAACCTTCTTTGTTTTGAGGGCGGTTGGTTTACCAGCAGAGGGCGCCGCCATTCTTGTTGTCATCGATTGGCTCATGTAAGTTGAGCTTTCTGTACTCTATTATTTAGCTTAAAACTAGAAGTTTACCAAATTGCTGATGTACAATAAGGACGATTAAGGATGACACGCGGCGTCCCGTCCAATCAGAAGCATTCTATGGTGTAAACTGGATGTCACTGCATCATCACAAAGTGGCATATATTTCGAAAATCTAAAAGTTTTAGGCCAATGCTTAGTAAATGTAGGTGTCACTTTGTTTTATTTAACTTACTGTATATTCTTGATGTGTATGCATGTGTTTGAATTTAATTAATTAATTAAGTTTAGAATTCCGAATAGACCATGCTAAGCCATGTGAGCTGATGTTTCTATTTCCATTTCAATCAGACATTATTAACATAACAATTTGGAATTTGAGGCAAATTTTGTAATTGTTGTTATATGTGATTTAAACTATTGAAGTTTAAGTTCTTAACAGCATTTAAGTGTCACATCGGATAAGTATTTATTGCCTTTGTATTGGTTATTAGTATGTATTAATGCTAAATTAGTCATATATCAGCAAGCTAACAAATATCCTGTTGATTTGTTCAGTCAGCTATACAACAGCCACTTGTATTAGTTTAGTGTTAAAAGAGCTGAGTAAAGCAGCATATATCCTCTGCTGCCATAGTCTGATGTTGTCTCTTTCTTTCAGAAAGCCTTGCAACACGGTTGTTAATGTCTTTGGAAACTGCATCGCCGTGGCACTTATTCACGAAGTGTCAAAAAATGATCTAGAAGAGATGATGGAGTCCGGAGAGGAAATGGGAAGGTACAGCTCTTGATGGTGGCGTGCTTATTATTCATATTTGCACCCAGTCCATTTGAATTAAATGAGTTAATCTGATGCAAATTGTTATTACAAGTAGGAATAAGACAAGAAGTTTAAAATGCCTCCTTACACCAGTGATGACCAAGCGGTGCCTTCTCCTGCGAGGATGCATCGCAGCAATGCTGAAGGCCTCCATCAAGAGGACATCGAGCTCCACATCCTCGGTCAGGCCAGTGATGACGCCCTCAACACGCAGCCAGAAACCCCAGCAGTGGAATAAAGTACACAAAGGAGCTCCTCCGGGATGAGGACCAGTCCAAAGAGGAGCGGAGATCCTGTGCCCCCCAAACTTGAATAAAATGACCTCACAAAGACATCAATGACTTTGAAAATTATTATAATTTTTAGGGATTCAATATGAAGTTTCCCACGGATAAGTCCATCCATCCATCCATTGTCAAACCGCTTATCCTGCACACAGGGTCGCGGGGGGGCTGGAGCCACGGATAAGTGTGCAATTTAATAATTGATGTCACCGATCAGGTTATTGAATCAAATAGAAATGTTGCATAGTTTTTGACTTATTTAATGCAGGACTGAATTGCACATTTGAGCGGTATAAAGGTATTTGATGAATTTGTGAATATTAACGCAAAATGTTCTGAGAGAAAAACTTCCTTTCCTTTATTCATCAGAAAAGCTTTGCACATCTGCAGCCGAGATATAGATATAGATATATATAGATACAGTGAAAGCTGAAATGCAGGCAAATCATGTAGGTTTCATATCCTGTTCTAAATATGTTCATAAAATAGACTTTCAGGTGCTGCGACTTTTTCACAAAAATGTTATATTGCAACTTTGAATCTTTTTAATTCAGTAGCTGTTGATGAGGTGCTTTTCAGGACGCTGTGTGTTGTTTTGGCCACTGCTGTTGGCCTCGCTGAGTTGGTGAGGACCTTCAGCAGGACCGCAAAGGACTGTGGGCACATAGAAAAGAGACATTAACATATATTCACCCCGTATGTAATTCGACCACTGTCTACTGTCAAAGAAGGGGTTTCTCCGCTCCATACTTCATATTATCGAAAAGATGAATTAACCCTTATTTATTCGACCGGAGGGGAAATAAAAGGGCACCAAACACACTGCGCTCTCTTCATTTGCATTCACAGAATCATAACTAGTGTCAAACCAAAAAAGTCGTGGAATTCTGCTAAAAACTCTTTAAATCTCTAAATTATGCTTTTCACCTTGAAGCAGCAGAATTTAACAAATCAATCTCGGTATAACCTGAGTTTAGCAGTGCATGTACTAGTTATAATAAGTTCAGTGCGGTTTTGACTGACATGTAAATACATGAATGTATAAAAAGTGAGTTGAAAGTGAGATAAATTGAAGAAGCTTCCTTCCTCTTACCATTACGTTCATTCTCTCAGCTGCTGCAATTCCTCTCATCTTCCTCCCTCTCCTCCTCAATCACACCGAGTCTGTGACAGAAGGCACGTTGATGCAGACAAGAACCCCAAAATGATAGGCTTCAATAATCTTAGACTCTTCATGTTAGGAATTGTGCAATGCAGTTCTGTTTTACTTGAAGCTGGCACTGATCATCTCGGACCGCCAGTTGATTCCGGATCTCGGTCACCTCAGCCTGCAGCATTGCGTTCTGGTCCTGGCTTTGGATAACAAAGTCCTCCAGGCGCTTTGCCGTGTCCAGCTCACGCTCGGTTACCTGCTCTATCCCCAGACGGAGCTCTGGTAGCTCCCGAGCATGCTGGGATGTGAATGACATTAAATCAAATTCCAGTCCATTAGCTAAACCTACTTGTCACCAATTAACTTAAGCTGCATGTTTTTTGGAGCTCAATATGGCACCGGGAAAACACACAAACTACACACAGAAAGGCCCCACCACCCTGACCGTGAGAGCAGAGATAGTCAACCTGATTCCTTCTAACGCACCACACACAGTCATACTCTCTCACTGCTTACATGGATGCATAACCTGCTGAGTCCAGGAACCCAAATTGTCAAACTAGGAACACTGCTCCTCTTTGTGCTCACAGTATTTGTTGATGAGATAAGTGGTTGGTTGGTCTTCATCTCTTGCTCATTGTCAGCTGTCGGCAGAGTTTCAGAACTCGTCTGCCTCTTCAAGGTATGTTTTGCGTGACCAGGACGTCTGTGTGCAGCACTCTGAGTTGTAGTGACTGGTTTCCTCTCTCTCACACTCCTCCGAGTCCGGCCATCCCTGTCCATGTAATCAATGAATAAATATATTACTTATTTAAGTGCCTTACGTCCAATGAAGCTACAGCAATGAATAAATTATTATTATTAAATGAAGAAATGCTATTAAGGCAAGCTAAACATGAAAACATCCATCAAGTTGTGGTCAATTATGCCAGAGTACATCTGGAGCTAGGCCAGCAGATTGAAATTAATCACAAATATCCAGCTTTTTATCCATAAAGTATCTGGACACAGACACCAGTTTCACTATCAGTCTGATAAGCAGGTAATCAGAGACTTATTAGTATATTCTTTATTCTCATTTATATATATATATATATATATATATATATATATATATATACATATAATATATTCTGGATGACTTTGGCAAGATGTTTGGCTCTGGATATGGCTGCGCCAGGCCAAGAAAACAAGAGATGGTCTTCAGACCGTGAACGCACGACTTCTTCTTCTTCTTCTTCTTCTTCTTCTTCTTCTTCTTCTTCTGCTTCTTCTTCTTCTTCTCCTTCTTCTTCTTCTTCTTCTTCTAATGAAGTGTTTTGCAACTGTTTATTTCACCAAAACACCTCACACGTCTGTTATTATTAAAAAAAACAAAAACACGACACGTTGCATTCAGATCCGAGCACCGGAGCCCGACGCGACGCGGCGCCCGCAGGTTTGCGCGCCGCTTCCTGGCTGTTGCGGCAGCGCTCATGTGACCGCGCGGGGCGCGCGGGACGCTCGCTCGGAGCAAACGGAAACAAACGCTCTGCGCGTCGGAGCTCCGCGGCTCGCCAGTTTCGTCCGGTGCAGTTGGAGGAGCCCGCTCGGGACTCCCGGAGATGTTTTCGCTGGGGGAGAAGATGGAGTTCCTCGTGGGGAACCCCTTTTCAACGCCCGTCGGCCAGAGAGTCGGTGAGTCGCCGTCGCTTCTTGAAACTCCCGATTCGTTCCCGGTGGCGCTCGGCCGATCAATAATACGCCATCGCGGTGTACGATCGAGTCACACTGATATGAAACATTGCAAAATAATTTACTCCAAATTTGACAGAAACATTTAAAAAAAAAGTCTTCAGAGCCAATGACGCGACAGAGGCGGGACTCGAGCGTCCGATTGTTCGTCTGGTTTTTGCAAGTGAATTGACAGCTGATTTGACGAATCGAGGAGGCGCGTCGTGTTTCCTTCTCGCTTCCTCGATCACTCCGTCGTTTCGTCAAGATGCAGTTTCACATTTAATTGCTAAATTTGTCACTGACGCTCTTCACGCAGCGTGTTTCTCATCAAACAGCTTTGCAACCGGCCGCGTTTCGTTTTTGTCAAGCGAACAAATATACACGAAACTCTCTCGACAGATGCGTGATCGGGACGCGCCAGATGTGGGACAAAATAACACAGAGCCACATCTCAGATCTCTTCGTCTTGACTCATGCAAACACTTTCTCACAACGTCACAGAGGCTTCTGAGGCCAATGAGGGCAGAAAGCAGCTGACAGTCACATGCAGCGAGGGAACCAGGGGGGATGCAAGGGAGGGATTGGAAAAGTGTGTGTGTGTGGGGGGGGTGTAAGAGGTGCTGGTGAGGGGTGAAGTGCAAAGAAAACTGGCTTTGTTTGCTAAATAGTTTGGAGGGAAATACATGTTTAAGCTGTAAAACCGACTTTCTCAATCCGTTTGTGTACAACAAGGTCTAATAATAATAAAAAGCAATGTTATCTGGAGAATACCAATTACTTTACAGGCTTCAGTGTTCGATGTCTGTCTGTGCTCCTCTCGTCGGTTTAAAGTTGATTGGGCCTTGTTAGACCAACACAACAATCAGAATCATTGATCCAACCACGTCAGCACGGCCTTTAACAAGCAGGTTTGATTGTTAAAGGGGCTCTTGACCCAAATTATACAAGGGGACATTGTGGTTTGAAGTCTCACGTATCGCCCAGCCTGTGCAAAGTGTTTTGTGTTGCGTTCATCTGAAGTCTGAGAGCATCATGATGAATTCATCAGGCTCGGCATCGCAACACAACGTGGTTTTCTGGCACACAACTTTACCATTCTTCATCACAGGCAGCTGTTGTTCTGCAAAAACAGGACGCAAACAGCAGAGCAGATGCAGATGGTGACGATGTGATGAAGATATCTGTGCAGTTAACACCTCGACAGCCAAATATCCCATATTCGTATTTCCTTTTAATAAGGGTTTTTCTTTTCACGTTGATCATTGCTTGTGTTTCACAAACATTTTATTTTTCAATAGAAACTATTTTAAAAAACATTGTCTTAGTGTGTAACCTGTGTGATATGATATTGTGTTATTTTTCTATTCCAATATCAGTGCCGCGATATAACTGTAACTTCATGGGATTCCCTCTGTTGACAGAGCGAGCGACCAGCGTCGCTCTGCAGTCCGAAGACTGGGGCCTCAATATGGAGATATGTGACATCATCAACGAGACGGATGAGGGGTACGAGAGTAACCTGGTTTCACGAGAAGCCTCTAACGGTCCACATTGCCTTGCCCTTCTTACCTGCACGCATGTCTTCTGTTGTTTTTTAGCTGATTTATGTATTTCACGCACTCCGTGTTTCTATTTTAACATAATCATCCCTTGTTTATTTTGCGCTGTGCGCGTGTTGACTTTGACAGCCTGTGTGTTGCCAACGTGGTCTCCAAAACCTGTTCGTAAAAATGTATACGAAAATCTTTTTGTAACAATACATACGAACTGCGGTGGTTAACCACGCCCCTTGAGTGAACAACATGGCGGACCATGTCGGATTCTTGAGTAAACGTCTCTCCGCCATGTTGGATCTTTTGAGGGGGTTAGGGTTAGTATTCTATTCTTACAATTTAACATTGATTTCTCGTTAAAAATGCAATCATTACATGGTTAGACTTTACGAAGTGTGTTTACGGGGTGCAGGTCCCCATTCACTTTGAACAGGTGACGTCATCAGTTGCAGTCCGTATTTATTTAGTATGCATCACTACGAATTTGTATGTTCAAGATTTTCGTATACATTTTTACGAACAGGCTTTGGAGATCAGGCTGGTGTTGCACGTGTTTTGCAATGTAAAAGTGTTTTATTCTCACTATTTTGTGTACGCATTGTAAATTATCAATATTGTGTAACCTTTTTAATTTCATCTTCCGCATTTACAAAAATGTTTTTATTAATGTGCACTCAACCGTATCAAATAACGCCCCCCCCCAAAAAAAAGAATACTGTTTTGAATTTATCTCTGCACATTTTATTTTTGCCTTACTTTTTTGTGTCACGTCCTGCCTGATTTCTGCTTATTTTCACATTTGTAAGTATCATTTTTTCATTTTTCTCAGGCCCAGAGATGCAGTCAAAGCAATCAAGAAGAGAATCGTGGGAAACAAGAACTTCAGAGAGATCATGTTGGCCCTCACAGTGAGTAGTCACCTGTATGTGATCTCATCCGTTCCGTCGGTGTGAGGTGAGATTCTGGTCCTGATTGACCTTATCGCTTATCGGTGATTTGTAGCTAACTTTTTCACTCTCATGGATTGACTTACATCCACAATTTTTCACTCAGGTTCTTGAGGCCTGCGTGAAGAACTGTGGCCATCGCTTGCACGTTCTTGTTGCATCGCAGGAGTTTATTGAAGGAGTTTTGGTGCGCGCCATTCTGCCCAAATATAACCCCCCAACGGCCCTGCATGACCGGGTGCTCAGCCTCATACAGGTGTGTGGATGCTGCTGCAGAGGGCAATGCATGACAGAAACTAATGTGTGTTTACCTTTGTGATTAGTATGCTGCTTGTTGGGTCAAGTAATTGAATAACCGCGTCTATACAAAAGAAATAAAGAATGCATCTTATCTCATTTTACCATAAGCAAAAGTTTATGTTTATTTTTGCCTGACCATTAGTTCTAAGCCCACCAATAATTGATTTACTAATATAGAACACAGAGGAAGCCAGAAAAGAATTCCAGCGGTATTATGCGGTATTTACGTTCTGTTTGTTTATGTCCCACAGCTTTTAATGTTTGCTAAAGTTGTCTTCTGTTTAATGGCTGCAGGCTCGTACAATGACATTATCAATACTGTTCGTTGGGAATTAAATACCCTCAAACATTCCTCCTCACAGCAGTGATATCATTAGATAACATTGCTGAAGAGGATCAATCCTTTTATTTAGCCTTTAGTTTCCTCTTGTTTTGTTTGTTGCCAGTAGACCGTCTTATTTAACATACGGTTTATGGCCATATGATCCCCAGTCGTGGGCCGATGCCTTTCGGAGCTCTCCCTCCCTAGCGGGGGTGGTGTGCGTCTACGACGACCTGAGGAGACGTGGTCTGGAGTTCCCCATGACAGATCTGGATGCTCTGTCTCCCATCCACACTCCGAATAGGGTGAGAGGAAATAACGCACCAAAGGAAGAGCACCTGCAGGTGTCTTATCTCGCCATTGCACCGCCGTTCATTCTCCGTTCATCTCGCAGAGTATCCCAGAAAACAGGACTCCCGATGCAAATCCCGTCGCTGCTCCCACACCAGAGTCCCGACCCGAAGTCCCTTCCAGTGCTCCCACTCAGAGGACGTCACCTGTGGTCCTGTCCAGTGAGGGACCAGCCTCACTCTCTGCAGAACAGGTACACCAGCCTAAAGACAGCATCGGTCACAGACCACACTGAGCAGTGAAGAAAGCTATGACCTTTCAAAGTTTGTGATATTTGTAAAGCCAAGATGAATTTGCATTCACTTTGATTTTGAAAAACCTTTATTAGTTTCAGTCTCGTTCGAAATACCCAGGCTTTAATAGTATACATGGCATTGTAATGTTCAGCATCTTTTGATATGGATTCTTGCTTTACCTCCAGAGCAGCATTTAAAACATTACCATAGACTCAAGTTAAACTGCATCTTAAATGGGGTATGTGGTTCTCAAACGGGGCACTGAATCTTTCAAGTGTCTTGTGGAGAAGAACTGACAATTTGACTTGTAAAATCCTTTTACTTTAACCTGGGATTTGCCAGCTTTTTCATGAGGACACTAAAATAACTAAAACATAACTGTATCACGTGAGTATTAGGCTGTTTCTATTCCTTCATTTTTTGACCGCTTTCATTTTTTTTTATGTCCCTTCCAGAAACAGAAGCTCCAACGTGAGCTTGCGCTGGTTAAGGGAAATCTCACAGTGATGAGTGAGCTGCTGAATGAGCTGATACCTGGACAGAGCCAGCAAGAGGATACAGAGCTGCTGCAGGTGTGTCTGTGTGTGTGTTTGTCTAAATCCATCATCAGCGCTGTTGAAGCATTCTTAGAAGTATGTTGCTGTGTGTTTTTGTTTTGATGCTGCATTCTACTGTGAAATGATGTTACTTTGTGACTTTATTATCAACTTGCATGCAACATTTGTTTGGTACAATTAGTCAATTGATTTACAAACGCCATGTCTATATTAATCGATACTACATGGGGAAGCAGAGATACCTATTAATTGAACTTCACTTTGATACTCTTTCTCCCGTCAAAGATGGATGATATCCATTTGTTCTATGTAATTAGGGATGATAATGAATTAATCTTGCTGTTATGTGATGTCCAAGCAGCAGCTGTATCTGGTGTGTAAGAGCATGCAGACTCGAGTGGTGGAGCTCATCCCCCAGCTAATGGATGAAGGGTTTATTGAAGAGCTGCTCGTGGTCAACGATGACCTAAACAATGCCTTCATCCGCTATGAGAGGTGTGCAGCCTAGCTTTATGTTTTGGATCATAAGAGTGTGATATGTATCAGTGCTTTCGTTTCGTAGGGGGGTTTTTAAGCTACTAATCATCTTGCCTCATCTGAACACTTGAGTATGAAAGTATGAAAAGTTTGATTGATTATGGATTTAGCCAGGATAATCAATCTATTATAATTGATTTTTAGGTTTGACAGACTGAACAAGGCACAAATTCCAAATGATCAACAGGTGAGAAAGCTTCTCCCGCATCCTCATTTCTACCGCAAGAACAAGCTCACGCACAAGGTGACGACCCACTGTGTTCTGTCCTCACTCTAGCAGAGCTCTGCAACGAGCCCGAGCACCGCCAGCCGCACCCAACCTGCAGTCATCACAGCAACCAGTCAACCTGCAGTCATCACAGCAACCAGCCAACCTGCAGTCAGCAGCACCTGCGTCAGTCTGCCGCAGGCAGCCGACCACAGTGAGTAGACATTTTATGACATCTGCTTCGTATGTGCACTTGCAAATACCAAGTCGGAAACTGGAGTTATGCATTCATTATTTGGCGGAAAACAGGATGTTGGGGCTGAGAATGTTTAAAAGAGGGGGTTCGTAATAACAAACATCACAGTGGCATCAATATGACAACTTGGGAGAAAGGAGAAAATCTCAAATTGCGCTGTTGCACAACATGACAATTTTGAAAGTTTCCTATTTGTACAAAATCACTGTTTTCTATAAAGATAATTACAAAAAATCTGCCGGAACTTGGATAACAGAATGGAAGAAGGTTTTACTTTTTCCTTTAGTTGTGACATCATCTGTAAACATCTGTCTTGCAGAAGAGGAAGGGGAGTTTGACATGTTTGCCCAGACGAGAGGCAGCTCCCTGGCCGAGCAGAGAAAAAGGTGAGCAGTGCTGACAGCATAGCATAGCATGTTGCTCTAACAGTCCAATCTTTAACTCCCGAGCCAAAGACCTGTGTTGAAATGAGTATTTTGTTTAATCTGTCATACACTTCTTTAATTACAATAAATCCTTTCCCCAGTGTCCGGTATGAAGACCCCGGGGCTGTGGAGGGCCTTGCTGGAGCTCTGGACACGAGGTTGCAGGTCACAGGAGGGGTGAGTGTACCACAGAGATAATTGTTAAGTAGAGCTAAAACACAGCGTCACCTTGTCTTAAATACTTTTCCCCTTAGACGGCACCAGCCCAAAACTCTGTGCAGAACGATGTTGGCAAATGGTTATCTGGTGATATGGTGAGAGAAAGCTTCTGCCTTTTAAACAGTGTTTTCTTGAAATATATCAATTTGATTTGTGATTTACTGCAGGATGATCTATCTTTAATGTGTTGTATTGTGTGTACATGCAGGAAGACCAGTCTTCAGTTAGTGAGGGAGTTTCCAGTGCAGGTAAATTGTTCGGTCTGCGGGTACATTGCAAGCATTTTTGTGTAAAAATAATGATTTATAGTTTGTATGCGTCCATGCACACACACACACACACACACACGTCTAACTACAACTTTTCCTTTCAGAGTTTGATCAGTTTCTGAAAGATCGGGCGAAGGCATCGGACCAAAGCGGACAGGCGATTCGAAGCGCGCCACCCTCCACGGCCAGGCCGCCGCAATCTACCCGGCAACAGGAAAGATCAGACCATCTTTTCTCACTTTGAGTTAGAGGACAAACGAGGCGGCAGGCGGCTGTACATATCCACATACTCACGGCATTATAATGTTATATGACAATCAATTACAAGCACATACTGCATTACGTCAAGTTCCTCTGAAAGCACACACACCCACACACATAAACCCAACAGTGCGGATCTGCTGCCTACTATCAACTCATTGATTAATGCAAGATTTCTTAGTTAATTCCTGCTTTGTTATATTTATGTACCATAGTTTGCACACATTTCTCATTCAATTGAATAGAAAGTGTGTCCAAATTCTCACTGGTAGTATAACTTCCTGTCGCCGTATTTATGAAATATATTATTATAATGTTGATGTAAACAAAAGCTTAAATTGAAACAATTGTTTAGAGAATAAATATGATGTTGAAATATGTTTGATTTCACGCAGTCATGTGCCTTTGACCGAGGCAGCTGATTTTGTGTAGATGAGAATAAATCGGGTTCTTGTTCTGCAAACATGTTGCTTCTGTCCTCTTTTTTTACAATTATGTTTGCTGTGTCATTATCTAATCTTCCATGATTGGAATTTACCCTAAAGCTCGTTTTATAACTGATATAAGTGCAACCTTTGCGTGACAGAGCTGTTAATTTTAAGTGTGTCAGAGGTCACTGCTCCACCAGATAATTTTTTTTTTTTTTGCTCATACAAAATCTTCTTGATGACGTCTCAGTTGCTTGAGATCATCACACCGAGGAAATCTGTTTTAAACTTTAGTAGATCTGGTAATCTAAACCTGAATCCAGCTTCTGGCACATGTTTGCTTTGAATCTAGCCATAACACCAGAGCCTTGAAAAAGAATGTGAACTTGCTGTGGCCATGCTCAATAATATGTCTGCTGTTTGTGCTGAAAGGCGCCGATTTCAGTATGTTATTGTTCACAAGCTCAAGGATGTCTGCTGTAGGAGTCTCTGAAGCGCCCAGAGGAAAACCCACAACTCATCCTCCTGTTGTACCGTCCACACCTAAAACCATGACTCCACCATTCAACCGCGTCGTCTTTGTCTGCTGGATTTCCGTTTCTGTCACTCTACGTGGATTTGCATCGTTTGCTTCGAACATTTCAACCCAGATCCAAGCAACTGTCGTTCAAGACGAGGAGGACACAGACGGGAATTCACCGTTTGTGCAGCTGAGAGCAAGTCTGCTGTCCTACTCGCAGCCAGTCCCACCTTACACCCTGCTGACGAACGCTGAGGACTGCGCCTACATGCCCGAACCCAGTGACCGACAGCCCTCTCGCCTCCTGCTTCTCCTGGGATCCTCTTTTGACCTGTTCTGGATGTCCATAGAGCAGCCGTCTGAAGCCTCTGAAGGTCATTCGTCCCTGCTTGGGAAATTACCAAATTACACCGCTGCGAGAAAGAAAGTCAACTCGAGTGCTTCTCCAGAGCTGAGAGAGGCTGCGGCAATGAATCGTCAGAAGCTGGCGAAGGAAGCTGCGGATCTGGACCTGAGTTCTCTGTCCTCACGGGTCGCCAGTTCACTCAGACACTGGTTGGTGCGCTCTGCCACTTGTGGATTGAGCTACCAGTGGGTGGATCTGGGTCCGGCTTTCTGGCCACGTTGGGTGCGTCAGACTGATTGTGAAACGTCTGATGGGTTGCACGTTTGTTCTTTTCCAGGTGGGATGGAGTGTGTGCGAGCTCAGACGGCTCGCATAAAGATTCTGGCTTGGCACTGCTTAGAAATCAGAGGGGGAGATGTTTTGAGAGGGAACACATCTGACGGTATGGATGGTAGAATTGAGATGGGGACAGGTGACGTCACAGAGCGGTGCATTTGGAGGCCGGTGCTTTATCCTGTGGTCTCCGCATGCACGTGCTCTTGTAAATGAATGTTTTGCTCACTCTGGCTTAAAACGTTCCATTCCCGTGATATCCCAGATGTTTAAAAGCAGTTTATCATGTCATTAAGTGGTTATTGATGAAATCAAAAACGTGTCAACGGATTTTCCAAACCTAATCATATTTGCTTATAATAGATTAGAAAGGGGTTGCACGTTAATGTTGCTAGCTTTGAGCAGAATTTAATGCAAAATATTTCCTTCTGATGATAAATTGTCGAGTTATTTAGTTACTTAAGCAGCATGCTCTTTTCCCACCATGATTTGCGAGAGAGTTGACACTCACGTAGTGCTCTATTGTTGCTTCATGGAAGCAGCTGCAAAGTGTCTATGCAGTGAATAAATACTGAAAAGGCTTCTCAATCACTTTTATCCATTCTGTGATGGTCCGGGGCCTTAAAACGGACACATATTTGTTCACAAGCTATCCTCACTGAAATTCAAGTTTCTATGTGTCTGGTGTCAGCAACCGTATACTGACCTTTGGTACAGCTGTATATTCTCTTATTACTTTTGGGTTATTGATGGCCGACTTTTTACATGTCTTTTTGTCAGCTTTTGTCACAATTAGCCTGCCTGTACTTTTCCTGTACTAACGATTAGTACAGGAAAATCTTATAGATATTGATGTACTATTGAATGGTCACCTCAATAGCCGATGTCTGCTGACTTTCTTATAGTCATAAATAAAGCCAGAGATAACAGGTTTTCTATATTTAACCATTGATCATTTTAACTATTGGTATCCTAATAACGCTGTTTAAAATATGTGTACTGTGTGTTCCCATGTCTATTTAGCAGTTGTGTTTGCAATAAATAAAAACTGAAATGCTGAAATGTTTTGCCCATCTTGCCCCCCCCCCCCCCCACCCATATCAATAATACCTCAATAAGCCATTCCTCCCACATCCACGACCAGATTTCGACGACCAGATTAGTTACTTGTCTCTCGTTTGACAGTATATTCCACCATTTGCACAGACATGGTTAACATTTTGTCCGAGCGGCCGTGAAGGCAGCATTGCGGTACATCCCACCTGCGCTGAATAGTGTACACAGACAAGATGGCAGCTTCACTGGAAGACGAGTTTGAAGACGCGCCTGATGTCGAGCCGTTAGAACCAACCCTGAAGAATATCATCGAACAGAAATCTTTGAAATGGATATTTGTGGGGGGGAAGGGCGGTGTTGGTAAAACGACATGCAGGTAGGTTGAACGCGAATGCCTTTGGCTCTTGCACAAGCTAACTAGCTAGCTAGCTAGCTTAGCTGCAACCTGAGCCTGACGTGGATTTTTCTGTTAACGAAGGCTTTCACACAATACAAATTTAATGAGCAGTAACCTTAGATCAAAGTCACAGGTTTGAGGTTTAAAAGACCATCCCGTTACACGGAGGACAACAGTTATCCAGCGTTAGCGGAATTTATTGTAATACTGTCAAGCACTGTCACCAGCTAACGTTAGCTAGCTGACTATAATTCTTGACTTTCTCAAGTGGTTTGACAGACCCGATGCAGGATGCCACCGGTGGTTTTCTTCTGTCTTGTGTGTCTTAACTTTTTTTTAGCTTGTGAAGCTAATAGAGTCAATTTAAGTTTTGCTGCTCAATAGACAGCTGACGTTATCCCTGGGTAACGAATAAACTTGCGCTAGTTTGCTTGCTAGCTAGCTAGCGTTAGCTGTTCATTTTTGCGTAACGTTGTTTATAAACTGGCAAGTTGCGCGAACAGTCTTTGGAGTCCTGGACCTAAGATGATAAATTAATGAATATAAAAAATTAGATAAGAGCGAAATATGCAACATTTAACGGTAAGTAGTAACTTAAAGGTCCATCTGACAGTTACAGGCAGTCGCAGCGGGCACCTAATGTTAATCATCTTACTTCAAGTTACTTTATCACTGCACTTAACTTCATACAACTTTTAAGATTAAAAGTATCCCGTGATATTTTTCTAGTTGCAGTTTGGCTGTCCAGCTCGCTTCCGTCAGGGAGAGTGTCCTCATCATTTCCACCGATCCTGCTCATAACATCTCGGATGCTTTTGACCAGAAGTTCTCCAAGGTGCCGACTAAGGTCAAGGGTTATGAGAACCTCTTTGCGATGGTAAGTGGCACTTTTTTTCGGGCAACAGTTGAGCTTAATTTGTTTTCACCGTTTTTTCTCAAAAGAGAAATCTGGACTTGTTATGGCATAAAAGGTTGCGGTGTCCCTGATAACATTAATTGGCGTCTCTGTGCCATTTAATCGTCTTGCCAGTGAGCCAACAGGCACCTTTATGGCCTTTCAAATGAGTAAACAAGACAAAATGTTTAACATATGGTACTCCTATAATCATGTGGATGCAGGTCATGTATACAGTTAATAAAGATAATACAAAAAAAAACGCATACATAAAGCAAAATCCTGGTTAACCTTAATACGCTACTATCAAAAATAACATCTGTGTGCTATAACCGTGTGACCGAAAGCTAGCATGAACAATACCAGGACCCTGCAACAGAAGAGTCACTACTGTTATTTACACCAGCTGTGCAATGCATCTATTTCCCCTTTTGCTTCTTGCCGTTTCCCCCAAAATAGGTGGACCTGTGGATAGAAAAATAGGAGCATTTGTTAACAGAGAGGTTTATTTATGCTGTGTGAGTGAACATGTGGTAACTATATCTCTAGTGTCACAAGGAGAGTCGATTCCACATCTGCGTCCCAAACACAAAGCATCACTGTGTAGCTAAACTGACCTGCCGGAGGCCTTAAAATCATTTAATGTTGCACAAGCCCTCAGTTTGAAATTTAGCTGATTACTTGTGCCTGTGTGGGTGCAGGAGATTGACCCAAGCCTGGGTGTGGCAGAGCTGCCCGATGAGTTCTTTGAAGAGGACAACATGCTCAGCATGGGAAAGAAGATGATGCAGGAGGCCATGAGCGCCTTCCCTGGCATCGACGAGGCCATGAGCTATGCGGAGGTCATGAGGTAAGACATGGTCACTGGAAAACCAGATAACATATACAAGACATATTTAAACCTTTTAAACCTTTTTGACTGATTAAATAAAGAAATGAGAGTGTTCTACTAACTCGGCACTCACGTCTGCTTGACCCTCAGGCTAGTGAAAGGAATGAACTTCTCAGTGGTGGTGTTTGACACTGCCCCTACTGGTCACACACTGCGGCTGCTCAACTTTCCAACGATCGTGGAGCGTGGTCTGGGTCGGCTCATGCAGATAAAGAATCAGATCAGCCCTTTCATTTCTCAGGTAAGGAAGAGACGAGCAGATCCTCTCACTCGTTGGTGTAGTCATTTTTATTGGAGGGTTATTTTATAAAAAGTTATAAAAAGTTTTATAAAAGTTCTACAAAGATGCTGCTGAAGTAGAAGTAACGCTGCTACAAAGTAATTCAAGATATTTATTGTCATGTGTACAGTTTAACAGAGTTACTCTGTACATTGACATGGAAGTGGACAAGTAATGAATAAACAAACAAATCCAAGTTTTGCATTCAAATAATTAATTAATGCATTTTTCCACATGGAATATTAGTTGTGATGAAATCTCCTTGTGTGACTTCTCTGTTTCCCCCTCACTGTTGGTAGATGTGTAACATGCTGGGCCTGGGTGACATGAACGCAGACCAGCTGGCATCTAAGCTGGAGGAGACTCTGCCGGTCATCCGCTCAGTCAGTGAGCAGTTCAAAGATCCCGTGAGTCCCTCTAGTTGCTTTTATGTTACATATTGAAGTACTTGCTTTGCTCAACACAGACTTTTCAAACTACACTTAGTCAATGAAGTCTTTCTGTGGCTCTCTTGCTGATGAACAAAAGATATATTTATACATTTCATGACTAAGTCAGATGTTATGCTCACATCCTAGTTCTATTTTATATATTTTACTCTCATTGCAACTCTCTATTGTGTTCAAATTATTATTTGTTTTTTTACATCAGCATTAGGTAGGTAATAGAATTTAAAGGAATTTTATAGCAACCGAGCACCTAATATTAAAAGCTTTCTGTAAACTCGTATTTTCTTCTGCCCTTTCCTCGTCTCCATCAGGAACAGACCACCTTTATCTGTGTTTGTATCGCCGAGTTCCTCTCTCTGTATGAGACGGAGCGCCTCATCCAGGAGCTTGCAAAGTGCCGCATCGACACGCACAACATCATCGTCAACCAACTTGTTTTCCCTGAATCAGAGAGGCCGTGCAAAATGTGTGAAGCCCGCCACAAAATCCAGTCCAAATATTTAGATCAGGTACGAGTCCTTTTAGTTTTATGTGGTTTTGAGAATGCTGCTGCATGTTCTGTGCCTCATTAATGGTCTGTCTACTCCCTACAGATGGAGGACCTCTATGAAGACTTCCACATAGTCAAGCTACCGCTGCTGCCCCATGAGGTTCGGGGGGCTGACAAGGTCAACACGTTCTCTAAGCAACTTCTGGAACCCTACAAACCCCCAAACAAATGAACACCCTCCCTGCAGGACCTCCGTTCTCCCTCCTCCAGACTACACTTTAACAGTTTGAACTCGCCTCCTCTGAGCCCCCCACACACACACACACACACACACACACACACACACACACACACACACACACACACACACACAACAAAGCCTCAAACAAACCCTGCAGGTTTGCTTTCAGATGGTTTGTGTTTATGCTTTTTCTTATTCCACGTAGTTGTCGCTATTCTCCAGTTTGACTTTTGCCCAAAAGTTGATTCAAATGTATTTCTCACAAATCCGGAACTTGCATTAAAATGTCTATAGCCAGCGTTTGATCGCTGAGCTAATTTAAAAAAAATCTGGAAAGATCATCGCAGTCCGTAGTGTGTATTTTACCGGTTGGCAAATCAATAGTTCTCACGTTATGAGCCTGGTGTTATGCAGTAACCTAATGTCAATGAGATTTTGAATCAAGTTAAGAGTTATACATAATATATATCATTGTTTGAACTGGACAGTCTTAACGGCTCATGTTAAATATTCAAGCCGCTGCAGCTGCCTCAGGGTTTTTGTTGGAGACACTGGTTTGGGGAGATAGAAAGGCAAACATGTGAGCGCAGCAGGAAGACAAGTTTGTGACAGCTCTAGTTTCACAAACAAATACTCAAACATTTTGTTTGCAGACAATTAAATGGACAAACTATTCAAATACATTGTTGGCCTTATTCTTAGTGCGTTGTTAATAAAAATATATAGAATGTTGCAGGAATAAAATATGGAACGAATGAATGAATGAACTTCATTGACAGAAGGAAGGGACTTGTAAAATCACAGCATCTTTGCCCTGGTTAATAAATACTTGACTGGTAATTCCAACAGGATGTTACATCATCAAAATTATCTCATTCTTGTCACTGAATGCTTTTGGGTCAATAATATGTTTTCTATAGATATTCTTTTAATTCTGTTCCAAGTGTTAATTAAAAAAAAAAAAACTTGCCTACCCCGAGACCCGTTTGTCCTTTTTATTTAGACACTGCTGCACAAAGCAGACAACACAAGGCCTCCTAATCAACCTTCAGCACCACAGTTGAGTGAATGGTTCTAATGAAATAACTTACAACGGATGAAGATGCCCCACAGGGAAACAAAGCGACACACAAACGATTCCTTGAGAATATTAAAGCCACATCAGGAGCCACTGCCTAAAATAGCCAAAGACACCCGAAGAAGTCATTAAGTCTGTTGTTGTAAAATATGTCCTGGTGGGAAAGTGCCTCGGTAACGTGCGGGATTATTGCACCCCACTGGCATTTTATTTATTTCTTGAAGGAAGAAGCCCCCCTCCCCCATGCAGAAAAAAAGCGTTATTCAACAAGCGTAATTATAAACCTTGTAAGCTTAAAAATGTGTTGTTTTCAATATCACTTAACACGACAGTTGGCCACGGTTCACTGGCTCCTGTTCCCGGCTGCACTGTGCGGTCCGTGCGCTCCTGGTGCCCTGTCGCTTGTGGTCCATCACCGGGCCGCGCTCTCCCGGTCGGGGGCCGTGATAATGAGCTGCTCCTCCTCCTCCTTTTGGGGGGATTTACCCCAGGGCGCACTGACCACTGGACGCACCGAGGAGGCTCAGAGGAATTACTGCCACGCAGCCGAGCGAGCCTGGAGTAGACCAAGCTGACGCCGGGGGGATATCAGAGTTATTATCAGAGCTCTTAGCAAGATAAATATATAAAACTCCACTGGTGAGCACGGAAAAGCCCGTATATGATGAGTGAAAATGGGAATTCACTTCTGCGGTGGGGCCAATCACGCACAGAGAGGTGTTGAGCAAATGGCACAGTCATAAAGGAGAGACGCCGGAAGAGGTAAGGAGATGTAATCTTTGTATTGTAGTCTGTAAATATTCTATCTGTGAATCAAACGACTGACCGGTCTGAGTTGCATAGTTTGAGCATTGAGCTCCTTGTTACGTGAGCATGCTTCTTTCTTGTTGCAGGTGTGACCCCCCACTCCCCCCCCAGGGAGGATTGTTTCTTTTTATTGAGGACCTAGAATCTGACCGTCACCAATGACTGTCACCTACACAGCTAGAGTCGCAAACGCCCGTTTCTGTGGCTTCTCCAAGCTGCTTCTGGCCTGGAGAGGCAGCATCTACAAGGTTTTATATAAAGAGTTCCTGGCTTTTTTTGCCATGTACGCCGCCATCAGCATCACATACAGGTGAGACGGAGACCAGAGCTTCCTGAACCACTGCCGGCTCCTTTGTGGACGCTTTGCTTTACAAACTGCATCACTGTCTTTCAGATTTCTCCTCTTTGATGATCAGAAGAGGTATTTTGAAAAGCTGGCAATTTATTGCAACCACTATGCCAGTCTCATCCCCATGTCCTTTGTACTGGGTAAGAGAACCTTTCTCTTTCTTTTCCCACGCAGGAAAAAACACAATTTACAGCATTTTTTCAGAAAGGATTGCACTTCATCACGTTTACAGACTCCCCCATACATTTTTCAGTTCGTATTGTTTATAATCTGATATTGTTTAACCTGTCCGTGTTTTATATCTGTTTTAATGTTTCTTGTTTATTTGTAGAAAGAAACTAACTCCAGTATGGGGAGAGCAAAGGATAAACCGTCAAATTCCAGCTGATTCGTGAATCAGCTAAAATACTTTACAGCATGTGTATAATTATATGACACACATTGGCTCTTTCCGTTGAGATCAATAGCAGAAATGACAGTAAAGCCTAATATTTAATTAATTAATTAATTAATTTAGCTTGGGGGCCCCAGAGGCCACTAAAAGGGCTGTTCGTGATAGAAAATGTGGTCTGTTGGCCGCCTCAGCGTGTCTGTTCTCCCCGGCTGTCTGCAGGTTTCTATGTGACCCTGGTGGTGAACCGGTGGTGGAGCCAGTACACCAGCATCCCGCTCCCCGACCGGCTCATGTGCGTCCTGTCGGGGGGCCTCCAAGGGACCGACGAGCGCGGCCGCCTGCTGAGACGGACCATGATGCGTTACGCCAGTCTGTCGGCCCTGCTCATCCTCCGCTCCGTCAGCACGGCCGTATTCAAGCGCTTCCCCACCATGGACCACGTGGTGGAGGCGGGTGAGTGGCTACTAGGACAGGTGGGGTGGCGGTGATGGGGGCCGTGCGGCCCGTCTGTAGCCCACTGGGAGTTTGCAATGACCGATCTATTTACAGTCATCCTAAGAGGTTTTAAATAAATAAATGATGCTCCTCACAGCAGACACAGAAGGCCGTGACAAAGCGTCACTATTTGACATCGAGGGGGAATTAGGCCGGGGCAGTGTTGTGGACGGAGAGATGTGATCGGTCACACTCACGTCATCTGAGTGTGTTGTTGACTCTCCAGTAGATCCTCCAAATCAGTGGACGGGAGAACGCACAAGGACAGGCTTGATATACATGTGTGATAGAGATTTAATTATCAGGAGACGATGGTGCAGCCGTCCTCTGCTTACGGTTTCCTAAATGAACCCTAACCATGATGTCCTCGGTATTGGATTGACACTGTGTGACTTTAAGAGTTGAAAGCAAGTCGTCAACAGTTATGAGAGACATATTTCAACAAGCTATTTTCTCACTGAAAAAGCTTTAATGTTTTTTTTGTAAAACCGCAAATTTGTTTTCATCTACCATAAAAAAATAATTCATTGGAGATTAGAATCCAGTCAGAAGGGGAAAATGTACTTGAATATTGAACTCAAGCAGAAGAGTACAAGTTGCTGCGTTACATGTCTGTTAAATTAATGACTTCGTTTTTAACTTCTAAACAAGCGGAACAACACAGGCCAACCAAAAGATGCTTTCTCTGCTTTCTGTGCATTCAACCAATTATGACTTGTAGTTGATTTATGTAAATGTGGCTACATTCCTTAGCATCACAAGAATGAACCAGAAAACAAAACAAAACTCAAAAAATTGTTGTACTAAAAACCCCAAACAATAACTACAACGAGCTGCGGACATGATGACGCCACATAGAATCAATGTACTTGACTGTGCTGACCTTCATCGCTGACCTCCAGTGACCACACACAAGTGTCCCCTCTGCACACGGAGCTCTGCCCTCACGTGACCGCGACCACACCTGCAGCTTCTGTCTGCAGTTTGGGTTGAGTTCTCACACCGATTATCACGACTCTCATCTCTCGTTGAGCTGATTTTGTACGTTTTTCTGTTCACGCAGGATTCATGTCGAGGGAGGAGCGAAAGAAGTTTGAGTGTCTTCACTCTCCATATAATAAATACTGGATCCCGTGTGTTTGGTTCACCAACCTGGCGGCTTTGGCGCGCTGCGAGGGCAGAATCAAAGACGACCACACACTCAAACTGCTGCTACAGGTCCGGCATCATAAACCAGCATCATGAACACGCAAACACACGAGGATTCTTACAGACGGGGGGTTTTCACAAAGGCCGTTAGGATGAATTCTGTTAAGTGACCTAAACGATTCTCTGAATTTGTGTACAGGAGCTGAATGCGTTCAGAGGGAAGTGCAGCATGCTGTTCCATTATGACATGATCAGCGTTCCCCTCGTCTACACTCAGGTATGAGATCAGGAGCTGCTGTGCTTCAAACCTCACTTCATACTCACATCTGTAACTGAACTCTGAATTTCATACATTCATTCATCAGTTTTATTTTCTACATTGGTACTGAAACTTGAACTGAACAGGCAATAGATTCTTTGTGACATGCACATTGCCTCCGTCCACAATTAATATTAAAGTATTTAATAGTACAATGGATGAAGCTACCGGTTAAACAGTTTGAAACATCCTGTGGCTTCTGGTTTACTTTCTTAGTTAAACAGCAGTTGGGTTGATAATACAACAGCTCCCATCGGCGTTAGTTACAATCTCTTGGAAAAGATCCAAGCCAAAAGTACAGCATACATCAGTCCAATAGTTTTTTAATTCAAACATTGTGGGGAAAATTATATTTTGTGCGACAATGCTTTATACTTTGTTAGTGGTGAATTCAAAACCTTTTTTTACAGACTAATTTAAACTAGTTTTAAGAAGAATAAATACAGGTCCATCTGGCCTTGTGGTGTTTATGGGTGTAACTGATGGAGGACAACGAAGAATGGTCAGTTAAATTGTCCCAGTTAAGAGCCAGTTTGCACAACACCCAGGACAAGGTTATTAGTGGCAGGACAAACAGCGAGGAAGGTTTTATTGCAGATTATGGAAACTTATATTTAACTCCTATAAGTCAGATGTAGAAAGTAATCTCCATTAAATGACTATCGTTCACTTTAATCATTCTTTCCTTATTTCTTACATGTCACATTTTATAATGATGTCATTATCAATTGGTGTACAAGGATAATTCATTGTCCTTGTGAGCAGAAACGTTGGCGCATTCTTGTAGTGTTTTCTAAAAAATGTGCATCAAGAGGAATGTAACTAGTAGCAACAAAACAAAAATAAAATAAAACAAAAGGGAAACATTATCCATTAACCTCAACTGAGAAACAATACACAAATATGACCATGCATCTTTCCCAAAGGTGGTGACTTTGGCCGTATACAGTTTTTTCCTGGTGTGTCTGATTGGTCGTCAGTTCCTGGACCCCAATCAAGGCTATCCAGGTCATGACCTTGACCTCTACGTGCCCATCTTCACCCTGCTGCAGTTCTTCTTTTATGCTGGCTGGCTCAAGGTCAGAGTACGGACCACACGTCATCTGTTGGGATACCGGAGCACGATACAAAGATGAAAGCCATGATTCATGTCGTCAGCTGTTTGCATTTCCTGTCTCCTGAAGGTTGCAGAGCAGCTGATCAACCCTTTTGGAGAAGACGATGATGACTTTGAGACCAACTGGCTAATAGACAGAAATTTTCAGGTTTCTCAATGCTAAATTTGTCTCTTCTTTATTTTTAGCTTCTTCGGCACAATATTTTAGCCATAATCTTTATGTCTTTATTTAGCACTAACCTTCTTTTTGGTTTATAATCCCACACGCGATAGATGCTAAATTTACCATTTGAGCTTTACTGCCTTTCTTTAAGATCAATATAACTGATTTATCCTAAAATGAGCTTTAACGTCAATACTTTGACTGCGTGTGTCTCTCTGTGATTCGCTCTGCAGGTGTCCATGATGGCGGTGGACGAGATGTACGGGGATCTGCCGATGATGGAGAGAGATCGATACTGGAATGACTCCAACCCCAGGCCCCCCTACACCGCCGCCACTCTCTTTGTCCTCCGCAGACCCTCCTTCCAGGGGTCCACTTTCGACATGGCGTGAGTCTCCCGCTCGGTCTACGTGTGCTCCACCTGTGACTGTGGTACTTTCAGTTTGAATCGCCCGCTGGGTGGGAAAGTTTGGGTGATGAAAGTGAAAGTATTCTGCGCGAAGTAGTGTGAAACAATCTGTGCTGAAAAGGTCAAAAATGTCCAAACCCAACCGCTGTAATATGTTTTCTGGAAATCAAGAGGTGAATTACCGTGACTTGTCTTGATAGGATCCCTAAAGAGGAGATGCACTTCCAGCCCCTGGAGGACATTGCTGAGAACCTGGAGGAGTCGGGCAGTCACCACCCCAACATGGCCCTCTTCAACCGCCTGCTCAAAGTAGCCCCTTCCCCCACCGGCTTCATGGGAGGGGCCCTTCGCCGCACCTCAGCACAGCTCCAGAGGCTTCGCCACTCTCCCAGCATTGACCAATGCACCAGCGAGGATGAGGATGATGAAAGTGGTAAAATAGGCAAAGCTGGGTCTCTGCCTTCAGGCCTGGGGCAGGAAACCCAGAGCACAGTGTGCAGTTTTAGGGAGGAGAAGGGCGCTAGGACACCTCTGCTGGATGTTCACTTTGGGGCGAAGCGGCAGGAGAGGCGGGGAGGGCCCCCTCCTGCCTCTGAGAAGAAGGGAATGAGAGCAGTGGACGAGAAGAATGAGGAAGTGTGGCAGATCAGAGAAGAAAGAGGGGAACTGGAGGTTTCAAGGGGGGAGGCCCAAGCTCCTGCGTCGCTGTGTCCTCCTTCTCCCCTGTCCTCAAGCGAGACGTCCACCCAGTCAGCCTCTGCCATTCCCTTCCCGTCCCGTCACCCCTCTGCCTTCCTGTTTCACCCAAATGCCCACTCCGCTCTGGAGCACTGCAGCTCCCAGCCGGCCATCAACCGGGACAGAGCCGTGCCCGCCATTCCCAAACCTCCCTGCAGTGGAAACAAAATGTCGTTCCTCGCTGTGCCGTCTCACGATGAGCCTCAGCGCTTTCGCAGCGTGAGCATGGGCTCAGAGCTCACGGGGTCGTGGGCGGACGATAGGTCTGTTTGAAAAACGCCCGTCCCGGTTTTCACCAGTGAAGTTAGTCGTGGATAGAAAACTGAGCTGCCGCTTTTAAGGGTGGACACTGATGTTGTCTGAACGTCATGTGAACTGTAAGTTTCTGGGACTTGGGAAGAAGGTTTGTTTTTTTAAGAGGCTATTGGGAACTTTAAAGAAGCATTTTGGGGAAGATTTGTGATCCTACTACTACGAGTCGGTTTAAAGAAAAAAAAAATACTAATTACTGCGTATATATTTTGGATGATTGTGCTAAACTAGACGTGATGAGTGCTTTGCACAAGGACTAGACATCCCTAGTAGTTCAGAATGATCCACCAAGCCATCATCATCATCATCATCATCATCATCATCAACCCTGAGACAGATCATTGGAAGTGCCAAGTGGCAGTTATCTTAATAATTGAACTGGTTTAAATAAACCATTGGTTCTTGTTTTGAGTTTTCAGATTTTTTCAAATAGTTGCTACTGTACGGTGAGACAGCTGTGGAGTTGTTTACAGCGATGTTTGGCGCACCTAAGCTGGATATTTCCCACTACTTTCAGTTTTTGTGCTAAGCTCGGCTAAACCTGCTAAACCTGTCAGGGCCAAATGTGAACAGAGCAGATCAGGTTTGTGTTTAGTAAGTAAGAAGATATTCCCGGTTTTCCAGTTGTCTGCACATTATACTCGTCTACTTGCATTTTAGCATCAACCATGTTTGAAAGAAATAGTGATGAAACCTATTAGTATTAGTTTACTTTATTTTATTTTTTTAGTATTAAAATATAACTAAACACAATGATTTGAATGCATTATCTGTTGTATAAGAAATATTAAATAAACAAATAAGATAACAAAATCATTTTGCATTATTGACTAAATGAATAGTCATTGTTTTGCACTATTTCTGTATCTTACCCGAAAAAATAAATGTATATATATTATATAATAGGGAATGGAGCAGGAAATATGTATAAAACATAAAACCAGTGATTACTATTTATTTTTTCATGTGGAACAAACGATATCAGTCGAGAGTTCCAACATTGACCAGCAGGAGGTGACAGCAGCAAACCAAATAGAGCACAACAGTCATTCAATGAATTTACACACAATCACACCTTCTTCCACAATGCGTCCTGCCCATGAGTCGAGGGGGGCTTCTGCATTTCTTCCTGCGGAGGGAGGCTGCTACCTCTGCAGCAGCCGGGGGGAGACGGCCCTCCTGGCCTGGGTGGACTGCCTCTGCTTGGCCAGGAAAGACTGAGCCGGTCCTGGAGCCCTGAAGTCCTCACACAGAGCTGAGGGCTGCAAGAGGCAAACGCAAAGTCAGCTGTTAGTGGAAAGTGTAGTTTACTATAATTTAGGCCTGTTAATCACACCGCACTGAGACCTGTTATCACGACTGCTGCTGCTACTACCACTACCACCACTACACCAGCAATTCAGCATTTAACACTTGCCTTAGAGCCATAGCAGCTCTACGAGTACACAAAAAACATTTCCAAACACCTTATAAAATGTGCATTTGTAAAACAAGACCAGGCCTTTACATTGTAAGCTGCTTGCTTTCTTGTGAGAAGCCAGTGAAAGACGACATGAACAATGCACCTGCCAGAAAAAGCTTGTGGGTTTAAAGAAGATTTAACTTTACTCAGCGGTTCACATCCTCCCCGTTGGTAAAGGTAGACTTACCAGTGAGTACAGGGGATTTGACCATAACATACAAAATTGTTGAGGAAAAAAGCCTGGCAGATTGTATTCAAAAACATACCTTTATTTTGTTCTCAACGCAACCACTTGTGGATATTTACTTCGGATAAACAGCACCTCATTCAGATCGGTCGAAAGTCTCTAGTGACACATCTGTATAGATTTATTTTCCCTGTGAACTCACCATGCTTTGCCAGGCAGCCAGGATCCGCTTCTCCTCTTTTTCCTGTCTTGACCTTGTGTCGTCATCATCCCCAGTGTCCTGTAGCAGTCACACTCTAAATGTTTTAACGAATTACAATGTGCACAATGTGATAAAATGCCCAACACAGCAAAAAAAGTAATAGAGTCTTGACATACACTGACCCACCTCTGGAGCAGCTGTCCTCATAGGATCGAATGGGCCGGCCTCTTCCTTGCTGGTCATTTTTTGAGAGATAATTGACCACTGACGAATGCAACCCGATAAGAGGAAAACAAATGTTAGCGTGACTGAATGACTTGTACACCAGCAGCCTCCTGACCTGCCCCGTCCGTCTGCAGCTCGCTGCTGCTCTTGGCTTTATTTTGCAACCGAGGCCCCGGTTTTGTTGTGCGGCTGACAGAACAATATGGAGAGGTGCTGCGGGCTTAAATGCTTTGGCTCCTCTCCACAGCCAAAGATGCCATCCTGCTGACTGGGGCACATTCAACGGCCTGGAGATTAGAAGGTACTTACCATAACACAATGCAATCATCTACACAATGGATATGACATGAGTTGATATTGATTGCCTTAAGTTGGGCGGCATAGAATCATTTAAAGCAGACGCATCAATGAGCCGATGCGGCAGTTCAAAATGAATTATGGTGCTGATAAGAGAATACAAATTTCACGCTTTGATGTTTCTACAAACAAGTGCAAGTAATATATGACTGTTTTCAGTGACTCAGAAATGCTGTAGTTCCCCCGTTTATCACTTGACCAGCATCAAAGGCAATAACGGCATATTAAGATCAAGCAGGAGGGGATACGAGTGACCACCGGTGGCCAGTCCGCTGCCTCTTGATTTCCTGTGTCAGTCTAAAGTCAGTCTTCACAAAAGTGAACCCATTCCAGTGTTTGTGCTTTAGGGGAAACGCAGTTCGTTTCTGTCATTAAGTGCGAAAAACGCAAGTGTGGGGGAGGATTTCAAAGAAGTGCTTGAGTGTGAGTTTCTCTGGAACCAGGAGTAGACGGGCTTACTGACACTGTCTAAATTAAGACGGAAATCTACTCTGATAACAAACAATCTGGCCATAAACTTTCAGTTTGTGGGATTCTGTGGAGAGAAAAAAAAGCCTAGCTGAAACGAAAAGTGAAAGAAAAAACAACAAGCTCTAAAGCCTCATGCAATCTGACCTCATGTGAGAACTATGAATGTTTACCGTGTAGTGACAGAGATGCAGGCCACAAGAGACGCACGAGGCACTGCGGATTCCTGTTAACTGCAAGACGGGGCCGGAACATCTGCTGTGAAAGCTTCCTCCTTTCTGAGACGCTGTCTGGTCGATAGTTTCCTGAAGAGTTCTGCTTCATCCTAATCAGTTTCCTCGCATCAACTCATCTCATGGAGAAAACTCGTTGAAGCTATAGAAAGAAAAATGATCTTCAGGTTTTATTTGTGTAGTTTCGACCATCCATTTTATTGTTATTATAGCAAATTCTGAGACCTGGGAAATAGGTAAAACGGGGAGAGACACACAAGCGGTTCATCAGATCATGTAAACCGATTTATTTTGATGTAAGTCTTGATGTCAGTGTGCATAACAGAAATGTCAGTAATTACCTTTAATTGTGCAGTGAAACTGTGTGGGTATAAATCTGCTGGGAGTGAGGTAGATCAAAGTTTATCCAGGAAGTTGGACTTTAAACTGTGGTGGAGGCCAACAGAGTTCATTTCACTGTGCTTCCATGTTTTAAGAGACACAACCGGGAGGTTTCCATCTGACGGTTTCCCACATACCCATCGCTGACTTTTCACTGACGTCACAGAAAGTTTAGCTTTCAACTTAACGCATATATTCTTATCATTACCCACGTAAAAAACTTTCCCTTTAAAAGCGACATTTAGCCTGTATGAAGTCACTGATGGCTGATAATTGATCCAATTGATACTACGTAAATACTGGATGACCACATAACACCAACATATGGATAGACCTTAAAATGGAAAGCAACATAGACAAAACAATAGAAAAATGTACATCTTTCTTAATTAAAAAAAACAAACTTACATTTCTGAAAACTCCTACTCCGATAAAAAAAAGATAAACTCCCACACACAGTTATACCAGTTCATATAAACACACACTCAGCCTCAAAATAAAGTCATTAATGTGACCACTGCGATATTTATTTTGACTTGTTTGCTGAGTGAAGTACGCACTGGCGCACAGCCAACGCGCTCTTTAAACTGGGTAAACACACGTGACTCCACTCGGTATTTATTGTACCAACTCTGACCCTGTACTCTCACACACTCCTTCTTGTGTGTGTCTGTGTCTGCTCCTGTGTGTGCCTTCCAGGCACTCCCTGTCTTACACACCCAGCTTCACAGGAAGGACTCTCTGTGCACGAGGACCTGTCTGCCTGGTTCTGTGTGAGTGTGTGTGTGCGTGTATCATTGTGTCTATCAGCGCTGTTGGATACATGCCGGTTCTCTCTCTGCTTAGCAGTAACATACAGTATCTTTATGGCTCGCTGCTGTTCTGACTTTGTTTAAACAAGACCACTTTATCAGTATTGTCTGAGCCAGAATGAATGAACTGTGTGTTAATGGTCTGTCTGACAGTGTTTCCAGATGGATGGCAGAAAAGAAAGGCTTGTGTGTGTGCGTGTGTGTCTACAATGATGTGTAAAGCACCCAATGGTTAACATATTCAATCTGTATCGACGGGACATTTTCCAGTTTGGGAAATTAAATTAACTGAATGTTTAATGAGAAGATTGAGGCCAATCTCATGTTCTAGTGATAAATATAAAGCTAGCAAAAGCATTATCCAGGCCAGCTTAGCACAACGGCTGGAAACAGCTGGCTGGCTCTGTACAAATGAAGCATATCTGATGCCTGCTCCTTCGGATATAACATCTTCAATCAAAATTGAGAATAAAAACAACACTGCGTGGTTTTACAGTGAGTCTGGCTTTTTTCTGTAAGTATCTATAGTCTTATTGTTACTTTGACGTTGCCAGGTAACCAGGACATAAGCCAACAAATGGTGGCTGCAAAAAACTAACAAATACTTTACACCTATATAGGTGTGTGTGTGTGTGTATATGCATATACCAAATATTTTTATCACTATTATCACTATTTTTTCCACTAGATGTTGTTAAATGTTACACAGGGATTCTTTAATGTTCTTCCCCCCTACATTTTACTTTCATTCCCCTTGAAAATCTCAGTTCTTCTTTCTTCACAAATGAAAAGTATTTACATTTTGTGGACATATACAAGTATTTCCTGGTCTACATGTATGTGGCTATATATATATTTATTAGAGACCTGGATTAAAAGTAACTGTGTTTGACTCCTGAATCATCAGAAAAATATTTGTACATTTAAAGACGGCTCCGCTCACCGTGTCTGCTTTTTACTCTGCTGGCATTAACTCACAGATATATCATTTTAAACCAAGTTATATTTACCAATAACAATGTTCTCAGAAGTGCATCCAAAGGATATTATTTTTTTGAAATCTAATTAAACTGGTTCATGGTCTAACGGGAGATGTGTTTTTGGCAGGGGATGAGCCGGGGGCGGAGGTGAAGAGCCTTTGATGTCAGCAAGCTTAAAACCCCCCTACACACAGTCTGTTCATTGCAGAAACACTGCGTAAGTGTCTGATTTGTCAAAACAGTGTTTGCACCTGGGTGTCACAGGCCAGCAGACATGTTGCTCACGGACTCGCGGCTTCCTCTGCCGGACACACCGCTGTTTTTGTCTGGGCTGCGGAGGCCGGCTGCAGCAAAACATGTTTTCCCTGCTGGGATCTGAAAAGTGTGTGGATGAGGTCTCCACAGTGAGGCTGCAGGTCATTATCTAAGTCAACCCGAGGATGTTATTATTTCTGAGTGTAAGGTGAAGCTGCCTTAAGGTACGAGGGATTTCTACACCGTGACCGTGATTTGAAAAAGGATGACTTTCTTCTGATATATGGATCAGCTGTTGCATTGAAGGACCATTGGTTTAGGTCGGCTGAATCAGTGGTATTCTTCCTCTGCAGCGTCCAGAGTTCCAACCTGGCTGCCGATCTCTGATTCGTTCGTCTAATTTAAATGAAGTGGAATATAAAGCCAAAGCTATGTGATAAGGACGCTAAAGAAATTCTTCCTCAGTACATTTAAAAAAGGTTGAACTGACATATGAGAGCATTGAATAAAATAAAAAAAGAGTCACACTTTTATTCCCATCTCGTGTCACGCATTAATGCATTTGTATTTTAATATTCCACCTGTTTATTCCTGCATCATTTGAAGCAGTGACATGTAAAACACAGCTCCGTAGAGAAGAACGTATTGAGAAATCCAACAGCTGCAGTTACACATCTGTAGCGAGAACAGATGGAGAGGGGAGGAGGGCGCGTGGGACAGCAAACAAGTGTACTCCAGGGCTGCAACGATGGGCTGAGGGGTGACTAGTTAAGGGCCGACTCCCCACCCTGCGCTCTCCTTCTCCTCCGCCTCCGCCTTGCCCGCTCCCACGTCACCCCCAGGCTGCCTGATGGATGCTGACAGTAACGGCTGTCCTCCGTCCCCCAACCCATCCCTCCTCCTCCACCCCCTCCTCCCCTCTCCTCCACTATGCCCGTTCAGCGGTGACCACGGTGGCCTCTCTTTGGAAGTTGCCATCCTGCAGTTCAGCCTGCAGCTTCTTCAGGGGGGGGGGGGGGGGGGGCAAAGTGTCCAAGCCGGGCTGTCAAAAGCACATCCGGGATGCGATCCGCCACCCGTCCACGGCTGTTACTTGGAAAAGTTGTGTTTCTCAATGCTACGGGCTAATCGCTGCATGTCTCTGAAAAAAGGAGAACTTGTTCTTGCATCGCAAGTATCCATGTGTGACTCGTGACTCAACTGAAATGAAGCGGGAGAAAGATATTTGGGTTGAGTCAGTTTGACACCTGAGTGACGCTAAGACACCGATTGCACACAAGTAACGATCACCACATGGCAATCACTTTTCTTACACAAGGGTGTGGCATTCTCAATCCCCACCACACACACACACACACACACGCACACACGCACGCATACACTCCTTCCCGTATCCTGTTGTGCAATTTCATAAACTACACGTGAAGGTTGAACTGGGTGGAAGATGACAGATAATCAGCACAGGAGCTGATGTGGAAATAAAACACTCACACACAGAAACGCACACACACACACACACTCCGCACTGACGTGGGTCAGTAATGATGAAGTAAACTTTATGAAATAGCCGATGGAAGGGGAGAAAGTGGAGAATGTCATCCTTTGGTGGGGACATGTTTTATTCATGCTGTCAGCGGAGACGTTGGTGAAGTCACGGCCGTGTAAGTAACAGCGTGCGTCACATGAATCAACAGCAATGATGACCTCATTTTTACCACAAAACTCACTCCACACTCTTTGAGCAGCTCCAGATGCATGAGCGTTCACACACACGCACCTTAAACATTTGACTTCCTGTCTGGCTTAGGTGAGCGGATTAATACCACTGTGATGTGTGTACAGTCAAGGTTAGCGCAAAGTGCACTGTTCACTCTGACACTTTCATTTTCTCCTGTTTCTCTTAAATGTTTAAATGTTTGTTTCAGTGTTTTAAGTTTGCAAGCATGAATATGATCCTGCATGTTCTGACTTGCACTTCCTTACTTGCATGTTGACTTTTGAAGGGGGGTGGAATAGATATAATAATGTGGATAATATGGTGTCCACTCCTTCGATTGTTCGAGCCCGTGCGTGTGCTGTACATTTTGGGTGTGGTAAAACACAGACATGTTTAGTTTAATGTCCACTCATGATAAGACGTTCACAAATGCGCTCATGCACAACACGGTGGGCATTATGCATGAAGCTACCACTGGCACCCGGTTAGCTTTGATTAGCATGAAGACATTAGCCTAGCTCTGTCCAAACGTAAAACAAAACCAGTCACAATATCTACATATTAACCCAGAAATAGTGCATGTTATGTCAAGTACATGTTATGCCACTGATAAAATAATTACACCCTAATAAGTACACACTTTAAAAGGGAATATTCAGACATAGGAACTGGAACGTGAAAAAAAAATACAATGTTGGTAAATAAAACGGGAATTACATGTTTTTCTAAATATTCAATACCAGTCAAAGGTACATTCAAAAAAGCGTAAAATGTATGGACTAAAAATCATGGGTTGATTAGAATGTATAGTTTATTTCAGAAGAAAATAAACAAAGAATGCTAATATTCAAGTAAAGTACCAGCACTTTACAGTACGTTACTTGAGTGAATATTATTTTCCAGGATGACACGGTCATGTTCAAACAGATGTTTGTTTGTCTTTTCACATGCTGTCGTCTCAGAGCTCATGCAGGTGTTGTGCCTGGCGGCAAAGCCAAATACCCAAACAACTACCATCACACCTGGCTGGAACCGCAGACAACCGCATGGTAACAAACTCTCATTCCCACACACACACACACACACAGGCATGAGTGCACATGGCAACACACGCTCCCACACACACACACACACACACACACTCTCTTGTTACCACTGAAGACAACTGAGACAAGTCATTCCCATTCTCAAAACACATACAGGCGGACAGACAGTGTCCAAAAACGTAATTTTCCCATGGCCTCAGAGTCACACAAAACCACATCCAATCAAATAATATAATACAGATGCGTCTGGTCTGCTTTGTGGTGAAGGCTATAAAAAAGTCGTCCCATTGAACACTTTTCCTTTTTGTCTTAAAAAAAAAATGTCTCCAAATCGTTCTGGTCATGTTCCTGAGATGCAGATGGGCAGGTTCTCTCTCGGCTCTTTGCCTCCGGGCAAACCTCAATCCTGGACGGGATGTCAATAATTTCCCGAGCCTTTATTTTCCGCCTCCATTCGTGGCAGTTCTTGTCCTGTCTTGCTGCCTGTTGTTTTGCAGCTCAGGAGCTTTGAGAGGTGATCTCATCTGCGCCTCGCTCCTCAACCCCCCGCTCCCAAAACAACAGTGTATTTATCTGACCAAAATAGCCACCTCAGGCTGGAAAAACCCTAGTCAAGACAAACAGAAATAGGCCAAGAGTTTCCAAGGAAGCCAGTCTGGGCCGGAGGTGGTGCTTTTGAGTGACAACAGCCACGGGGCGGCATAACTAGACTCTGCACTTACTTCTCTAAGGTGATGGTTAGAGGCAGATATAATAAAATATCTTATTATTATTCAGCTACTGAAAAAATGATAAAAGTACAGGAGCGGTGGACACATTAACTTGAACATATAGTGTAGTGTACAAGCAACAAGAAAAGATGTTTCTTTTTCATTTGAATTCTTACTGGTAAAGATCAAACCTATTAATTGTCATCATCAGTATTTTTGAAATCATGTGAAGAAATGCAGATAAAATAGTCCAGACCAGTTATTTGTCCTTAGTAAAATCCAAAATTTTAATCAAAAGTTCTTTTTACCTTGTACAACATAACACCCCCTTTTACTAACAAGGTCCGACTGTGCACTTCATAGTTAGATCGTATTTCTGTAATTAACTTCAAAAAAAAGAAAATGTTTTGAAAAGAAAGAAAAAAAAAAAGTATTTTTGTACATTATTTATTTCACACTTCAAACCACGAGAGGCAGATCAATTTAAGTTTTTGGGACTGAGATGGTTGACAGGAAAACCTCAGGTTTTTCATTGATCGGGTTGTGGTTTAAACCTGTGTTTCACTGTTTTTGCTGAACGGAACATTTATTGTCGTCACTGTGAGGTTGTCTCAGCTTCCCGTCAAGAAACTGACGGAAACTAAAAAAAACGGTAATGTGTTGTTGTTACACGGTTTTTGATAATAAGGGAGTTTTATGGTGCTAGTAGCCACATTTACTCCCTTTGGAAAGAGCCGAGTTGGCTGTTTACACCTGTTTCAAGTCTTTATGCTGAGCCAAGTTTGCTCACTGGCTGTCCAATGTAGCTTCATTCAACCAACACAAGAACAGACAGGTATCATTTTCTGCAAGAAATCAAAATGTCACACTTTTGCTTTTAAAGGGGCCACGTCGGAAATGGGTTTTGATTGTTTTCCAACATGCGGCTCATTGCTAACAGTACGTGCTAACAGTACTTGCAGCGTTGCAATTCCCTTCTCTGCTCAGGTAGACCTTTTCTAGTTTCTAGTGTCTTAACAGACACAGAAGCCACACTTTGGCCTGGTCTTTGGAACTCGCTCTCTCCAGACACCAGCGACTTAATACAGACTATCCGCTCCCACTTGAGACATTCACACAGACGCAACACAACATTCACGCAGACGGATAAACACTAACCCAAAGTCTGACCCTCCTTCTCTCCACCCGAAAGGGGAGGAGGGAGTGGGGGGAAGAAGAAAAAATGAAGAATTAAAAACACATTCCAGTTCCCGTAAAGCTGGGAGAAGGAGCGGTGAGTCACTGGAGCAGTTTGAAACTGGCCCTTTCTAGTTTGAGACACGATGTGTTTGAACGTCTACGCATGGAGCTTTTGACCTCCATGGGTCCTTCACCAATGTGGTGTATGCTGCCTTTCTTCATCGATCCCTCCGACTATTTGTTCAGCCGCTACTAAAGTGACTCATTGATCAACTAGTCAAAAAGTGATCGGTCTCATCAACTGCAGGTCATATGCTCCTGCACACTTCTTTATCTACTGCTGTTAACACAGGTTCCCAAATGTCTTTGCATTGATTTTGTTAATCAACATAACATTGAAACATTTAACGCGCAACCACAAAATAAATACAATTAAATACAAAAGAGGTACACTCCCATCAAGTAAGCACCACATGTAATAAACCTCTACCGTGTTTTTCCCCCCAGACGATGCCAAGAAAGGATTTTACTGTGAAGTCAAACTGTAACACAACATGTGGTAATAAACCCTCCTTCTTTCTTTCTTTCTTTCTTTCATCTTTCCACCTCCTCCCTTCCGTCCAGACAGAGGCCCCCCAAAACAGACTGAGACCCTGAAATGATGCTGGTTTTCCGGTTGATTCACCGGCAGCATCTTGAGTCACAGCCATTGGGTCCGACTCCAATCGCGCAGCTGCTGCCAGCTTAATTGACTCCAGCGAGGAAT